GTTATATATTTAACAATCCTCATTTGTAGTAATAGTTTGGGGTGCGTATGAACATAATTTTTTAAAACAATTCGTTTTCCATATACAAATATTACCATTTAGATCTTTATCACAAATATCTTATTTCAAGGAACTCTCGCAAGTTTTCTCTACACATCCATTAAAGGTCGCATTGACTGTACAAGTAGGTAAAAATTGTTGGCATGAATCATGATCAGTATTACTAGTTGATGCATTCAAACATGTCTTTTCTTTGCACAAATTAAGAAGTGGATCCCAAAAACACAATTTACCTGAAATATCTTTTTCACATGCTTTATCGACTTTAATGTTCGAGCATTAGGAATTTATTATACATCCCCCATCTTTCTTTGTAATGCACTTATTATTTGGTAAATACTCTTCACAAGCTTAGTTTGTGTCCACACTATTTGGAGCATTTGAGCAAATCCTATCTTAACAACCTCCGCCTGACTTTACTGTGCAAGAAAAAAGAAATGTTGTACATTTGTCATGAGTATCATTCGAAATGGGTGCATTTTAGCATATTTTATCCATGCATTGTTATTTTGTGTTTTCCCAAAAACATTACCCACCAGATGAATTTATTTTACAAGCCTCTTCAATAGTGGCAGCTGAACAAGGCCCATTGGCCACACATCCACCATTTTATTTAGTGATACAGCCTTGCAGGTACCCTGAACAGGCTTCATTTGTCTTTAAAGAAGTCAAAGCGTTTTCGCAAATTTTATCCACACATGATGTTCCATTCCAAAAACAGTCTTTCCCTTATGCATTTTTAACACATGATAAATTTATTTCAGCTTCAGAGCATGTTGTTCTTTGTCTGCAGCCACCTCCTCTTTTAGTTGTACAAGTTCCGTCTGATCTAAATGAGATACAATCATTTTCGGTCAGTATTGATGTTGAAGCGTTTTCACAAGTTCGATCTAAACATTTCTAATTCCAATAACAGGCTATTGACTTATCGGAATTCCAAACACACTAAGATTCTTAAGTATGATCACTACATTAGGCTCCACTATCCTCACAACCACCTTTTTGTGATATAGTACAATGAGATAAAGCATCTCTGCATTAAGCATCCAATGTAAATGATTAAGGAAGCTTATCACAAGTGTCGGCATCAGAACAAATCTTATCAGTGTTATTCCAAAAGCATAAATGTTTATTTTTGTTTTGAGTACATGATATTGCTGTTTGGTATGTTGAGCATTCATCAATAGGAACACAATGAGTCCCATCACTTATACATGAAGTATTGATGGCCTAACAGTCAGCTGATGTTATTGATGCGTAGACTGTGCAACTAGTAAAGGACTAGCATGAATCTTGGGTCCAAGCACAAGATTGTTGGGAACGACAGTTTTCTTTGCTATATTGATCACAATATTTTGTGTCTTTTTGAATTGTATCTGGAGTGGTTGTCTTCTCTATACAGACTTTCTTCGTCTAATCCCAAATATATTTTAGATTTTGTTCACATTCACCTTAAGTTAGAATCTATTGTAATTCACATTCTGTGGTCTGATATTGGCATAATACTAAGTTAGTTGCTATCAGCAACATGAAAAAGTTATGCATTTTCAAAAGAATTATTAATTTTTGCCCTTATTTTCTGTTCCTTTTTAAATTGAGAAAAGATACAATATGTTAGTTATAGCAAAAAAAAATCGTTAGGTGGTGATTTAGTTTATAATTTTTTGAATTATACAAATGAAACGCAGACCTTAAGGCTGCTAATGATAATTTGGTTGCTTAGGGAGTAAGATAACAGAAGTATTAGTGACCTTAATAGATTAGAAGATGGTAGGTTGAAAAAAAAAGAAAAACAAAATAATATATTCTCAATCTTAAAATTAAATGTCAGTCTAATCAAAGGCAACACCTTCCTTGCCAAATCAAAAAGCACATTTAAAGAAAAATGAAAAAACAGAAGTTAGTATTATAATTCTTTTTTTTGTAATTGAATAGTAATCTTAATTTTCTTCCTTAAAATTCACATTTTTGCTAATTTTCTATAGAAAAGTAATTTTTAGATTTTGAGATTGCTGTTGAAATGATTGAATTCATCTGTTATTTCAACTAATTGAAAGTCTCTATATTTCAACATATTTCCTTTTTAAAAAAGAACAATTACTATTACTTCCCTAGACAACACTGATGGGATATTCATGCTCCCTTGAGTTCTCTTAAGAGATATACAGCATTTATGATGCCAATAATTTAATTATTATTGGCATGAAATAACATACAATGCGATTATTTTTCAAAATTAAATAATTGTCAATATAATCAAGGACGTCCAAAATCTTGTAGCAGTTATTGCTATACCTAAATTCAAAAGAATTTAAAAGCAACCTGTGAAAATTTTGAGTTCTCAATGTTAAATTTTGTAATATAGCTATTCATAATTATTGAATTTTTTATTTTAATATAATCTTAAATTATAAATGGAGAGATCATTTTAGGAGCATTTCTTTTTTAATTCACAAACCTTAAGTTTTCTTTCTTTCTCTAAATGGTGTAAGTTTGTCTTTTAACAATGTGATTTTAACAGAAATTCAATAATTAATAATAATTGACCCCCCCCATCATTTAATAATTATTCTTTATAATTAAATAATTATTTAATTGTTGTGATAACATTATTAATTAAGCCATTTTCAGATTGGACCAATGATTACGAAAATTTCAACTTTGAGACTTAGTTTATTATTTTATAATTACTTTGATCTCTAATGAAATCAAAATTTTATGAAATAAGTAAATGGGTAGAATAATAAGAAAATTCAAAAAGCTTATTATGCGGTTAAATCTTGTAATACTGTTTCAATTAATTAATACCTAAGTAATTGTACAACTAAATTATCCATAAAGTAAAATGTTGATCAATTTTATAAAGTTGATGTAGATTAATTGCCTGGTTATGGTGGTTAGGCTAATTTACTTGAAATAAAGGTTCAACAAGCATATGAATTATTAAGTTTGCACCATGTTTATATCATAAATTATGATGTGCTAAAATATAAATTATAAATTTACGAAAACAATAAAAAGGGAACAAATAAAGAGTCTTATTATCTTAAGATAGATAAATTTATACCTTTCATAGAACTTTAAAAAGACCCTACTGATATTGATAAATCTTTTATAATGTTTTTAAACGATAGTCAGATTAACTCATAATAATCACATTAAAAAAGATTGGGTGAAAAATTAGGATATAAAATAATACATCAGATTCACTTCATTTTTTATTTATATAAAAATTCCAATTTTACCAAATATTTTATCCTTACTTAGTCCACATTATAAACTATGTATTCATTATACATCAAATCGCTCTTAAGTTGCTGATCCTCTAGTATTCCTATCGGAACTTTCATATCTTAAAATTCAACAGTTTCATCAGGAGCCATTTTCCCAATTCCTTTTGTACTTTAACAGTCAGGTTCTAAATTACTTGCCTCATAATCAGCCTCAGTTCTTTCCTACCATTTTCCTAGAGCTACATCACATAATAAAATTAATCCAACAGGATTTGAAGGAGATGTACAACAATAATTTGCTGATTTAGAAACAGAATCTGCAAAGTAAACTCCTTTTCCAAACATATATCCAGTACATGGTGCCTCAGGAGGGGCAATTCTTAAACCTTGACTTATAATACCTACAAAATTTGTTAATCTTGAACCATGCCATAACAACATCCTATTGCCCACATTCTTAAATTTATCCTTTTCTCCTTTCCTCTTAATCTTAAATATTTCTAAAATTTTGAGATTGTAAGAAGAATGAGTACTTCCATGAGTATTATCAACATACTTTTGAATTAACTCGTAATCTTCGGAATCTGTATCAACCAACTTAATTGCTGAATTTAACTTTAAGTAGTAATTGTCAAAAAGATTTCCACTTTCATTTTAGATCAAACTTGTTGCTATTTCAATTGCCTCTAAAGAAGCCAACATTTCTAATTTTTCTTTTATGTCTTAATTAGTGTCTAAGGATTTTAATTTTGAGTAGCCGTTGTTATGAGGAATATAAGAATAAAAATCAGATGATAAGCTTTCTAATAAACACTTTTTTTTTGGTTTCGTTAATTTTGTTTCATTTATTGCTTCTGCAATCTTCTTTAATAAACTATAACCTTTTTTTATGGTTTGATTGCCTAACTTCCCCAATGGCATTCTTGAAGAATCATAACCAATCCTGAAATTAATATTATATTATATACTCCATCATTTGTTTATCCATCATTTTAACATCGTAAATAAGTTTAAGTAAATCTTTAATTTCATTTTATAACTTTGATTTTTCATAATGCGCCAAGTCATTAGATAGCTCTGAATTTTGCTTAATAAGAAATTTCTCTAACATTTTGTAATCGCCTGTAACAGTTTTCTCATAGATTTTATTTTCATATTCTTCAATACAAGATTAGAGAGATAATTATTTTGCCGCATGTTACCCTTTTTAACCTACTCTTCCCCATCTTGTGAAAAAATAATACTTAACTAAAATAGGTAGAGAATTATACAAGGCTAATTATCACTTTCTAGGATTTATGCTATGTAAAATTTGTTGTTGTTATTGCCTTGAGCAATATTGGTTTGGTTCAATAAAGAATCATAAATTTTATTATTGATCTCGTAAACATGGTAGTCAGCTTTGTAAATAAAACATTCATCTACTGCTACTCTTCCTTTAACAATCTCTTTTTTTATATCAGCTTTGCTGCAACTATTTTCATCTAAAAGTAAATTTTGAACTTATAATTTTGCTTGTTATTTTTGTTTCTCAAATTCCTCATCTATTTGTTTTCTTTTTTTTTCTTCATTCTGATTAATAGATTTCTACCTATTTCTTGTTCTAATGGATGAATCATTGTCAATTCTTTAACGATTGTTTTTTTTCATTCAAAAATGATAATTAAAGAATTATGTAATTTATATTATTAAATAACTGAGAATTTTTCAATGCTGGTATACTAAGCTGTCCTCTCTATGAATATTTAAAAGTATTACATATCAAAATTAATATCCTATTCAAAGGAGCTATAAATTGATTCAACGTCATCTAAGCTAAAAAAATGATTATCAGCTCCCTTTCTACCAAGTTGAATTGAATGAAGAAAGCTATCTTAATTGCGAATTTAATAATCGCCAGTGTTTGACAACTGATTTCTTTATGGCATTTTAGCTGTAATCACTACTTTTTTGAGATCAAAAATACCTAATTCAGATAAACCGCTTTCGTTATGCCTTGAATGATTTTTCTGCATTAGTTCATTTTAGTAAGACTATATTTTCTGCTGTCTCAAATAAAATCTTCAATTATGTTGATATTTTACGCATGTGGATCATAAAATATCTCCTATCTTTTGAAGTTTTCTTCTTCGTCTTCAGTTAGAATATTCTTAAAGAATGGAGACATAGCAATTCGCCTCCCTGTCCCTGCTGGTGGTTTCTTAAAGAATCGGCCTAGTGTCTCAAGCAGTCTAAATATTTTGAACATAAATAAAACTAAAGGTAAATTAAATCTCAATCTTAGTCTTAATAAATGCACTGTTTTGATAAAAATTCTCTAACTTCTTTATTTGGTGGTGTAAAATTGGAAAAACTTTCACTGCTTTCTTCATCATTTCTTTACGGTTTTTAAGCTGTTTGAATTGGTTAAGAGCTTTGCTGTAAAGATATTGCCTAAAATTATATTTTTGTTTTACATATGGAGATATGAATTAGGCTTTTTTTCTAAATGCATCAAAGCTTAAATCTGATTACTATTTACTCGTTTAAAAATCAGATACCTAAATAGGGGTAATTGAATTTGCATAAGGTAAGCTTTCATGTTATTCAAAAAAGTTTTATTGCTGATGTTACCGAAGATTGTTAGCATCATTTGAGCTTTTCAATGAACTTTTTGTATTATCCCTAAAGTTCTAAGTTTTTTTTTTGTTATAATTAATTTCATTGTCTGTTTTCATTTCTTAAACTGGAGAAAGATGGACATTTTAATGCTATTAATTAATCAAGTATTGCTATATTTCATAATAAGTATCTGATTCTTAACTAGGACGAATAAAATTTTTATTATTCTAAAAATTAGCAGTCATTTTCTATGATGAAGACATCTTATAGTTATAATATTGATTTTCATCACCGTCATAATCTGAAAATATTAGAAAGAAATACTTTTTTAATTTTTAAATGCCTATTTATCCTAATCTAATTTTGGTTTAATTTTGGATTCAACATTCTATAAATATGCAGGTACTTTCTTTTTTTATCTGCTGCTATTTGAAGTTTATTAAGGTTTATTCTTTTTATTTGTTTCATGGGTTTAAAATCTTTATCCAATGTTGTCTATTATAATTCAAAAAAGTACCAAGGTTCTAAATGTTTAATGTGTATTTAATAGATTTTGGAGATGGATTGTAATGATGACCTCTATTTGAAACTGAATCAAAATCATCTTAATATATTTTTTCATTTTCAGAGTAAAGCAACTATTTACTAAAACAGTAAAAATTTTAAATTACATTTAATGATCATCTAAGTGGGGTTTAATATTGAATTTGCTGCTTACAGTCTTTTAATAAATCATAGGAGGAGGTGGGGATTCAGTTATTTTGGCAGTTAAATTATTATTATTTTGTTACAATGGTGATTTATTTTTATTATTTCTTTTGGCAGGTTTGAATTAATTTTTTGAATTTGTACTAAGTTATTGTTCTTCTCTTATTCTTGCATTTAATTAATCCTCCATATCATTCTATGTATAAAATCTGTTATGACTATATTAAGGCCTATTTTAAGGTTGATTTCGATAGATATCCTAGCTCTTCGATTACATTTACTCGTTCTCACTATTATTGAACAATGAGTTTAGTTGAACCAATTATTGCTAAATTTTCTTAATCTCTTCTCGCAACTCACTTTAGCCATTCTAGGTGTAATCATTTATGATAAATTCTACAAATAATGGTGAATCAAATTTTATACTTGATAACTATTTCATCGTTGAATAGAGTTCAGCCTGATTGTTTTATCCCAGTTTTCTAGCAATGTCGAATCCAAGAATTAACAGAAAATTCATTACGCTGTTCCTTTATTCATCAGGAAATTGTTTTATGAATTCGTTGATAATCTTATTTGATTTATGTTCAATATGCATTTAATGATAAAATTTATATAATTATTTTCAAAATAAAATTTGAAAGTTAATGTCGAGATTTAATAGTAATGCTTTCATCCACATATCATTAGCTCAATCACAGTTTGGACCGAACCAAGGCGCACTAGGCATCTAATAATCATTCTAATAGAAAAATTAACATGAGATTGTTAATAAAACTAAAAATCTTCAGGAGATGAAAACCGAGCTCGAGAGAGAGAAAGACAATAGTATAATGTATTAGAAATTACGTAAAAACAATTGATATTGATATTAAAATAGTTGAAAAGGCTCTAAAAGAAATTTAATAATATATTAACAGATTTGGATCATATACCAGTACCGATGATGATGAAAATGAATCAAAGTAAGAAGCATCCCATCTGAGAACAGAGTTTACTTGGAAAAAGTTACAACCTTTATTAGATGGTTACGATGAGTAAATAGCTGAATAAAAACATATTGTAATTTAAATAATATTTATAATCAAATAGATTGAAATATACAAATAAGATATTAGTTAATTAGAACAATTATCAAAGCAATTTGTTGAAGAAAATCAGTCACTTAGGGAATAGTTGGAAAAAAAATGTGAAATTATTTTAAATATATTTTAAAATGGAACAATATAAGACTAGATGGCTAATCTATACAGTAAATAATTCTATTTAAAATTAAGAACGCTTACAGAAAGATGATTGGGCTGAGAAAGTGAAAGAGTTGACATAAGAAAACCATACATTATTGAAAAATTACAAAGAAGTTCTTGGTAAAGTTAAAGAATTGTAAAGAGATTGTGATTTGTATAAAAAACAATTAAAGGAGCATCAATTAAAAAATGAAAAATTATCAGCTGAGATTAATGAGATTAGGGATTTGAAATAGGAATATTAAAGAAAATATGAAGATTTATTAAGTTCAAATAAGGATGCAGATAGTAAGATTAGGGAGGTGAAAAATAAAAATGTAAAATTTGAATAGGATAATATGAAATTAATTTTATAATATGAAGAATTAGATAAAAGATATTAGACTTTAGTAAATGATTCAGAGAGTTAGAAAAAGGATTTTGAATTTGAGATAGATAGTTTAGGTTAAGAAATTTCTGATAAATCAAGAAAGATTAAGGAATTATAAGCAGAAAATATTTCGATAAACAAAGAAAGAGATTAATTTTCTAATGACGCTAAAAACTTTTAATAAAAACTTCATGAAGAGGAATAAGAAAGCAAGAAAAAATAATTGCTAATAGATGATCTCACTAGAAAAATTGATCTCCTTCAAAAACGAGAAACTGAACAGTATTTTTCATTTAAATAATAGTATCAAATTATCCCACCAAAGAGCTGAGAAAGAAAGCAAACTTATTCAAGAAATAGATGACTTAGATTCTACAAATAGATAGTAGTAATAATAAATTGAATCCATGACTTAATCACATGATAAATAAATCGAATCTTTGAAACATGATAAAGACAAGGTAATAGAATAATAAAAGGTAAAATATACATAACAGATCTAAAATCAAGATAGTGTAAATTATAGATCTATATTAGAAAATTGAAGAACTGGAATAAAGTTTAAATCAAAAAGAAATAATAAATGAAAAATTATAGAAAGAAAATAATAGACTAAAATAAGAAAAGGAAGATTATGAATAGAATATCAAAGTTGAAAAATATAGGTTGGAACATGAGAACAGCAATTTGAAATAGAAGAATTAGGAATTAGAAGAATCAATTGTTAGAAGAGAATAGTATTATGAAGATAAAATACAAGGCTTGAGAATGGATAAGGAATAACTAGAGTTGCAAGTATTTTTCAACATCAATTTAGAATAAAAACATCAACCAACTGACAAACGAATTAAAACAATAAAATGAATAATTAAGAAAGAAGGCAAACCTGATTGAAGTTGAAAATTATGAATTGAAAGAGAAAGTGAATTAATAAGGACGTTCAATAGTTTAAGGGACAAATTCCAAAATTATGAGATCCTATGTTCCTACATGATGATCATTCAATAATAATAATTATAATACATAAAATTAACCATTTTCCTTTTATATTATTTCAAAATACATCATCAAACGGAGTTGACTGTGTTTTAACGTTTATTTAAACTGGAACATTCATATTGATTTAAGCTTATGGTTGGTTATATAACTATGTAATTGAAACCTATGGATTCTAATATTATTGCTATGGCATTTGGTTAAAAGGTTAAGGCTGATATTGATTAGGCATACTTTATCTCTAATTAATGTAAATAATATCATTACATATTATTATTATTAAGGGGGTGATGATGTTGCTATCGATGACTAAATGGGTACATTGGCCTAAAATAAAGTTGACAATTACTTATTATTAATACAATGAAGTTATATTGAATTAAGGCTACTACTGTTGATTTTATTGTGGTACTACAGGTTCTGGATCATCAAAAGCATCCAACAAATCTTAAGGTAGAACTTTTTATTATTGTTATTATTATTGTTGAGGAGCTTAAACATACTAAAGGTTTTATTAAAGTGGCTAATTGACTGGATTTTTATATAAAGATTATTATTATTATTACTATTGCTATTATTATTATTATTGAACTTATTATTGTTGGTATAGCAATTATTATTAATTTTACTACTGAACAGGTGGTAATTACTATTATTACGGAGGTAGGATAGGATCGTCTCCGAAATCTAGTAAATTGGTCTGAGGAGGAGGTTTTGGTTTTGGCTACTCAATCACCTATTATTGAGGAGGTTATTAGAAAAATGGTTGTGCCTATTGTTAGAAGGATTGAGTTTGTTGATGTGATTGTGGAGGTTGTTAGAAGTCTCCGAAAGGATTTGGTTTAAAGTCTTGTGAAAATTAATTTGTTGGTTATTATTAGGACTTGGCTTATTGTTATTAGGAGTCATTAAATCCGAATCCAAAATTTCCAAAGACATTGTCATTGGCTGTTGTGGTTGGAGGTTTTGGGAAATTGCCAAAATCACCGAAATCATTTTTAATTTATTATTAATTAAATGATGATTGTGGTTGCTAGGGTTTTTGTGAAAAAGATTATGTTTATCTTTATTAGGGTTTGGGATCGTTAAATTTAGCATATGGGTCTTCTTTGGGTTTGAATTGTATGTTTAACTTTTGTTAATAATTTGAATGAGTATTGAACTCATTTTATTCTTCCAATCCTTTCTTAGGAGCCATCCTTTCTATATCATCAACCAATCCAAAATCATAGCCTTAGTCTTCCTCTTTGTATAATGGTTTGTTTTATTTAGAAGGCTTTGGCAATTTAGAGTAATAGTCCTCTTAATTGTTTCCTTCATTGTATCCATCTTCGAATTAAAATTCTTTTTTTGTTTTTTCTAAATTCAGAAAATGTAATACCATTGTGATAAAGATGACTAAATTGCATATTGTTTATCCTGAGGTCATATAAATCTCCGTTATTAGAGATTGTTAATAAATTACTTGAGATGGTCATGGAATAATTAAAGCTTCCTAAAACCCTAAATAAAAGATAAATAAAATAAAAATACGATGCTTCTTCTCTTAAAGTTTTGCCATTATGCACAACTTTCTTTTTTCCTGACAAACCTGATACAAACAGTTCAATGGTATGATCCTTATCATCAATGCTAAACTTCCAAGTGTACTTTTTTTTTGAACTAATTTATTTGTGTAATTCATTACCTTTTGATATTTCTACCCACATCCTATTGTGATTAGTATAAGGCTCTGACAGACATTTTAATATTTGAATTTTATATATTAAATATAATAGAGAGTTATGGAGATATGAATTTATAATTTATAATCAATTATGAAAGAAAGTAATATAATATAAAATTTAAATAATGGAAAAAATGACTTCTTGGCATGATACAAACCTAAGATGGTTTATTTTAGTGCTAATTGGTGTTTACCCATTAGTGCAGTTCTTAATAGGGGAATATCCAGCTCTATTGGGAGAGCAGATCAAATCGTATTTTGAGGTGTCATAGGCGGAAATTAATTATTTATTGTCATTTCGATCATTTCCAAATATGATCATGTCATTAATTGGTGGTTTGATAATAGACACATTTGGAGTGAGACGATCCTATGTTTTTTTTGCTTCCATAGTTGTTGTGGGTTAACGTATTTATTATAGAAATATAAATAAAGTGATGTGTTTCATGTCAGTAATTTTGAAAAGTTTTATTATGATGGTGGTTGGTAGATTTATTTTTGGATTATTTGAATCAAGTGGTTTTGTGGCTGAGAGTTATTACATTAACAAATGGTTTAAGGGGAAGGAAAACTCTCTTGCATTTGGGTACTCAAAAAAACTATCATAGAATTGATACAGGTATTTGCAGGTTGGGGTCAATTGCAGCTGCCATCATTTATCCTTATCTATATACATCCTCCAATAATGATCTGTCTACGTGTTTGTTGATGTGTCTCTATATAGCAAGTTTAAGTTTTCTAATCATCATCATTCTCACTTAAATTGACCGATGCAGTGATCTGAGAGATCAAGCATCCGACTAAAAATTAGATAGCGTCGATCTTAGATAAATTAAACAATTTAGTCTTGAATTCTATGTAACATTGATAAGTTGTGTAACCTGTTATGCAGCATTTTTTATTTTTGGTTACAATTCTGTAGAAATGTTTAAGCACATGTAATTCTCATAAGAAAATTTAGATATAAACTAGATTAAAATACTGCAAACACACTATTTAGCATTCCCTATTATCTTTCAGCAATATTAAGTCCCATTATTGGACATTATATAGACAAGAAAGGAAAGAATATTGAAATTTTGTTAATTGCTAGTATTTGTTAATTATTAACTACCTCAATCTTTTATTTGATACGGAATGTGATACAGCATGCGTTGCATTCCCTTTAATCGGAAGCATTCTCAATGGATTATTCTTTGGAACATATTATGCTGTTATGTGGCCTCATATACCATTAATTGTTCCGTCTCATATGGTTGGAACTGGCTTCGGGTTAACATTTGCTTGCATCAATATAGGTATTGATTCTCAATTAACTTCTATAGAAATAACAAGTTTCTCTTTTGTTGTAGCTAATATGTTGCAAGTTGAAAATTTTGAAAACTATCAATAAATGAATTAATTGATGCTATTCTTATCTGCTGTAGGTTTTCTCCCTTTATTATATTTATTCTAATATCATCGAACATAATATCATAAGAATATTCATGCTTAAATCGATGACAATTTATCTACAAATCAAATCGAATTAATTGTAAAAAGTAAACCAACTTGAGTAAATTTAATATTTATTGGAAACGTTAACGAAATCATTTCCATTTACCATAGATTACATATAATTATTATAATAATTAAATCAATAGAATATTTTCATTTTTTCTTTAGATTATCACCAAAATTTTAGAAGTTGCTATTAGTTATACGCATGGGGTCATTTTTAAAGACGTCAAACTAACTGTCCTAATTCAACAGGAATTGCTATGATTGATTACCGATATCTAAGGGAGACTTTTCGGTATTCAATTGGTTCTGGAAGTTATTTTCTAAATTTTTTTTCTATTCTTCTAAATCTTTTAATTTATTTTAGATGTCGCCTGGTAATAATCCTTAGACATTACCCTTTTGAATATTGTTAGCAGTATTTTAAGCCTTTTCGGCCATCTCTTTAGCTTGTTAATATTATTATTCTAATTTCTTTTTTTCTTCCTCAACCTTCTTCATTTGAGCCTTCATCTCTTCAGGCATGAAATCAACTCCAGTTTAAAGTAAGTTGTCCTTATTTTAGGCAGCTAATTCAAGTTTCTCCTTCATTTTTTTAGCTTCATCTATATTTTTTTGAATTTATTTTTATTGTTCTTCAGCCTTCTTAATTTATTCTTTCACACTATCGGGCATAAATGATTTGATAGATCCAAAGAATCCTCCTCCTCCCTATTCTTTCTCTTTCTCTTGTTCACTTTGCTTTTATTGTGGATCTTCATTCTATTTTAATTTGGCCTCCTCCTCATTTGTAGGCTAATCCTTAATTCCTCCTAATTATTTTCCTTTGGCTACAATATTCTCGGTTTGCTCTTTCATTTTCTTAACATCATCAATCTTTTTTTCTGCTTTCTCAATTTTATCCTTCACAGATTAAGGCATATATGATTTCAAGCCACCCAAAAATCCCTAATCCTTATTATTATCTGGCTTCTTCTCTTATTTAGTTTGATTCGGATCATCTTTAAAAGTATCAGCAAGTCCATTGGCTTTTTCCAAGAATTCCTTGGCGGCTCCACTCATTAAATATTCTGGAACTTAGTCATCCATAATTGGAATGATTGCTGCTGCAAGGTCTCTAGGTAATTTGGCTGCCTCAAAGTCATAGGGAGCATTGTTAATCAATTCATATTTTGGTAAGTTGTTTCTCCTATTTCTTATTTGTTCTTTAGTGTAAGACCTCAATGCACACCAGAGTTCATTAACTCTTTGAGTGGTTTTTTGTTTATTCCTCAGGAATTTTCTTAGACTTGGATATTGATAAATGATATTAGGCTTGCGAGCTACGATTTTATCTCTAAATGGGTCGATCTTATCTGAAAGTTTAACTAGATAGCCTTCGAATATCTTAAATATGATTTGTATCAAGAATAACAAGTTGAAAATACCTAATAAAACAAACATGATAATTATTAGATATTATGTGTCATATTCCTGGGAGGTGTAAATTAATAAACCAATCAATAAGGTGATGATGCATACGATAGTCGAATAACGATCAAGATGATTGAGATCATTATTTGCATATGGTTTAGTATTAATTTAGATCCATGAATAGTAAAGCAAGACCAGGATTACCAGAGCCCCCTTTATGAGAACGTAATCCTCATAAAAGGTGAGAAAGATAACCATTAATTCTTTCTGAAAGATTTTCACAAACTCCCAATAATAGGCTGAGGTGTCGTATTCATTATAAAAGAATCCCCATCTCGAACGAATATGTCGATTATTCAAGTGGAATCTATAAGTGTAAACTCGATAAAGGAATATCAATGGCAGGAGAGCAACCCAGATGACAATCATAGGCGCAACGAATGCAGCAACCCATAATTAATGTTCATCAGTGTCACTTCGATAAGCAACATCTGCTTAAACCCAATTGACACCAGATATGATTCTTGAACTTCCCAATTAGATGAACCCTCCTACTAGAGTTGGCTGTGTAAAAATGAACATATAGATAAAGGCTGTGGTAATCATAGGAGCCTTGTAAGGTATTTTACCAATCATGACTCCAAAGAAGTATTGTACAAAATATATGATCAAATAGATGCAGGGCATAACCAGAGCCCAAATCATTCTAAAGTACAGCATATTGATGTCTGTCATTGGTTGAAGTAGACAATCCAAACTAAATGAGCTTGATTTCGTAGGGTTACCTGCAGCATCAGTGGTTTTGGTCAATCCCTTAGGTAAAACCAATTAGAATTGATTAACGATTTGTATGATCTGGAAATAGTTTGTTAACATTTTGATGAGCGTGGCCAATTGATTAGCATTCTGATTGAATCTAGCTCCCATTAAAACCAAACTTTTAACCATCAAAAACTGATTGACCAATTCGTATGTACCTTTTACCGATAAGGTGATAGAAGCCACTGTTGCAATGGTATTTCCTGCTAATATTCCTATACTTGAATCTTTAGTGTTTTGGCAAGGAGAGCAGACATACTTCTCAGTATTAGAATACCGAATATCGTTATTTAGAGCGTATAGATCGCAACTTTCACATAAAGCACCAATGTGACCAGTATAGCATGAAGGGTTGCCTGGTATCCATCCGCCATTACAATTAGCAGGAAGATTTAAGCAATACTCAAATTGATCATTATCTATGTAAGGTCTATACCACCCTTATTTTAATTTGATTCCGACTGGAGTAACATCAAGCATACTTTCCTAACTAATTGATTAACATTAAGGCGAGTTTGGAACTACACTGAACTTCTTTTGATTAATATCGCAAGCCTCGCATTTTCCATCGTAATAAGCCTCCCCCAATTGACAAGGATAGGTTCGAATATTTGCTATTAAATAATAGTTGTTATTTTAGGACAATACATTATATGGGTATTCAGCTTGTAAAACAGGCTTTTTCACACTCTGACAATAAACTAAATAATATTATCAATTATCATACATCTCAATTCTAAATATAGATCTTCGTGCATGTATGGATCAAATGTAATTATCAAGCTATCCAAATCAAAAGAGGAATCCTCCACATTGTAATTCAAGGTATCATAATTTGTAAAGTTACTCAAATAAGCTTTGGAATTATCATAAAAACTAAGGTTCTATATTCTCGCATCTATGTAACATAAATCTGAAGAATATTCTTAGGCTAACTTCTCATCAAATCTATTCAAATATATTAATTTCATATTCCAATCATAAGGTATCTACTCCATGGTATCAATGAGATAGAACTTGTAATTTCCAATCTTTTGTCCTGAAGGTATAATTAAGAGATCAGTTATTTCAGGATAATTCAGCAATTGCACTTTTTACATTGACACTTTATCTATCATTGTTATAGTACTAGATATAACATCTCCATCTTCATTTGTATACTTAGAAAATGGAATTGTCGGTATTTTCTAATTGTTCATTGTGATTTTCAATCCAACAGGATCCTCATAGGTTGATGTGCCAATATTTTATACATATGAGTTCTTACACTTGGTTTGATTGCTCAATTGTGTTCCCTCTAAATAGATGGCAGATCCAGCTTAAGCTTAGTTGTAGCTGAATTTAGAATTGAATATCTAAATATAGGAATTCATTGATTCGTAATAGATTCCAGCCCCCACTAATGATGCTATATTATTGGAGAATTCACAATTATCAAACACTACATTCAAACTAATTATACTAAGACCTGATCCAACAGCAGCCATATTATTTATTATCCTTGAGTTATTTACTTATATTGATTACTAGCCATTGGTTTGAGCCAGCAATCTCCTTCCATATAAGGGTTTATTGAAATGAATATCTCCCAATTGACTATCTTGAGTAATGGCTAAACATCCGAAATAGGAGAGGTGATTGTTGACACAAAGCAAATAATTGATAGTTATAATGTCAACTGCTTAGTCAACTTGGATAATCTATACTAATCCATAGGTACAGACAGTGCAGTTATTATTGCTTAATTCAAGTCCTTCTATTTTGATTTAATTTCCTTCTCTGAGATTTAGTATTTGGATGTAAGCTGAAGTTCTGTTTGAAATTTCACTGAACAGTTGATAGAATATACAATCCTTCACATTCTAATCATAGACAAAATTGAGGGGAACATCATCAGCAGTTGGTTGCAATTAATTATCTATTTCCTCCCATCCATATTTGGATTTGTCAGTCATATCTAAGTATTCATCATCCAATTCTAAATCATCAATGACTAAGAGGGAATCAGAAAATATCTAATCAACCAAAGCGATGTTTTCTTACCAAATATCACAAGTCTATTCATCATAGGCTTCTGTTGGGATTACAAAAAAGAGGTTGGCACATATACTAACTGTTTTTTAAGGTATAAATTAATTATTATTAGAGAATGTAATTGAACCTAAATAGGCAGTACCCAATTCGTCTTTTAAGGTAAAGCGCATCAAAGGAGCACTGAAAATCGTATTATTTACAAATTAAATCTGATTGAAATATCCACGGTATAGGTTTGCTGCGTAGATAATGTTCTAGTTTACTATGTTATTTATAGATATGTGGTTCATCCTCAATTATCCATTTACTTATGTGTAAACAGAGGCTGATGTTTTGAACAGATCAATTTCAGTTTCTGATAAATCAGGTACTCGAGACAAAAAGTCCTGGAGATTATTGTTCTCGATCTTTATGTTGTTCATAGACATTATTTAATTGACTACGTCGAAGAATTAGACATCCATGAATTACGAAGTCAATGATTGGCATTTGATAAATTTGCTATCACTAATTTAAATTAATTGTTAGTTCTTTGATGAACCCACCCAAATGCAACCACCCTTGGATCTACTCACACAATCTTCCATGTTAACATAAGATAAGGTGAGTGACAGAGCTGATGCTTTGGCATCAATGGATAAGCACCCACCTTGGGTCAAGTATTTTTAGTCTAAATTGGTCTTGATGTTCTTGAAGATTGTATTGTTTATGAATAAATTGCCTGCCCCTTAAGTGACTATGTATATTCCTGCACCATCCAATCCAAAACTATTGATAAATTAGCAATCCTTCATATTCAATTCCTGAGTCACTAAATATAAATTAGATCCTTTGGATTTTACCTAAAAAAATTCCCAGACTTACAGGGTATTATTCATCTAATTTTCATTTAACTTGTTGAACCAAACTCCTTCAAATTGATTGGTTGATTTAAACCAGCAATTATCCATGTTCAGAGATTTTACTAAAACATAATTTAATCCATATTCAAACTTAGTGGCTCGATTATACTCATATGTAGCATAGGATATGTTCATCACTGCTTATTATGATTGAACTACTAAGATAGTGGCACTGATCATCATTTGATATAAGGATGACTTATGCAAGTGATTGCTCTCGAATTGCGCTTTGTTTATAATAATTTATTATTCCTATTGGGATTTAATTAATATTAAAGACAATTGTGATCCCAAATCATAGGCGAGTAAGGTATTATTAAAAGCGTAAATGTTTGAGATAATGATGACTTCTTTCTCATAATTAGAGTAGAATTGCTATAAATTGTCCTTGGTTCTAGTGGTCTTCATTTTTAGAATGTCATAGGATTGTATCACTATAGCATTAAAGTCTAACAACAGCAGATTGCTTAATATGATGTTGTTCATCTTCACTCCATGTGAAAATTCATTCACATATAGACAATAAAAGTTATAATTATTTGACGACCATAACTCCTCAGCACAATAATCTGAAGAGGGAATCAAATTGTTATAGGGATTTTTAATCTCTATTTCATCTCCATTTTCATCAGTTACAGTCATATATTCAGATTGAACTGAGTCACATTAAAAGGTGTCTACATCTATGGACTTTATTTGGTCAAAATAAAACACTATTGAACCAAAACTATCAACTGTTTTCAGTTTCGATATCTTAACATTCTAGAATTGTTTGAACACACACATGGCAGAATCAATATATCTAATAACTTAGGTGTAAATTAAGGTTGCTGTTTTTATTATCTGTAAGGATTCAATTTTTAGATCAGCTTAGACATCATATACATTTATGGGAGTTGATAACTAAATCAAGCAATTGATAGTGTTGCACTCATTTTAATCAAAGTGAACATTGATGATGTTAAATTATTACAATACACTTTTTGGAACAACCATTGCATCCACAATAGGAGATGTTGAAAATACAACAGAATCGTTCAAAAGCTTGTTAGATCCTACAAAGATGTTTTACAAGTTTATGTGATTCAGCATAAAAATTGACGAACCAACGAATTAACTTGTGTAAATATCAACATTTGAAATTGAACTAGCTATCAATTAATTACTTATAATGAAGTTAGATTATAAGAATGTGCTTAATTGGATCTTCAGATTGGTAATAGTCAAGTCCAATTTTGCATACGTCTTTCCATTTAGAGATCCAAAAATATTGGTTCCGATAAACTCTGATTTAAAGATAGTGAAATCATTGATGGTTATTTTAGTATTGTTGACAGGATTCTAATCAAATAATTGTATGTTATTGAGGAATCGACATCTAGTAAATTTGACTTTATTTAATGACAAGGTGTAGGTGCTTTCCTAGGTGAAATTTTAATTAAGGAATTGATCAATAGGTGACAGGTATGAAAACTCAACTTAATCTAATGAAACCTTTTGGACTCCTGAAAAATTGAAGGAGAACATACCAAAAACCACTGAATCTTCCTTTGAGATTTCAGAATTGATTAAGGTGAAGGCACTTGATTTGCCTTTTAAGGTGATTCCGAAATCCTTTATTTTTGACTTTATTTCTTCATTATATGCAAATTTAATATTTTCAAATCTCAGATTATTGATATTAGAGAAGGAAATATGTCCTATTTGATAGAAGGTAGCAGATGTAGAGGAGGTAAAGTGTACATTGAGTTTCAACAATGAAAACACATTCTATTAGAGCTAGGTCTTGAATTGAGTAGGTTTGGTGAATTTGCATTCAGACCCAAGTATGTTGATTAATAGAGTGATTTCCTGTACAGCATTTTTGTTCAATAACAAGTAGTTCTCATATTTTTCGATGTCTTTAAAAATGAGAGTGGCAGTGGATGACTTACCTTTGAAGATCGATGATAAATCTAAGGCATCGGGGACAGTTTCATCATCATTACAATTTAAGTCAAAGTTGATGGTTGAAGTGTAGTAGCATTTCTTTGACGTGCCTGGATAATTACAAGCAGTAGGCATGTTGGTGAGTGTGTCCAGGTATAGGTTTTTGGTTACATCAAAATTCTTCATAATTTTGTAACAAAGATTGGAATATTTTTGAAAATCTGAATTACTTGGATTGAATAATGGATTGATATTGTAGATCTCACTTTGGGTTCTTTCCCTACAGCCTTCACAATAGAGTGGACAATCGGCGCAGTCACTATTATCATTGACCAAGGACCTTTAACCCGGAGGACATTTTGAACAATAGGCAGTATCAAATTCGAAAACACACATGGAGACTTATTCTAATAGACAGCCATCCCCACATCCTTGACATTCGTTATTGTATAAGTCATAACCATTGTAACATAATGTACATTATGGATCATTTAAATCCTCATTTAGGAAGAATGATTTGGATGTTTAAGAATAGACTTAATAAACAGAATTAATTTGAGTGAGGTTATATGAATCTGTATTCTACCAACATTGCTAACAATTTGAGTTGCATCTAACACATTTTCCACTAAAGAAGTCAGGATAGTAACCAAGACTGCATTTAGTACACTATATTTATTTTTTTTAGGAGCTGATTGGAATCCCATTTTCATCATATGTTATATCAGCATCAGGTTCATCATAGGCAAAACAATCTAGACAATTCAATATCTTTGAACTGCACTTGGTGGTTGTGCATGTCCCTGGAGTAGTAGTAGCATCAAACATTAACCCATTGGCACATTATTAGCAAGTGCCATCGGAATTGAGGATTGCACAATTTGGATCAGTTTAAGTGGTGCAACTCTTTTTATCTGCACTTAACTGATAGCCAGCTGAACACATATAGCAGAGGATATCAAAGTCTCCATCCTTGGGAGTGAAATCAGGATCCAAAGTTGTGACTCCACCACCCAAATCCTAGTAACATTATTTGCAATCAGCGATGTTACAATTCGAGCAACTTCTTCCACTGGCATTAATGAATTATTTTGATCCTCGACACTATCTGCATCTCTTAATATATTTATTAACATCCTCTTCAAATGGCACATCCAAATCCCGAGTCAAGTATTTCGGATAAATACTATCGTCATATGTCATATATTCACATTTTGTACATCCACTTTCACACGTTTCACAAGTCGCCAAAAATAAACTAGGCAAAAAATATTCTCCAAATCCTTCCTGCTCACATTCATAACATTCTGTTGTAATACCATCGAATCCAAGATCGCAATTCAAACATCCAATTGGACACTCCTAGCAAGTGCCATTGTCTTTCAATAAATAGCCTTTGAAACATTATTGACATCCTGTTTCATCACACTGCATACAATACCTACTACATTTTAAACAATTATCATTCTCAAAGTAATAGCCATCTAAGCAAGAAACTCCGACTTGTGGGTCAACGTCATTGTTATTATAATCTTCAAAAAAGTTACATGATTCATCTCCATCATCATCACAAAACTCCTGACACCCCTCACACAATTGTGCTACATATGGTAGGTCTACCTGACGATCAACCAGGTTCGTTGGCTTTTAATTAGAGGCTACTATGAAATATAAACTTGATGCTGAATCGTTTTATTATTGGAACACACCGCTCAAGGCATCTCCATTTGTTATTTCATATCCGTAACTACATTACCTGTTTTCAGCCCACGATGTTGGGTTTTCCAAACAATCCATGCAATCAAATCGCATATCTGACGAGAATCCAGGACTTTTAAAATATTCGATGCAATCTATACCATTTAACGCAATATTTCTCCTTGAATAAGAAATAACCGTATTCGCACACTGGCACCGTCTTACTACAATCAGCAACTCCCAATAAACAGAGCTTTGTACAACTTGCATCCAAACATCCTCTCACGTGAGATTCTCTATAAATAAATAATTTCCATACATGTCAATTATTCCATTGACCGCAAAACTCATCATCGAAACTAACCACAACATTTATTTCAAAAATTTACTCATAAATATTTATTATTAAGTTGTTAAGTCAATACGCACTTATAAATTGCAATCTGTACCCCTCTCTGAATAATTTCATTTAATTGGCAGGTTGTCATTAAAGCATACTATAAGCATACCATTAGTCTACGAATATTAGGTACTAATATTAAATTTAAATAAGAACTTATTTCTTTTTATACCAAACACATAACAATAGGACTAAAAACTAATCCATACCTATAATCCTCCCAAACTTTATAAAAATCAGAATGGCAAGGTCCTAACAAGATTAAAGTCAACAAAGGTCGCATACAATGAAAAAACTCATAACACAGACAATTTAAAGAAAATTCAAAATTTTCTGTTTCTCTTCTCTCTCTCATAATTATTGTTTCTTCTCTGCTTAAATTAGCGTTTTCAAATCTCTCCACTCCTTAACGACTCAGAATAATCTCGTTTTTGTACACATCATTTCACATTATATAATTCAACTAAACATTTTCTACTTACTTAAGCAATTGCAATTATAATATATCCTATTTATAAAAGATATATAAATATTATATATATATTGATTAATTAAAATGATTTCAGGAAACTAAGTCATCGCATAATCTTTTGCTCAAAATCATCTGAAATATGTTTTTGGCATTGTCGGAGTCCCAGTCATTGAATTAGGCTATGCCTTTCAGGCTTAAGGAATGGAATACTATGGTTTTAGAAATGAGTAAGGAGCATCATATGCATGTGGAGCAATAGGATATCTTACTCGTTTGCCTGCCATCTGCTTAGTGGTTAGCGGACCTGGATTAGTTCATGCTTTGGCAGGAGCTGCGAATGCTCAGGTGAATGGATGGCCGATGGTGATAGTGGCTGGAAGTTCAGAAAATGGTCAACAATCTTATGGGGCATTTTAGGAGTGTGACCAATGGAATATCGTCAAGCCGTACATCAAATTTGGAGCCAAGGTAAATTTCTCTATATTTGTGTATAGATAACCAATTTAAGATAAGCCCCGATCTTGATCGAAAAAGCAATCAGATAAAGTTGTGTGGGCAGACCTGGAGTCACTTACATCGAAGTCTCAGGAGATTTATTAAGGAGCAATATCCCTGAGAATGAATTGATTAAAGTACCTTCATTCACATTAGAATAAATACCCAAATGTTTGGCAGATCCCAAAAACATCCTTCAAGCAGTCGAGCAATTAAAGAATGCAAAGAGACCCTTGGTCATTGTAGGCAAGGGAGCTAGTATTAGTTTAGCAGAGGAGCAGGTGATCAAGTTCATCGAATCAACGAAATTGCCATTTTTACCAAGTCCTATGGGCAAAGGAGTGGTTCCTGATTCGAATCCTCTTAACGTATCTGCAGCTAGATCTACAGCCCTCGGAGAAGCAGATGTTATTTTGTTGGTAGGTGCAAGGTTAAATTGGATATTGCATTTTGGTTTACCTCCAAGGTTTGATGACAATTGCCAATTCATTTAAATTGATAACTTACCAGAAGAATTCAACAATAATAGAAGAACAACAACATTATTTGGAGATGTTACTTTGGTGGTTGATCAATTGTAGAAGTCATTTGGAAATTGGTAATTTAGTAACAAATAATGGATTGACAAACTATTTGAGAAGAGAAACAAGAATACTCTCTTAAATTAATAGTTAATGAACGATAAGGAACTACCCTTAGAATATTATAGTGGTACTAATCAGTATATTTTTGAATAGCATTTGGAATAATAAAATAATACTTACCAAGGGATTGTGTTTATGTTGGTGAAGGAGCCAATACAATGGACGTGGGAAGAACAATAATAGAACACGATTTACCAAGAAGAAAGTTGGATAGTGGAACATTTGGAACTATGGGAATCGGATTGCCATTTGCAATAGCATCCAAATTAGTATTCAGAGATAAATAGGTGTTTGCCATTTTGGGAGATAGTGCATTTGGATTTTCAGGATTTGAATTTGAGACATCCACTAGATACAATCTGCCCTTGGTCATTATTATCATCAATAACAATGGAATATTTGTAGGTGTGGATGAGTTATCCCAAAAGAATAATGAAAAGCCAGTGACTGCCTTGAATCCTAATTCTAGATATGAGAAATTGGTACATTTTACAACTATCTTAAGTGTGAATCATTTGGAGGAAAAGGCTTTTTGGCAGAGACCCATGATTAGTTGCATAGTGCTATGAAAGAGATCCTTAGCAATCCGCAATAAAGTTATATTGTAAATGTGAGAATCAATCCATATGGATAAAAGAAACCCTAAGAACATGCTTGGTTGACATAAAGTAAACTATGAAAATGTAATATATATGCGATAAACCAATAACCAATCAAAATTTGCCTATTTTATAGACTACACACTATTATGATTTCCATAGCTCATCTAAGTGTTCTGAATCGACCTTCTTAAACCACAAATCAGTTTCTTCAATTTTGTCTTCCAGGTTTTTATCAAATTCATCATGTCTATATTTATGAGCCAAATAGAGTATAGGTTTGTTGGGTATCACTTCATACAATATTTTCAATTGAGCAAAGAAGGAATCAAAGGTTTTCTAGTTATAAATTGGATCACTAGCTACTATAATATCAATATGTTTTTTATCAATCAGACAATCAGTTTTGTGCTTACTTTGATTCCAATCTAGTATTTTGAATTTGACCTGATTGGCTATGTTATTCTTTGAAATGTTCTGTTCACATAGAGCTTCGACTTAAGGCAAATCTGTGGCCAAAACATTACAACCTTGTTTTCCTAGAATGATGCTCAAGATTCCAGTTCCACAGCCCAATTCGAGAACGGTCTTGTTGGCCAATTCAATCTTGTTGAAATACGCCTACTTGATTAGATACCTGCCCAAGATTAATGACTATAAATTAATGAAAAATGGTAGTACACATTCCCAAATTTTACCAGCTGTCTCTAGATTCATCTTCTCGTATATTGTAATAAGGTTTTCAGGAGTATTTTCTTCATCCTCGTCTAATTTGATAACTCTCTTATTTTATTCACTATACATTAAAATTATTATCAATAAAATTAATGAGACAGTAATTGTTAACATCTCCTCAACCACCACCGAAATAATTTGTAATTCCACAACAAAGACCCACTTATTACTAACCACAGTATCAACCTCAAACTTACAGACGACCTCAACCAGCTTTTGTATTTTATACACAACAATAACCCCAATAATACTAATATTAATATCAATCATCAATCTAGCCCAGACAGACCTAACCAGTCTACACTGTTCTATCCCAATAAATTTACCAACCCAGTCCTGCCAGGCAACAACGAAATTCTATTCATTAATAACAACTCCCTATTGTTAATTCTATAAACCCTCAATACTCTAACAACTAAAGAATAGTTTACCCAAGTAATTCACAACAATAACAAACACTCCCATAAACTGCTCCCAGATATTCAGTGTAAAAGCCTCAAACGTACACGCTTCCTAACCAAACTCCTCAATAGATATTCCCACAATAAAATTATCACCAAACATAATAATAACAAATCTAATAGTAGACGCCCCAAATTAAATCCATTGCGCCAGTCAACACTCAACAAGAAGATGAATTGGAGAAGAGATTCTAAGACGCCATTGACAGAACCAGAGATTTAGTCTAGAAATATAATCCGGCAGATTAAAATAAATAACAATAATAATAATTAACACAATTGGCATTGCAATACGAAGATGGATTTATATATCGAGGACAGGGTTACGAACCTGCTGTTAGGGAAGGTTTCGGAGTGCTCACTGACCAATATGAGAATGAAGTATATAGCGGTTATTGGAGAGACAATCAATACCATGGCCAGGGAAAACTAATCAATTTCTAAGTGGAACAAATCTAGGGACCTTATGACTATAGGGATCTCGGTAACATAGAGAACGGATGGTTGAGTTACGAAGGTGAGAAGTTTGTAATATAATATTAGGTGATTTCTATGAAGGCAAAATGCATGGAAAAGGAGTCCTCATATTGACGAATGGAGAGTAATTTGAAGGAGAATTCAACGATGGTATGATTGATGGCTAAGGAATATATTCCACATCAGATCGTCATGATATTAGAGGTGTATGGAAAGATGGAATTTTAGTAGAATGATTCTTGATTTTTATTTATAAGTGCATATTTTAAGCAATTCATTCACCATCTGTAAATGATCAGAATTAAACTTTTTAAATTCATTATTAATTTAATATATTATTATTATTACTAAAATAGAAATGTAAATACTTGAGAGAATTGGTGATGGATTGTCTAGTGTAATTAATAAATGTATTATTAATCATAAATAATGTGCTTTAAAATCATATAAAGAGTGTTCACGTAAATTGCGTGAGAGAGAAATCAAAATACTTAATTCTCTTAAACACGAGAACATTATTTCAATTTTAGATTTTGATCAAGATTATAATTGGTACACAACTGCTTTGATGAAAACAGACCTACATTAACTCATTATCACTCATGGACCATTACAAAGTATCACTATCCAATAAATTCTATTATAACTATCAAATGCTATACTTTATATGCATTCAATAGACTATGTTCACAGAGACATTAAACTCGAGAATATCATGCTCAATTCAGAAGCCAAATTGTACATCATAGATTTTGGTCTATCTGTTTGTCTTCACACTTCCAAGTAATATCCTAGACATTGTGGAACAGCAACTTACATGGCACCAGAACTTAACTTAGAAGACAAAATCATCAATTCTAATTCACTCAAAAAAACAGATGTTTTTGCTCTGGGAGTTGTTATATTCATTCTAGCTTACGGTTATCCTCCCTTTACAGTTGCCATACAATCTAAGTGCCGATTTTGGAACATCATTGCCTAATCAAAGTGGCAACAGTTTTGGAATTATTTTGATAAACTAATAAAAGCACCCACACATCCTGATTTCAAAGATCTCATCTAAAACATGCTCGAACCAGATCCAAACAAAAGATTTACTATTGAGCAAGTTAATAAACATCCATTTATCACTAATTAATCTAACTTAGAAGAACTCATAGTCAAACTTAACATTTGAGTATATATATATATATAATTATACATATGAAAGATAATTTGATAGTTCATTAATAAGAAGCCAACACGCTTGAGCTAAATGCTCAATTATGAATTTCCTATTTTCTGAAAGTTATAAATTAATCCAAAATAATTTATCAAAATATTCTTTTATAATTCATTAATTTTCTTTTATACAATTCAATACCCAATTCACAATAATATGTGAATTATAAATTCTATATTTTTTCAATGAAATTTATAAGACATTAACATCAAGTTCAATGAATGTCCAACTCATTAATTTAAAGTCTTATCGATCCTATGTGATTGGATTCAAATGGTGTATTTTGAATGATAGAAATATATCGTATTTCCTATTTTCTACAACCTTATCATCTAATTAAATTTTCATATATATTCACTATTATGAAATAATTAAAAAAGAACGTTACAAAAGGGAATGCGAACGAATTTCTGCGTTCTTCAAATAATGATAATCTCAATTTTCCACACTTCTTAAAAGGTGTAAAATATCAATGTGATATTATTTCTATTAAAATTTATATTATTGATCATTTATATTTCTAAATGGGGATTATAATTTTAATACTATTATGTTTGTACTTTTAAGCTTTTGATTAGAACAATTTAAGTATTCTATTTCATGAGATTTAGAGATTTTAACTTTGAAAATCAAAATATTTTCCACTTATAAACTTCAATCCAAATATGATAAGAATAGTTAATAATATACTATTGTATTATTAATATTATTAAACATTAACTCAAAATTTCATAAAAATTTGTAATATTTCTTGAAAATAAGCCCATATGCAGCTCCTAAAATTATAGATGAGATGTGAGCTGGTCTGCAATTTTATTGATCGTCCATAAGGAATTCTTCAACTTCGTATATTAAGTATAACAGTGGAAAGATGGCAAAGGGAAGTTTTTTCTATTTAGTATAATTTGAATACTCTTATCATATAATCAGGGGAGAGGACAACAAATGAAAATATATATGCTAACGCTGTGCAAGCCCCTGTAGTCTTTGGTGATATCATTGATATTCCCAACTACTCATTTCGGTATTTTTCGTAGTAATATGTTACAGCACTACTTAACTAAATACTTAAATATTTATACTAAACTATTAGCTAAGTACAATCCCATCATTCCTTTGTAATTCATATAATAGCCATTTAAATACAACCCACATATTAAAGCTGGCACATAAGTTAAAAAGGATTAAGTTGTTTGATGTGATGAGGGAGCCAATAAAATTGGATAAAGGAGGTCTTTAGTGTACTCACTAATGGAGGTGTGTTTAAATATTTTAGAGTAAGGCATTACTTACCATAGGTGATAGAAGAATAATGTTCCAGCACAAAGCAATATAGGAAATTGTTTACTTGTTAAATAATAATTTTTAGCTTTAGCAGATTCTTCTATTTTGATTGTTTTCTGTATAAATTTTGGATCATTGATTATTTGGAGTTTTTGTCTTGCGTAAACATATCTATCACTGCTTAAGAAATCGTCCTTTTTTTCTTTAATCTATTTACAAAATTGTTTAGCAATTTTTGTTAAAGTATTCATAATTAATTTTTATAAAATATTGAAATAAAGAATGTCAAAGATCAATAAAATTATTCTCAAAATATGTATCTGACTTCTAGATATCATTATCAATAAGAATAGGTTCATCAATCGTGAAAAATTGGAAATCCTCATCACTCAATAGATGATATTCTTCTTTTAATTTCAAAAAGATGCTTTTAGAATTGTCTTTATTGATAGTCTCTTGCCGCACCATAGAATTTGGATTGTTGTTTTGCTCATTAAGATTGATGTTAGCAACATCATGAATTTGGATTTGTTCTTTGGATTCATTTCTAGATATTTCTTAAAAATTCAATTATTCTTGAATTAATGCAATGTTGCTAGCCTTAGAAAATTGCCTTAGTTTGATTCCAATTTTATGAGCCAATTTGATTTTATCTACATTGTAAGTTGATTACAATAGAAATTGTAACTTCGACAGAGTGTATAAAATGTTAGTAATGCTGAGTTTCTTCGTTGCAATTTTCTAAAGCCTATTATAGAATATCAAGAATTCCTCTTTTTCTATTAGAATATTGTTCTATTTAACTTCAACTATTTTGCCATACCAATTTTACTTAAATTTGATATTACCAAATTCAGGATAATACATTTAAATGACCTTTTAAACAGATTCTTTTTCCAAATTGTGTTCGTTAAAAAAGATGAATAAGTATGACAAAACTAAGATAATTGAAACAATAGATCCTATATCAGCCAGTACTTCAGATATCTTTGGATACTCGATATACTATTCTTGTATTACTTCACTTAAACCATATGCCATAACCAAGTAAGTTGGTCGGCCGAATATGTTTTAAAAGCTATCAGGGACTGTAGTTTAAGATATAATTATGGTATCAACAGGGAATTCTTTTTTTGAATTAGAAGGGAATAAGAAGCCATCATCAATTTGTGTTTTAGATAATCTGATTTGATTTTAGAAATAGAGCGTTGTATTTTTAGTAAGGATTGCTAAGTATTGTTTTTTTACATTTTATATTCGTTTTTATTTCGAGTTATATTCCTTAACAAAATGATTCATTATCAATGCATGACTCCTTTGATTCATGTAAGTGTTTACCAAGGATTCATTTGCACATTTCTATCCTTCCAACAAATATATATCCATGCATGTCCCAAAGGATAATAAGTATTCAATTTATGGGTTATCACTTGATTTGTTCGTATTTAAGTTTAGTTCTATATTTTCTAAAATAACTTCATGAACATCATAGTCCTCCAACTTTTGGTTATAATAAAATGAATAGGATTTCACAAGTTGTTAATTTGAGAATTAAGAAAGGATCGGCTGCAAAATGATGTTTCCTGGGTCGAACGGGTCAATTTAATCAGTCTTGAAATTTTTTCTTATGTAAAACGAGGATAATTGATCTTCAATATTATAGTATTTTTCATCATAAGAAATCTAGATTTGAGTGATTTTTGGTAATAACTAATTGGATTGCCATTAAATGATTTGATACAAAAAGTATGCTACACTTGATCCATATAAAATAAGTGTAGCAATTCCTCCTAGAACCGACCTATATTCCGGATGAATATCTACAATAGGTGGTCTAAATATGGCTCCAAATCTATCAATTTTTTAAAATCCCTTGACTAATTGATCGATCATATAAAGTTATTGTAATAATAATGTAATCAAAAAATATATATTTATATAAATGTTTCAATACTGATATTAGTTATTTGGATATTATTAATATGGATATTGTCCAGGCTATTGTGGATTTTGTCCAGGCTATTATTGATACATTCGAGGATCTTGATTATAGTAGGGCATTTAAGCATTTTGAAATTAATTTTGCTAATAAGGTTGATAATATTATTGTTATTGATTGGATTGATAGTATGGCTACTGCTAATTATTCTGATCATATGAATATAATTATTATTATGGTGGATATACAGGATAATTGTTTTGATTTTAATTAGGTTGCTCAATTTATTATTGCATCCTTTAAATTTGCGAGATGTATTATTATTATCCAAGCAATGCCGTCTTATCTTCTTGCTATAAGAATTAATTGGTAGATTTAGGTTGCATTTCAATAGGAATATTATTGGTTTGTTTATTAGTTTATAAATTCGCGACCGCTTTCAATTTATGAATAAATTGAGATTTGAATTTGTATTCTCCTCCTTCAAATGCATACTACCTTAATGCTTACAAAACATGATCATTTTATTGACTATTTTAATTGTTTCCTTTATTATCGACCGATTACTTAAATTTTACATAATTTTATATTGCTTATTATCTAGTTATTGGATTTATTCTATCGTAATCTGTTGGCAATTCATGCCATTTCTCAGAGTATTTACTTAATTCATTTGGATCTTCTGGCCAAGTCAAAAACTTTTTAGCTATCTTTTCAAAAGGGAAAAAGAATTCTAATCCAGAGAAACCAATTGAAACAAAATTTACGATCTTGGTTGTTGCATTTGATTCAAATACAAAATCTACCCACAATTATCCTGCAGCTAATAAGATGGGACTGAAATTAATAATATTGCACATTTCACTGTTCAAATGACTGCTTTGTAGTGGAGGTCGACATTTTCTTCTTAAAAGTAGGTATTTCTAGATCCAATAATATAAAAACAAACCACATATACAAAATAATAAAGAAATAGGCACCAAAGGAGCAAAAAACAACGTAATCCAAACCGTCTTACAAACGTATGCATAGTTATCATATAATAAAACTTGCGGTCCTTCGAAAATTGTGTTCGCCTCTGTTTAAGTGATTGTATTGGTTGCACTTTTCTCCAAATTTCTTTGCTAGATTAGTTTTCTCAAATAGAATATATCAAAAAATGAAGTTAAAGGAGTTATTAGTGCATTAATTAAAGTAATGATAAATGCATCCTATGCTACTCCTCCTGGTCTACTGAATGCCAAGCTTTGTAATTCAATATCTTTATCCAAGTCATTTCGAGTTGACAATCCCTAAACTAAGATATTTGTTGCCATAATTAGCAATCCTGAGTTTACAAATTAAACATAGATTAATTTAGTTGCAACTGAAACATCATAATGAGTTTTTGTGTAATGCTTCTCTTTTTTAGCCAAAATTGTTATGCTAAAATAAATCATTGCATTAATTATTAAAATTATCAATGAAATTATCAACGAAATGATTGTCAATAGAACATAATTAATGTTTTGATCTTTCAGATAGTTATTTTAAACATAATCTAATCCAAATAGAATAAAAAATGAAGACACTAATAACACTAATGTGATGAGCCAACTTAATGTTCTTTGCTTTATTTTGTACTTTAAACTATATCCGCAATTCTCCCAAAACACATCATCTGGTTCAGGAGCTCTAGTTATTTATATTAGCTTATCTTTAAAGTAAAAACCTTTGTTAAGGGTCTTTCCAAAAACATTTAAAATAGATGTCAAGACTAGTTCCCAGGTAGTTAATTTAGTGTATTCAACGATGGTTTCCAATTCTAAGTTAATATTTATGTTCAATACATTTTTTTGTTTAAAAGGTTACAAATGCAACTTATGTTGTTTATGTGAACTATTTCTTTTGAATATCATTATCAATTTTAGACAGTTCTTCCTCATTCTTCTAAATTTGTAACAATAACTCCTTTTAGGTTTCAGCAGTCACTAATGGAGGATATTGAGTATTAATATTTTTAAATGATTCATTAATTTGGTACTACTTTTCCAATTCAGTTTTGGTTCTTATGATGTTGATGTAATCAAAAATGTCGAAGGCAATTATGATTTTAACTATCTCAAATTCTTAATCAGGTTAAAGTTACGTAATTTACTTACAATAATTTGAAAGGCTTTCCTTTAATTCTGATTCAGTATATTGATTTTAAGGTAATTTAGTCAACATTGCTGTGAAATCTGAAGCTGACAACAAGCCTCTATCTAATTCGTCTTATGTTAATTTTTAATGTCTTCTGAATAACACTTGTATGGTTTTAAATAAAATAATAGAACACAATACGAGGATTGCTTGAACTTCCTTATAATCCTTATCCAGCTATTTGTTTGATAAAGCTATTTTAGTAGACGAGATGGTCGTGCAAACATTCGAAAATTAATTGCAAACTATTTAACAGTCTTCAGTTTTTAGAATTGAAATTATTTTCAAATACTCTTCATCTAAAGGAAGTGGACAATTTTATTCACAAAATCCATTTTAATAGAGGGTCAAAAGATCACTTTTACTGTCTAGACAATTATCAGTTATGCTATTGGTAATCAATGAATATATCCCCATAATTCCAAATATTATTAGTATCACTACAATCATCTACTTAAGAAACAGAAAAAACAAAGGGATGCCTTAACCTAAATAAATTAAATCGACAGGAGAAATCCCAATTTCTTTTTATTCTTGTTCAACTTCTCTACCGCAACAAGGACATAACTCTGATTTTGCTAATGGAGTACCACATTTTGTGGCTTTCTTTTAAATCATTATATTCTATACTTTATGTTTAATCGAGATGTTAGTGTCAGCTGGAATCTTAAAAGGATCATATTCTTTGGAGTTCTCCTGCATTTTGATAATTAATATAATTAATAATATTCAATCAATAGGAGTTTAAAATATGAATTAAATTAAGATTGATGCTAAGAATTCTTTAACATTTGATCCTTTTCGCATACCAGCCAGTATTGAGTTGGCAAAAGTTCATTAGGTAAGCATTATTACTAATTAGAAAGCTTCTATTTGCGGAGAAAATGAGTAAAAATCAGATCACTGCCCATGTTGTGGATAGCCAATTCAACAAAGGGAAATTTCATTATGTTAAAATAGGTTGGATTTGGCATTTCTGGGTTAGGGGATGCCTTTATTTTTTGAGATGACTTCTTAATTAATATTGATAGTGCTTATTTTATTTACACTACTTGGGATACCATCCTTAATAGCAAATTTAGGAAATCATGATTGTATTTCAGAAGAAAATATGTTTTATAAGCTTTCATTAAATGGACTTTGCAATACAAACTGTCCTTATAATTCGACTGATTTTTCATCTATCACTAAATTGATACATTCAAATGATTGTGAGACTATATGTGCTAAAATTGGTGACATTTGTCTAGGAACATCAGTTCTCTAAATGTCATTTGCAAACAAGTAGTTTGATGAGACTTCGAAATTGGTTTAATCCATACTAGTTTTATGCAGTATTTTGGTGTTTAAGTTTGCAATGATTCGAGTAAGGATATCGTAGAGGAGCACAGTAAGAATCTGCGATCAGGAATTTGTATCACCTTCAGATTTCACAGCAATGATGACAAATCTACCTACAAATGAATATAATGAAGCAGAATTAAAGGATGCATTGCTCGATTTTTGTTATTAGTTTGATGAGAGGGGGCAATATGAAATCGTTAAGATAATAATAGCATATGATATTACTTCATTTGTTGAATTCAGTAGGGAAAAGATGAGTCTGGAGAAGAAAATAGAAAGAATTGAGAATTATTATAAATAATATGGTCGTTATCCGCGGTCTATGAAAATCAATTAGCTTAATGAATTGAAATAGAGGATAGGAATTTTAGATGAAAAATTAACAAAGATTGAGAATGAAGTTGAAAATTAATAATATGCACACCAGACTTAAGTTGCATTTGTGACTTTCTAAACTAAAGAATGTAAAGACACATTATATATTTTTAGAATTGCAATCAGTTTTGGATTAAACTAAACTTTCTCACTGGGAAGAGTTATGGATTAGATTCAAATATTACTTCATCAATCGACAAGATTAGAGGGGATTCTACTTTAAAAATCGAATTATCATATTTTGCAGAGCTCCAGAACCAAATGATGTCTTTTGGGAAAATTGTGGGTTTAACTTCCAGTATCAATTACAAAAAAGAATATTGAATTTCTTTATCACGATTTTCATTTTAGGAGCATCCTTCACTATTTTACTAGGCTTGAATATACTGCAAAGCCAGAATCTTTCATCCTTGGATGATACTATTCTGATAATTTTTACGCTAGTTATCTCATTAATAATCACAATTATAAATTAGATCATCTATTATTTTATCAAATTATTAGGATTATCGGAAAAGCATTTTACTAAGACTCATCATGATGTTTCAGTTGCAACTAAATTGTCAATAGTTTAATTTTTTAATTCAGGAATTTTCACTAAAGTTATAAATATTTTGGTGTATAATTTTGAAAATGATAAGACTGACAATTATGCAGCAACATATGCATATTCTAGATAAGGAGGAGTTATTTCAGATGCATTCTTTTTGTTAATTGTGAATTCATTCTTTGTTCCTATACTGGCCTATTTGGACCCACTCTATCTCTATAAGTTATATCAGTAATACTTCTTTAAGGTCGATAACAATTTCAACCAAATAGAGGCAAACAAAATATTTGAAGGACCGACGGTATTTTTGTACGAGCAATATTCATACATTTGTTTGTCCCTTTGGATCTCTCTACTCTTTGCACCTTTGTTGCCAGTTTCTTTATTATTTTGCAGTTCTGGATTACTACTCTACTATTGGATTTAAAAGTATTTATTATTGAGAAGGAACTCCAAGCCTCCTTTTTAAAGTTTTCATTTGAATCGAGAAATGATGAATTTATTTGAATTAAGTCCTATCATATTGGCAGTTGGTTAAATGTGGGCAGATTATATTTTCAGTTCCAGTTCAGCCATATTGACTGTCAATTTTATTAGCTTAGGATTCTCTTGTCTGGAATTGATTACACCTGCCACAAGAATCAGTAAACTATTTGATAAGAAGAGCAATATATTCACTGAGAAGGACAGATACTCGGATGTGTACTTGAAATTGCCTACTGATTATGATAGAACCAACCCATTAACTTAGCAGAATGCAATTTTAGAATTCATTAAAGCGAAAACCTTAGTTGATTCAAATTACGTATAACCTCAAGTGATGGACACCAAAACAGCCCTATATAAATACGCTTAGATGGGAGGAGTTCAATTTATGAGGAATACCATTTCATTGAAGCTCAAAATCTCAATGATGAGAAAAATCAAACTGATAAGGAAGGCTCGTTAGATTGCTGCTGTGATTCAGCAGTAACAAGATGAAGAGATGTCTCAGGATTAGGAGGAGCCTATTTATACTTAAACACCTGAATATATGATAATCAATAAGAATATTAGCTTCAGGAAGAATTCATTAAATGTCTCTACTGATAATGACAATAATAAATTTCAAGAAGCTTAGAATTACAATTTCTCTAAAATTCTCAACCCAAACAAATTTGAAAATTGATGATGCTAATGAAATCTTGTTAAAAACTCATTTAACTTTAATATATATTGTATATTTTTGAAGAAAAATAATCATTTATATTGTCATTATAATTGAGCTCTAAAAGATTAGATTTAAGAATTTCGTTTTGTTGTTAATTAATATTTTGATGTGTTTAATTATATAGTTGAGGAAATAGAATTGCTTCTATTCGTGAGATCTGAATTATATTGGGAATAGTTGGGAAACTGATTTATTACTCTTTAAAAGTTGTACTGCGGAACTCTTTAATAGACTGGGAAGTTAAACGTGTGAATGGAGTCTTCATGATCAGATTCCTTATAATTGGTTTCCTATTAAATATTTTGAAACATCTTTAATTTATAGGCGGTCTGGAGCTTTCTCTTTAGAATTTGAATTCTTGATTTATTCACACTCTAGATTCCTTTTTGAACATACTCTCTCAACGATCTTTTGGTCGAATGCTTTCTAGAATTCCTCATATAAGTAATCGATTTGTTAAACTATTCAAATTTCTTCTTCATAAATTCTTGGGTTGCTTATTCGCTCGTCAACGGATTAGTTCTATCGTAATCAGTTGTAAATCGAAGGTGAACATCAATATATCTTTGATTCTCCATGTCTTCCAATTGTTTTCTATATAAAACTTAATGAATTCGATAGGAGGGAAATACCAATTCCAATCCTGCAATCACTAGGGTCACAATATTTATACTATGACTAAGATAATTGGAATCATAGATATCATCAATCCAATATTACATCCCAGCCAACAATAGAGGACTCAGATCCAGAAGCGTTAGCATTTCTCTATCTAAATGACTACTTTGAAATGGAGGTTTGCTATTTCTTCTCAATAGCAAATATTTTTATATCCAATAATACATCGACAATCCAATCCAATTAACAAAAATACATATCGGAGTCAATGGGGCCAAAAATAACGTGATCCAAGTTGTCTTGCATATAAAAGCATATTGATCGTACAACAACACTTAAGGTCCTTCGAATAATTTGTTGGCTTCTAATTAGGTCAGATTCTTATTGGATTCAATAAAAATTTGCTATAATTTCTTGATGAAATAAATAGGGTTAAAGAAGGCTGTGATTGGAGTGAATAAGGCATTCATACAACAAACAAACAGTAAATCATTTGCAATTCCTCCCTATTTTTAGATTGCATACTTTGATTTCTCCTTAAAATCCCCTCTCTATCCAACTCCAATTAGATGAATCAAAAGTAAAAGAAAACAAGAGTTAATAAATTGCACACAGCACAATTTTTAAGCAACTGAAGTGTCTTGATGGGTTTTAGTTACATGTCTTTCATGATTGGCTAGTAAGGTTATGAAATAATAAATGAGAGCATCAACTATGGTGATTATTAAGGATTTTAAGAGTGACAATGATGTTTTGGTGATAAAATCTAAGTCGTTTGAAAGATATTGATTCTTAAATTAGTTAGATGATTGTTTACTTGCAAATATTCTAGTCCATAGAGAGTGGCAAAGGAGATTCCCAACAAAACAAAGACCACAATCCAACTAATAAATTTTCTCTTGATTTTAATTGAATTCTCAATTCCACAATTCTCCCAAAATATGTCATCTGGTTCAGGTGCTCTACAAATTGATATTAAGTTATCTTTGAAATAGAATCCTCTTTTATCCTTATTTTAAATCAATCTCTTAACTTGCATTAGTAACTATTCCCAATATGATAATTTGGTTTGTTGTATTAATTTTTGTAATTCTACATAATTTAAAAATGATACATTATTTGGTTTGAAATGTGATGAATGCAACGGAGGTCGTCTTTCTATAAGAACCATTTTCAATTTCGATTTCTATATTTGCCAGTTCTTTTTTAAGTTGTTCTACCATAAGTTTTATTTTCTCGATTTCTTGTTTATTTCTCTTATATTTCTGATTTTTGATATAATATTTTTGTTCTCTTGCCAAGGTTTTTTCTAATTTAATTTTTTCTCTGCTTTTGAGTACAAATGATTTGATGTCATATGCAATGTTAATTTTAATTACTTCATATTTATTGGAACTATCGATTTTCTGGCAATATTACTCTATTGCTGTAGCTAACTCTTTTTCATTGTAATCCTCTTCTGGTAAATGATTCAACATGACAGTGAAGTCTGATGGAGATATCAATTCTTAATCACACTCAGTCTCGATGATTCTCTGTTTCTCCCTAATTAAAACTAGATAAATCTTTATAAAAATCACAGATCCAAATACAAAGAAAGACTGTATGATTTTTAGGTCATCATCCAATTGTTTGTTAGTGAATGACATTTCCGATAACAAAGTAGCTACACACAATTCCTAGTAGTGCTGGCAAATGACTGTACAATCACTATTAGAAATGAGTTGTTGTATTAATTTGAAATCGTCGTGTTCTTATGGGCAATTCTTAGAACAACCTTGTGTAATAAATATATTATAAGCCTAATTGGTTTGTTCTATGCAATTTTCAGCTAAAAAATTAAAAATGATGGTGGGCAGACCAAAAATAAGGAGTAATATGAATGTAAGCAAAATGAGCAGAAAAGTGATATTATAAAACAGGGGTATGCCTTGACCCAAAAAGGCTAAATTGATAATGTTTGCCTTCAGCGAAATAGGGTGAGTGTGAATTCCCAAGCCACAGCATTGACAATAATCATTAGATTCGATCAACAAACCGCACATAGTTGCTCTCTAGCTATTAATTGAGATAAACTTAATGTCTTTAAGCAATTTCTCTCAATGGAGGACTCCGGAGTGGATCAAAGCTTAAGGTTTGCAAAAATTACGATTAATTCATTTAATAAATTATTAATGAGTGATATTAAAGAAATAGAGAAGGAAAAGAAATTCATCGAAGAATATTTCACCTAAATTAGCACATCAGACATTGATGCTATTAAAAAGTATCTATTGTATGTTAAATAACACAAGAGGGGAAATGAGAATGAGAAGGTTCCCATCAGAACATTCATAAATACAATATCTGAGGGGAAAGGTAAGAAGGCTATTCATTTTGGAGCCTCAAGAGGAGACCTCGAAGTGTTCAAGTTTTTAGTCAAGAAAGGAGCAGACATAAATCTATTGGATGATGAGAAAAACAATCCATTCTTGATTGCTGTTCAACATAATCATATCTCTATTGTGTAATATTTGATTGATGTCCATCACGTAGATGTCAATTATCAAAGGAACACTATCACAGCACTTCATTTGGCTGCATCATAAAGTGCTATTCCAATGATAGAACTATTACTCTCAGCCGGAGCCAATATCAATGCTTTGTCTAATTTTGGAACTCCAGTCTCATTTGCAGTGGCATACTCATTTGCAATGGCACACTAATAAAATTTGAGTGCTCTTCATTTGATAAGGAAGGGAGCAGACTTAAATATCGTCTAAGATTAGATGCCTTCCCTGTTACATTTACTGATTGACTAAAATAATGAAGAATTATTCAACAAAATATTTGATGAATTCCCTGATAAAGTAGATGTCAATAGCAAAGATTTTGATGGATGGTCAGCTTTGCATTTATGCGCTGAAAAAGGATCATTGAAATTTTCATAAAGATTGATCCAACAAGGTGCCGATATCAATTATGAGAATCAAAAGTAAACTCCTTTAGACTTAGCAGTACAAAATGAGAAATGGGATTGCGTGTAATATTATAGAGAATTTGCCTTGAGAAAAGAAGCACAAATCCCTTCTCCCCCCGTCTAACTAACTGATGAATAAATTAAAGATGTGTATAATGAAATCAATACAGAAAAGGCTGAGGCCAATAAATTGTTATAAGGTGAACAATATGAATAGGCTATTCTTAAATATAGTGAAATAATCGAGAAATCTAAATAAATTGTTGAGCAGCATAGTGATGAAATTGTGAAGATTTACACTAATTTAGCGAATGCTTAATTGAAATTATCAAAGTATAAGGATGTGCTAACAACCTGCAAATAGGCTAGGAATGTTAAGAAAGATTGGGTGAAGATCTATTACTTTGAAGGTCAAGCCTATGAGGGATTGAAAGAGTATGGAGAGGCTGCTGCATCTTACTTTGAGGCATTGAAGATTTAATAAGAACCAGGAATTAAAGCATTATTTGATTAAGCTATCAAGAGAGGCAAGGAATTGTATAAATAATAATGATCATAAACACATTTCCAATATTTGCTATAAATTTTCTTTATTTATTGGTTTTTCTAGATAAGCCACCATCCCATGCGACTGGGCTTAATATTTTGTTAACATATCACTGAATGCCGAACAAGCTACAATTACAATTTCTGGTTAAATCTTTTTAATTGATCTTGTAGTTTCAAATCCATCCATCTAGGGCATATTGATATCCATTAAAATTAAATGATATTAACATTTTTAATTTAATCTTGATTCCACCAATTGGATAGCCTAATATCCAGTTAAGGCTATGTCACAATCAAAACCAAGCATTTTAATCATAATCTTTAGAGGGAATAAGTTAGCCGGTTCATCATCGACCAGAAGTAATTTAGCATATTAACATTAAGGGGAGCACATAGACGGTAATCTCGCTTTTAAACCTGGTAAATGATTTGGTTTAGGATCGTCTGAGATGGTTCTGTCGTCCTCTTCCATTATCCTAATATTCTCATCTTTGATGTTAGATGGAAAAAATATTTAAGGTTATTGCTTATTTTGGCAAGACCTGCTAGGAGTCAGTTTTCTGATTTATGAAGGACAACTTTTAGGATTTTAGGCAAAGCAGGAAAGAGGAGGTACAATGTTGGATTTCTAATGGAGGAAGACCTTCTTGTCAATCATTTTTATTGACTTTGATTCGAATTAACTTTCAGATGAATCCAATACTTGATATTTCCAAATATTAAACCAAAACTTAGTGCCATCTCCTAACTTTGATTTAAATTATAAGTTTTCCTTATGTGCTTATTGGAAGGAAGACAAGTGTTTGATTAAATAATTTGAATTCAGCAATCCTAAACCTAAACCAGCTGCCCCTTCTGAAAGTTTTGATGTCAAAATCAGATCATTACCCAGCATTTACTCAATATTGGAAGCAACACTTTCAGTTATTCCAATACCTGAATCCAAAACAGAGAACCTTATTCTTTTGTCATCCTCCTTCTCTGCAGTAACATAAATGTGTCCATCCTAATTCGTGTATTTGATAGCATTTTATATAAGATTTTACAGTATTTATTTAATTCTTTATTCATCTTACTTGAAGGTCATTTTTACTCGATTCACTAGATAAAGGGATAGCTTTTTTTAGGCTACTTGTTATTTGAATAAGCTTGAGAGCTCAGCAAATATGTCATCAATATTCACATCAACAATCTCGAGTTGAAACGTTTTACTGCGTAATTAATGAAAATCCTTTAAGTCTTTGACCATGTTATTCATCATAACTACACAATTATAAATGGAATCAAATTGCTCCTTCATAGATGGAAATTAGGCTAAACCATTCTAGGCATTTAATGCGATCTGATTCAATAATGTCCCAAATTCATGACTGAATGATTGAAACAATTTATTCATCAGTGCATAACATGAATTCTTTTTTATGTATTTGGCAAACTCTTTGATTTCTTCAAACTTTAACATGATCACATCTCTTTCAAATTTCAACTTTATCTAATAATACTCCAATTATATGAAATTAGTTTTTATTATTACTATCTCTGCAGTCTTCTGTAAAATTTAACATTTATTTATAAGCTAACGCATACTAATCCCCTTTATTTTTTAATTTAGGTTTCTTTGGGTTTGTTTGTCCACCTTTAGTATTTTCATGTGATCCAATAAATTGTCTTCCAAAACCTCGTCCCTTATTAACAATTCTCTGAGTTCATTGGCAAAGGTTCTCACCTCAAGGCTAGTTGAATTTTCAAGAACAATCGCTTTTTATTCAATAAAATGTATATCCTCCAAAGAAACGAGGGATTTCAACGTGTTGGGCACTCGAGATGTAAGCAAAGACCCTTTGCTTTGCTCTTTTTGTTGTTTTTATCCTTTGGTAGCCCAAGAGAAATAGGAGAGAATCATGATCGTGAATATGGTCATCAAATAAGATTGGACTTCATTATTTTATGAATATATACAGATTAGGGTTACATGGACTATGATAATTTTCCAATACTACTTGAACAAGCAAGAATATTTATATGCCATCTTTTTTAATCAATTTGCATAAATATTGTAAATCCTACAACGGATTATAGTATCATAAATTGATCACTCTGTCTGGCAAAAATACTCATAATATTGATGGCGAATTGAGTAAATATATTCAATTTATTACATTTTGTGAAAAGTACTATTTAAAATATGCTTATAACTAAGCTGATTAAAAGCAAAATGAGTTTCAAGATGGGGACTCGAGTGCATTCTAGAGTCGAATAAATGATTTGCAGTATGTACATCCCTAGTATGGCGTATTTTTTATGTTTAATCATTATATAATTAAATTTAAGTGATTCAATAATTTCATGAGTTCTAATTTTGTAACTGGTTTGTTGATGTAGTACTTCATTCCAACAGAATAGCATTTAGCTTTGGTCTCCACATCAGCAAAGGCAGTACAAGCTACAATGAGTAAATTATCATCAAGTTTCAATATTTATTCTGTGGTTTCAAATCCATCCATTATAGGCATATTGACATCCATAAATATCAAATCGAATCGCTCATTAGCTAAAAAATATTCCGATTTTTTTACATTCTTTCAATTTATTTAATGCTTCCAATCCATTAAAAGCAGAAGTGCATTTAATATTAAATTGACTAAGCAGTATCTTAAGACTAATAATATTAATCATCTCATCATCAACAATTAAGATATGCGTTTATTCTTTGAAATTTTTGATATCCTTTACATCATCACTAGTAGAAGCTCCAAAAGTAGGTGACTTTTTTTAGGTTTCTCTTCTTTTAACAAATTGACACTTCCTTAATCTATCAGAAATTTCATTTTCTTGATTTAATTCTTGTTCAACTTAATAATTTATCTAATTAGGAGAAAATGATATTGATAATAAAGCAGATTTTCTATTCATATTCAATATCAAATGGTTTTCTGTAGATTTATGTTTATTTGGAAGTTATAAATCAATGATAGATTAACGAGAATCGAAATATCCATTTTCATTAAACAATATTCCAGATTTCATTGAGGAGATGTCGCAACTTGTATACAAAATTTCAAATGGTTAATTCTTGACTCGAAAAGAAACACGAATTCCTTTCTCTAACCTAGTATATTGTAATCCTCCACCAGCTAATATAGACAAGTTTGATAATTTCAAAGCAATTTAATTTGATAAATAACAGCCCAAACCAAATCCAGCAGTATGTTGCGAAATCTTTTGTTCAGATTTAAACTCACTTTCTAAGATGTGATTTAGATTTTCAAATGATTCTAAGTTCATTCCGAATCCAGTATCTTCTACTGAAAATATTGTGAAACCTTATTACTCAGTAACAGTGATTTGGATTGCTCCTTAAACTGTAAACTTTTAAGCATTTGCAATTAGATTACTCAATACTTATTTGCATCTTCGACCATCGAAAAACTTTTACTTGTCTTCCAGATTAATTTAATAACTAATTTTCAAACCTTTCTCTTCAATTTATGGTTTATAAAAGCCGATAACTTCTTAGAGTAAGTCTTCCACATCGAGAGGTGCGAATTACAACTAGAATTTCTTATTTAAAATATCGCTATAGTCAACCATGTCCTAAACAAAATGATGCATTATTAGACCTGTCGATTTTATTGGTTAGAAAAACCCCACTTGATTTGGAAATTGATCTGTTGCTACTTAAGATAGTGCCAAGAGATAATTTAGTAATGTTCCGAATTCATGTGAAAATGATTTGAATAACTAGTATAATATTTGACTGAGATATTTCTTTTTGGTAAAAGTGTCTCTTTCATTCACTTATATGAATTGAATTTAAAACTGATTCTTGTAATGTATCAAAATTAAAAATTTTTGAAATTCAGGATGATTATAATCCAAAACTTAAACATAAATTTCTAATCTTTTATTAATTATCCTTTTTAATAAAAACCATAATGAGTCTTCTTTATATCTTCCTATCTTCTTTTCAGAATTAGAATCAATGTTTGTAATTTATATTTCTTGCAAGAGCTTAGTAACATCGTCATAATTCAATTGCTACAAAATATCGTTCATTTTCTAATTGGATTGAACAATACCAAGAAAATCATCTAGAAAAATTTCTGGATTATTTGATGTTAATTGTTACTAAGTTATAATCGTATCTGTTTCTATCTAAATTGGGAATTAGTCTGTTTGGTTTTCAACTCCCTTCTGTTAATTTTATTTTAAGGAAACTTGTTCTTTCACTTAATATCCAATTAAGAAAATTGCAGAGAGAGCTGTACGCATTACATCAAATAATTCATATTTTGCACTCAAAATGGCTATCAATACCAAAAAGCCTAATTAAATTTAAGGTATACATGAATATTCCAGGCAATTAAATATTATATTAGAAGATTATATTAAGTGCCTCATTAGACATTGATATATTGCATTGATTGCTAAAAGCTTTGGATCTTTAAATAAGGAAAAAAGGATTAAGGCTTAAATCAATAGTAACACTCTGATTAAGTAGTTTTGCTATTTCTTAAAGGAGAAAGCAATAAGAAATACATCAATAAACAAGGATATGCTCAGAAAGACATATTCAATAATTTATTGGCATTCCCAAAATTCTAAGATGATTGATGAAATGTCTGCAAATATTAGCAATATCATTATTAAAATTATATAAGTATTTTTTATAATTCTACGATGTTCACTGGCTTGTTAAGGAAGTAACTCATTCCAATGTCATAACAACGTTGTTTAGTTTCGCTATCAGTGTAGGCAGTACAAGCAATAATCTTAATTTAATTTCCATAACGAGAAATCAATTTCTAAGTAGTTTCGTATCCATCCATCAAAGGCATATTGATATCCATGAAGATCCCTTAATAAATGTATCTCTTCTATTCAACCTACCGTAAACACTCCACTCCATTGAACACATAATCGATATCAATGTTCATTCTTTTCAAAATCAATTTTAATCCTATAATGTTAATGATTTCATCGTCAACTATCAAAAATTTCATTGACTTTTTGATATTCCTATTCAAGACACAAGTTCTGGCTTTTCTTTCTATTGAATTGACTTCTTCATTTATCACACTTTCCGTGTAATCCTTTATAGGATCAATTAAACATCTGAAGGACATAATTCTTGATTTTGAATTGAGTGATAGCTTACTGGCCACTCTGCTCAACTTCTTTCCAACTGCCCTCTCTATTTAGGATTACTTCAAATCGATATATGAATGCTTATTGATTTATTAAATCCCCAAGATCCTCCCAATACTTTGAGTAGGTAAAACATTATTTTGAACTTAAAACCAAAATGTTGTTCCTACTTCATTCCTCTTGAATTCAAGTTTGAACTGCTTATTCGACAAATGCAAACATAGTTTATTCGCCAAATAACAACCCAATCCAAAACCAGCTGTATTTGATGACAATTATTATTCATTTTTGAAATCCTACTCTAACATATTCCTTAGGTTTTATTCATCATTTTAACTTATCCCAATACCTGTATCTGTTACTGAGAATTGTATCAAATCATCCTTAATGGCCAATACCTTTATCACAATTGAACCTCTCAAAGTAAATTTCTAGGCATTTGAGATTAAATGGATCAAAATCTACTTAATCCTTCTTTGATCAGATATTATTTACCAGCTCTCAGGAATGTGATTTTCAAAACTCAATTATAAGTCTTTTTACCTGCATTATTCCTAAAACAGTGTAGTAACTGACTCCAAAATTGTCTAGAGATCTAATTCTTCAAGTTACAATTTGAATTAATTCCCCAAAATATCATTGTAATCAACCATATCTAGTACGAAATAATGCATGATTTCACATGTGTTTCGAATAGAGTAATAATATTTTTGATTTGGATATTTGTCTATTGCAACTTAGGCTATCGCTAACATAAAATTTAATGAAGTTCCAAATTCATGTGAGATAGTATGAAAAATTTATTTCAGTATTTGATATAGATATGTTTTCTTAAGGTAATCATCTCTTTCTTTGTTATTCTAAAATGTAATATGTATTTTATTTTGATTTTCATCTTTTGTTATTTCAATAATATGGTCAGACATTATATTTGAATCCAATATTTACATGGATTATAATTATTTTAAACTAAATTCATTTAATAATTCAAACAATTCAATATTTCTTATTTTCTAATCGAATTTTTATTTACTTATTGAATCAATTTTATTTATTATTAATTACTAATTACCTAATTTTCTTTTCACATATTCATTCATGTATATACAATTTAAATTCTGCGGATCAACAATCATCAGGCCTTAAGTCTCATATATTCTCGGACTTTGTGTCCTAGTACTCGAAAATAAATTGGTAAATTCTTCCTTCTTTGTAATTCCTTTATTAATCATCACAATTATAATTCCTAAAGCAAAAGCACCATTTCTTAAATATTCAAACACATTTGAAGAGATAAAAATTATTATAAAAACACTAGTTCCTTCATTATAAGAACAGTATACCTAGCAATAAAAGCTTGTGGATTAAAGATTATTTGAATCTTGCTGTTTCATCTAGTAATATGATGTAAATCACATTGTAAACGATCAACTGCTAGTCATATAAGGTAATAAGGGCGATTTAAATAAACAAAATTAGTGTTTCATAAATTTGAAATACAGTGTGCATTTGAAATTTAAGACTGCCAAATTGAGTACAGATCAATCCTATATTTATACAGAGAGGTATAAGATTCCTGCCTTCAAAGCAAGATATGATATACAGGATTAACATAGTGATCTTAATTTAAAACATAAAATTTATATTATCAATCTTTCATTACATATTTTTTTTCTTTAATTCATCAATTTGCATTTTTATCCATGGAGGCAACACTGCCTTCTGTTTAATTTTAATGATATCCTACGCATCAAGCAAGGCAGCTTAAATTCCCCCCTTTAACAGAACAAGACGTTTGATTCTTTATTTAAGCAAATAATCTATGATTTCATTTACATTTTGCTTTTCTGTATCGCAAATCACAACTACATAATAAATGCTCTATTCTTCAACTAATCCTCTTAGTTCGAAATAATTTAATAACTAAATGTTATTGATCTTCTTCTTGTCATAGAATGCGAACAAAGAACCAGAAACGCAAGCCTATTCGTATTCCTTAGCACTTCTCATATCCAAAGATAGCACATTAAAGTTTTATTTTTGTTCCCTCAATAATTGTTGAAAATCATGAATCGAAATAGAAAATATCAATTGCTCTTGTAACTATTTAAATGTTAGCGGATGCTCCCAGGGTCGTTCTTATAAGTACTCATTTTCTTCCTTCATCTGATTGCAAATTTCTTCATCTTAATGAGTGAGAATGAAAAATGTTTTATGTAGTTAGCTTGTAAATCTTAGGGCATTTTACAAACAATTATCTAATTGTATATTATTTTAAAGATTCTTCAAACAACTAAGCATTCCTTCACTGTCTTTGATTTCAAAGGTGGATTTGAGTTCCAACATTATTTAACATGCTAATAGGATTTCGAATGATTCATCAGAAATTAAGAAATAATCGTAAATCTTCATAACATTCTCTAAGCTGAATTCTCTGGCATAGAAAGTACTAAACCATGAAACAATATGAGTTTCACATTTGAAATCTGTTTCTTTTAAATGATTACTTAAACCTGGATCAAAATATTAAAGTGTCCAATTGTAAAGCAGAATCTTCTCTTACAACTTTTATCCAAAATATTCACTAATTTCTACTTATTCCTCCCCAGAGGGTAAGTTCACTATTCTCTTTTTGTAGATCTCATTCAAGCATATCGTACTCAGTTCTGAATCATAATTAAAAGCTTCTAAGAGAATATATGAAATGGAATCCATTCCTTATATATAACAATTTGAGACAGACTGATTGATAAATCCTCGTATGGTTCCTCTTACTGCTTCTTGAGTTCTTTTGCTGTACTTTTATCTGATTAAGTCTTTTTCAAGTTGAATTAAGTCCTTCTCCTTTTAAGCATTCAAATATTCACACAATTCAAGTGTCAATTACACAATCTGCCTTTGGGCTTCTAATGATTCAAAACCAAGCGCCCTTGGCCAAATTGCTTTTCTTATGTTTTACCAAATTAAGCCAGAGCCTCCCATAAAATGAATTACCTTAGAAATGAAAGTTTAAAAAGCCTTTTCAGATGCCTAAGATATCAATTTTAATAATAGCACCTAGGCCATATAAGTAGGTTCTTGAGGTGCAATAACTTATTCTTACATATCTTCACTTTTTTATTCTTGTTTTTTAAACCATTTTCTGAACAGAAATTAGTCCTTTTTTGGTTAGACGACTTGATTTTCCTCTTATTATTATGGATTTGAGATTTTAGTAAGAGTAGCAATCAACTCTTCTAGTGTACAATTGTTGGGACAACATTGAATGATTTATGTAATTTAACTATTTATTTCTGATTTCAACTCTCCAATAGGATAGATACCTTCCTTGAGATCGCTAATAAAAATGATTTCTTCCATAGAAAAAAAATGATCAGCCCAATCTAGATTGAAAAATTTGTTTTTAACAAATTGAAAGAATACAGCCAAAGACATCTGATTCTATTGTTTTGGTTAGATAGCGATTTGCTTCTGTGTATAGAATAAAGGATTTTAAAGTAATTCTTAGACTGAACTCCTTTCATCCTCTTCTCTTAACATTTATTCAATAAGATCTCTCAATGACCAACTGTATTTAGAGTTCTTGAGAATGTCCAGATGATTAAAGCTATCTTTTTTGAATTCAAAATAGATGCATTGTAAGAGGATGACTCCTAATGAATAAACGGAGGCTTTAGGAGCTTTAATTTCTTGGCTCAGATGTTTATTGAAATCGTCGCAATCATTAAGTTCGATGTCTAAATATTTATAGAGTTCAGGGGCCAAGTATTATTTGTCCTCTGATTCTAAAAATGATCGATGATTTTGGTGGGTTATTTGCTCCATGTAATTTATGATCTTCCATTTTTTGATTATGTTGGTGGGACTCAAGTACAAAATGTTGATGTTTGATAAACCATTCAGTAACGCATATGCCAAATAGACAATTTCATCTTCATTCATGGGAGCCTTATTCTAATGTCTAAATTTAATATAATCCATAAGTGTTTCTGGAGATGTTTCGCTAATGAATGTGATAGTATCATTTTCGGTAGAAAGCACATAGTATTTACTTAAGTATTGTGATTGTGGAGGGTTGGAGATGATGGTGATAAGGTTTTGCATGTAATCCTCAAATTGCTGTGAATCATTAGTGTTTTAGCATTGGTCGAATTGGTCTTCTTCATAGTAGGAGGAATTGAGTTGCTGCTCTTGTCTGATGATTTTATTTGTATAACACTGGATGTATTGTTCAGATTGATTCCTTTCACTTGGATTAGAGAATGATTTAAGACTAGGTGTTTTTAACATTAATGAATAATTGAATTTACAATATATATTTAGTTGAAATAATTCACATTATTTGACAGTTTTTTGACCTTGAATTAATTAGAAGTTGTTTATTATGCTATCAAATTATTTAGGTTTTCTTACTACAATGTTAGTATTGGCGATAATGAGTTCATAATTTGAATTAGAGTTAGAAAAGCGATTGTCTTAGAATTGGCAACTATTAATATTGACCTTGAATCCTATTTCATAACTTCAGACTTGCTTTTGTCATTCGATTCTCCTATCCTGAGAGCTGTTTGTTCCATGCTTGTCAATACATTCTAATTGAGGGAGATTGGTTTAATGTGTTGAATTAAGGGGCATACTTCTATCACATTGTATAGATAGATTCCAATTCGACATTTGGTGATTGTGTTTTGAATAACTGCAATTTATCCACAAGAACATCAGAAATTTTGATGCCATAATCGCGAGACAGGTAAAATATGTTCTTTTGGATTGTGATTGATTTATTCTTGACATTTTCAAATGAAATAGAAATTTACTAATTTTTAAATTCATTATCCTTAATTGTGATTTCCACATTCTTACTATTTGTCATAATGACTAAACTACCTTCTATTATTGAATTTGTAAGTTCCATCGCAAATTCTCCGAGGTTGTCGGCATGAATCAAAACTGGCTATTATTGCTATTAACAATCACTCTTAATTATCGAATGATTCATACTCAATTTCGTCCCGTTGTTCTCACAATCAACATATACTTAAAATCCCTTCAATATTGTATCGTTTATTGTTAGCGACTTATCAAATGTAATGAACACCCCTTAATTTTGAAAGTTCTCAACATTACATGCCATAATCACCAAGTTCCTTAAATGCACTCTGATGCAAGGAGAGGTTTAATAGACTTCTATTTGATATCATTAAATACTACATTCTTCATCAAAAATAGAATCTCTCGTACTCCCCTCAAATATCAAACTACTTCCCCTGAATTGAATCACTGGCATATTCCCACTCAACTTCAACACTTAATTTATTACAACCTCTTTTCTATTATTATTTTCTTCCTCCTTACTTCGACTCTCTCTTAGATTAATACTTATTGAAATGCCTACCAATCCATTTCCTCCTGTGTTGGAGTTTCAACCGTTTGATTGGTTGAACTTAATGATTCCCTCCTATACTCCTCGAGTATACCATTTTCATTCATTTTTATAATATAATGAATATCAATCATCAAATCAATTTCTACTATGGCAATCGCCAATACAGCCTCGTCTGGCAAGATCTCGATCCAACAATCGTCAATGAAGTGCTCTTCTTCCTTTTCAATGAAATCTCAACCAAAAATAAACTGAATCACATGACCTTCCTTGATTCCAATTCCCAACCTATCCAAAACTCACTCCCTCATTTCATTCAATCGCAAAATGTCTATATCACGAACACCAACAACCCACAGATGATGAATATGGTGGAAGAATAGGAATTTTAGAATCTCTACCAGATACATCCAAATCAACTTGTGATTCAAAAGTACAAGAAAATGTAAAAATTGGAAAGTGTCAATTATCAGATGCAAACCATCTTTAATCTTAATCAACAATATCGAGAAGCCAGTCAAAACATTAAGGACAATACCAACATGATTAACCAAAAATAAAGCATTGAGAGAAGTGCCAACACTTATCCAATCACTAAAATTAAATCAACAACCAATCAACCAATCCATAAACGGCAAACTGATTTTAAGTCATACACCATTGAAGAGGTATTGCTCTCTTTTTATTAATATCAAGGTTCAATTACATAATACATAAAATGACGCTTGGATTGTGTTGCAGGACAATATCTATGATGTGTCTTATTATATAGAGAAACATCCAGGGGGTCGAGAATAAATTCTCAGGGGAGTAGGAATGGATGCCACTCTCTTGTTCTTCCAACATCATCCTTGGATCAACTTCCATTACATTCTTGAGAAATTTCAAGTGGGATATTTATTAAAATGAGAATTGCTTATACTAAGAAATATATGTAGTTTGAAATCTTAAAATATACAAATAGGAGTCAATTCGATATATCATTTAACTTGTTGAAGCTGATGCTTTGTTCGCTATTGAATTCGCTAATATTTTCTAGTTTTTATTCCACAAGCTATTAGACTGATCCTCTATTCTTCGTGTTTTGACTATTATCTTTGATTGCAATATTCACATCACTCTGATAAACAGTTAAATCAGGGGGTAAGCAAAATTATTGTTTAGATTCTTAGATTGATTCTAAGGATTGACTTATGCTGTCTCTCTACACTATGTCAGAGCTTTTGTGGAGATACGAAGAATCAGAGCTCTTTTAACTGAATTCGTTCTGTTGTCTATTCATTCTCTCCTTCAATTTGATTGCATATCTCTTGTAGGCTTTGAAACACATGATATGAAACAATAATTCAACGCAAGGGTTAACCTCCTACGAACTATGCCTATTTTTCTTAATCTTATTTAACGTCTATTCTTCCTTTTAAATCAACTTATGCAATCCTGCTTGAGTAACTTCTTTGAATAAATCTGTTTAGAAATTCTTCATAAAGGCAAATAACACATAATGGTATTCTAGCATTTAATTTTCATCAGACTCTATCTACATGTTCATAATTGTTTTGGCCACTGCCTTCTTGGCTTCCGTGGTGACCATTACCTTAATCTTCTCCAGATTCTAGGAAGATTTTTCAGCATCAGAATTGTAGGTCTTCCAATCGTTAACTGCTGTGTTGATCTTCTCCTTCAAATCATAACCCATTGGTGCCTTGATTGATAACATCAATTAGACCAGCTGATCTTGATGAATCTGTTGGCCCTTAGTTTCAGAGGCCAAAGGTGCCCATCCATCAACGAAGTCGTCTTCGAACTCTTGAAATCTCTACAAAGGATTGTCAGAATTAAAGTAGAATCTTTCATATTGGTCCAAAATGATAAGTACAAATAAATTGAGCATGATTCTTTGCATGATCACCACAAATATAATGAAATACGAACAATAATAATAACTGGCCTTGTTCATCACATCATACATCAATAAATACCAATCCTCACCTGTCGTGCATCTAAATAGTAGAAGTAAAGCATGATGAAAGTCATTGAAATTATTTTCACTATTAATTATGTAACCATCACTAAAAATAAATGATGAAAATTATACCTGAGATTGCTGAATAGGAATACACCTAAAACAGAGAAAATGAAATAAAGTAAAAACATTAAAGCAGATACATTAAACAAAGCAGGCAAAGAGAATAGAGCTGTGTCAATCAACTTTTTCAAACTATGTAGAGATTTAACTAATCTAAATAATCTAGTAACCCTTAACACTCTAAAAACTCGAATGAGTTATGGCCCAGCAGATAGAATAGGGTTATCCTTATTATCAGTGAAACTCAAAATCATATCAAGAATTGAGGAAAGAACCACAAAGAAATCAAACTGATTCCAATTGTTCCTAAAATATCCTCGTGGTCCAAATCCAATAATCTTTAACACAGATTCAAATATAAAGATCACACTCAAAACCAAGTTCAGTGTTTCTAAAATATATTAGTACTTGACACTTGATCCTATTTTATTAATGATATCTATTTACCTTCGTAATTTGATGCCATAGCTGCAATGTTTACAATAATACATAGCATGATAAAGAAATCAAATATTTTATTTGAAATAATCTTGAAAATCATTGCTCTGTATTAATTCTTTGGAGGATAGTACAAAGCAAAATTCGGATTTGAATCAACTATTAGTTTTTATATGCTTATCCAATCTTCCTGATCTCTAGAAACATTCTTATCCTTCATTTCATCCTCTGCCAATTTGTAATTCACTAAAATAACACCAACAAACATATTCATCAGTAGAATAGATCCAATCAGCAAGAAGATTAAAAAGTAACTTGTAAACCACATTTAATTATTTTTGATAGGTCCACTTTCATCGCCATCGACAAACCAATACATTTAAGTGGGCCAGCCTTCTTGTGTGGATACAATGAAGAGAGTCAACATGGCCCAAAACACATTATCGAAATTCATGTCTCTATTTTTCCATTCATATCCTTCCTTAATACAATCTGCCTAGTGCAAATAGGATTGTTCATCATTGCCTAGATCACAATAACTCATTTTGCCCTTCTCCAAATTTACTCCCAGTATCGCAAACATCAGAAACACTAATATGACAACCACTCCTACATTCACGATACCTGAAATTGAGTTGATCAAAGTCGTTACTAATAACTTCATTGATTTATTTTAGGATATCAATCTCAAAGGTCGCAAGGTACGTAATAATCTTAAAATCTTAACAAAACTCAAATCAATTGATGCTACTGATATATCAATGAAAGAGCACACCACTATAATGAAATCAAGAATATTCCAACTCTCTCTCAAATATGCATTCTCTTCCATCACAAATCCATAAGCGATTATCTTAAACAAGAATTCAACTCCAAAGAAGATTGCAAAGAACCAATCCGCCCAATCCAAAAAGTTACTCACATATGTATCAATCACCAATTTCAATGAACTCAAGAATATGGCAAATAGAATGATTTAATCAAATAAACTGTTCTTAACTATCTTATAACATAGCCTTCTTATTGGGTTGTTTTGACTAAAAATATTCAAGGAATAAAAGCATAACCCTGGTTCTGAAAAGTAGAGGAATTTGTTTAAGGAGTCTTATCTGGTTAGCAATTGCTTAGCCAATATAGGATTTAATGTCTAATTAACTGACATATTGACAACAGTTTAATTCATCGTTTAAGTCTATTAAATCTGCTGCTATTGAACTTATTCTCCTTCCTGATTGCTATTTTCTAAACTATGTTCTCTTAAGTACTCTGCTTCGAATTGATCCAACAAACTAGCCAAGAACAAATTCAACAACACATAGCTTCCTATGAAGATCCAAGCTATTAAATAAATCATAGTGATAATCCAAGAGACTGGTTATTAGAGTAGATCGTAAAGGATGCTATTCCAATTCTCGAGAGTGAGCACTTAAAATACAACTAAAAAGGATTCATAAAATGTGTCATAACTCTATCTACTGGGTGTGTAAGTCAATTGGCCACCAAAGAAGGACATTCCCAGCAATGTAAATATGTATATAAATAGAATGAGTAAGAGGAAGATGTACATTAAAGATTGGAATGCATTGCTCAAAACTTAGACTAAGAAATTCATAAATTTTAGAGATCTATTTCATTTAGGAGATATTAATTACCTCATCAACTTAGTTACTCTCAATACTCTGAAGGCTCTGAATATTCTCACTGATTTGAAGACTGAACTTCCGGATAAAAAGAATATATCGATGAGACTAAGGGCTACGATCAGTGCATCAAAGATATTCATTGGGTCTCTTATGTATTAGATGATACCGAATCCAATCATTTTTAATCCCATCTCAATTGTGAATAGGATAGTAAAGGCTAGATTGAAATCATTCAAGTCTTCTGAGTTATTGACCAAACCATCCAAACACAGGATTACTGTATTAATAAACACTGCTAGATTCAACATCATATTGAAATATCTGGAATCAACTATGAGGAAGAGTTTGAATTGCAGCATTTTCAGCATATCCTTAGTCATGTAAATCATGTAATCTTTTTTCTTAAAATTCATTCCCTCTAAAATAAAATTAAACCTTTTTTATAAGCTACTTCTAATCATGATTACATCCTCAATTGAAGCTTAGCCAATTAGATTCCCATTACTAAGATTGATGTCATCGTTTTTAATTTGATGATATTGTTAAAATGCAGTTTGAGTATAAAAATAAGTCTCATTGGGAGTTTTAAAAGTGAGTTGTTAAGTTTCGACTTCCTCTAACTTTTCAGTAAAATTGGCATCTACTTCTGAACTATGATTAAAACCAGATTAATATTATTCGTAAGTGAAGACCTTGTGGACAATAGTCTTACGTTTTTATTGTTTTCTAACGTTTAGTTTGGGAGTGGTGATTTCTTGGACTGATGGTATTTCAGTCAATGGGATGATTTTCCTAGATTTAGCAGTCTCTTTGAGTTTTTGATCATTTGAACTCAATGAACTTTTGGATTACTATTGTTATGATGTCTTAGATAGTGATAATTTAGTGGAATTGTTTTGGAATTAGTATGTAAGAGTGAACTTCATATTTTGGATTCTTAGATTTCTTATTTCTTAGTCTTTCCTTTATTTTTTAATTTCCAAACTTACAAGGATATCCTTGCTAGATTCTGAGTGAAATTCTTTATAAACAACTCTTGGAACTAATTTAGATTGAAACAATCTGATCTTCAGTTTTTCATCCTCTTTGCTTAATTCATAAATCAATGGAGCATCTTATTTTCTCTTCTTTTAATGGATGTGTTGAGTTGGTTTACGATCCTCTGTTTCGTTGGCTGTTTTATCATCTGACTTTTCAATTTGGAAGGAGATTTCGAATTCCTTAAATCTTTGATTTAATTCACTGTCAGAGATGGAATCAATTTCTGAGAGAGTCACACTTAGTACATCATTTTCGTTGAATGATTTCTAATCTTGCAAGAAATTGAATTGCTATTTGGGAATTCCCAAATAATTGGATTGATGAGGTTTTCCAGGAGATTGAGATTCGTCTAACATGGAACTACTACTGACAGGTTATGGAGTTTCCTTGGAAGGAGTGGGTATTCTTGGAGATGCCATAATCTTTGTATCGACTCTCAATACTGATTGTCTACGGACAGCAAATTTCAATAGGTTATCTAACTCTTCTAAAGGACTGTCTTCTTGATGAGTGATTGACATTTTCCTTTGGGACTATTTGAATTGTGTTCCAATCTTGCTTAGTTTCCTGATTTATGGAGCATTCACAGATTGGACACTAGTTTTCATGACCAGTTAAGGGTTATTGGCTTCTTAATATTTACTGACTGGCTGTTCTGTTCTAACTCCTTGGATTCCCTGAAGCAATATTCTGTTATTATTGTATTTGACTTGATGAGGTTTACTGAAGTCCTTAATGTTCAAGGGTTAGAAATTGACCTTTATTGAACTTCTTTTGGGTTCATCTATTTACTTATTGGCGACATTGATATTAATGTTGTTTTGGTTGTTAATTGATTGTCTCAATCGAGTCATTCTGATAGTATGTTTACGAGTGATACTGGGTGTCTGAGAATCTCTGGTGAATTTATAGATTCCCAGTCTTTTCATTTGTTTGAGATTGTAACTTACATCATCAGGTTTGATAGGCTCTTGAGACTCAGCCTTTGAAAAATTGATTTTTATGATAGCCAATGTCAAATTGACGAGAAAGAATGCTCCGATAATAACACAGAGCAAGAAATAAAAGACTGAAAATTGTGAAAAAGTAGTCATTATCGTCTACATAATAGTAGTCCATCCTTCAAGTGTTGTGATGATGAACACTTACAGAAATGCCAACCCAAAATCATCAAATGACAATAGTCCATTGATGGGATTGTCCATCATCTTACCGCAGATGTAATTGTCAGGACAATATCCATTGCAAAATGGCTCATCCGTATCATAACCGGACATTTAAATGATGCCATTTTCATCAAAACATCTCAATTTCGCATATCCAGAGAAGAGTTGCAATCCAGCTATTGCGAAAATTGTGTAGGTGAATCCCAATATAATCAAGGAATTACCCAATTCGGCAAATGAGGCAAATAATGTCATCATTATACTTCTCAAAGATTTTACTGAGGATATTGTTCTCAATGGTCTTAAGACTCTCAATGATCTCAAAGCACTCAGTTACAAACCAGAGTTATTCACAAAATAGGGGATGTATGCTGTTACTATTACTGTGAAATCCAAGACGTTCCACAAATCGCGGAGATAGGTATTGCTATTCAAAACAAAGCCCATTGCTATAATTTTTAAAACTGCCTCAAATGTATAAACTGCCAAGAAGATGATATCCATTAGATCTTAAAAGGGAGTCTGGATGTCCGTAGTCGGATCATCTAAAGCAAGCATGATTGAGTTAAATATGATGACCAGTAGAGTGAAAAATTCGAATATGGGATGCTTGGTCAATTGCATCGCCAACATTGAAATCTTCTTCGTTTATATCAAGATTCGCTTCCTTATCTTCAAAAAGGGGTACCTAATAATGTTATCGAAAATACTTGTCTTCATAGATGAGGGCTTTTTGAACCTCATTCATTGGAACTAAATCTATATTTATATTTTCTTAAACTTATATTGCTCTATATTCAGGTTCGTATTCATCTTCCAATTCATCCAAAATTTCCTCCTTGAAATCATTCAATATCTGCATAATTCCATCATCCTTTGACAAATCTGACTCCTTCCATATTTCCTTCACCTGCTGTAGAATCATCTAATTTTTCTTGTGTCTCTCGACGAACTCCTAGATAATATCAACAAACTATAACTCACATCTTCGCTTTCCATTGAACTCTACTCCATTTAATTTTATAATAAATTTATATTAATAATTTGTTTCACTTCTATTGACCACAGTTGTATCATTATTTTTATTTTTTGCGATGTCTGAACTACTCCTCAATATTCTCATTCCCCTCCTCGTAAAAATCCTGCAAAATCTTCATGCAGTCATACTCCAAATGACCCCCAAAACTCGGATACTTATTCAACGACAACACAGTGCCATTCCCCCCAAATCGCGAATTATTGCACCCATAATACACACTATGGATCTTCACGTAATTCAAAGCCTGACCACACATTATACATGGCTCGCAAGTCACGAACAATATGCAATCCTCCAAATCTCTGTTCATGCGATTGATGCAAATTATTTCGCAATGTTATGTTGCATTTTTTGATTTATTCGTATTATTATAAGCTTTCTCCATTATTTTCCCTTCATTCCTATTCACAATCACACACCCAACAGGAACCTCCTTGTTTTGCCTGCCCAACTCAGCCTATTCCAACGCCATTTTCATATATTTCAATATGTCTTCCTTCTATAATTCCATTTATTTTATATAATATGACTGAAATTATTAATGCCCTTGTGTACGACCTCCTCAAATTGAATCAACGCAACCAAATACAAGCAGAAGTACAATCTCCACCTTACAGTAGCTCATATACGACAATCTGAAAGTCCATCTCCAACCACTATTCCTCAAATTGCAATTGCAAAGCAGATCAGAATATATCTTAGTATCTATCCTCTATAATTTCATTCAGCTTTGTTAACGTCTGCATTTACTTGAATTGCCTCCCTTTCAGGTGATCTCGGAAACCCAAAACGAAAACATCTACTTGTTTTTAGAAGGCAAGTTGGTCCTCGATTCCTCTGAACAAGAAGACCTCGATTCCTTCGAATCCAATGTCCAATACGTCAAGAAGAACAAACTCTTATTCCAAAGACAATTAAATCATGGATACATCGCTGAAAAACGATACCTTTAAAAAATTGTAAAATCATCATATCCTATCCCCTCCAGTTCTCTCTCGAGCACTCCAAATTATTATACGTCACCAAATAATCCCAATCCCTCCTCTTCCTCAAACACGAATAATTCATCAGATAAAAACGCACGTTCTTTCTCAAGTTGTTTGAACCTACAAACTAAACCGAAAAATAGCAAATACATACTTTAGCTGACTCCTTACTCCTACAGCAATTTGAGGAAAATGAAACGATAATTACAATATATCAACCAACAGAATCCATGTTTCTTGTCTACTTGGGCCAAGTAAATTTGGAAACTAAGCGTAATATCATGTGTACTTGTTCGATTTTTGATTCATTTAATGAGGATTGTACTATGGCACCTTACACAGCAAGAGTCAAGTAATAAGCACATATTTTTGAAATCCAAAAATCACAACTAATGCAATTACCAGCCAAGGCCCAGTCTATTATTGAAGAAAGATTAAAAATGAAAACGAGTCTGAAAAAATCTCTTTTAGACCATCATATCATTGATCTTTAGGTACCTGAAATAATGAAGTCTGTTAAATATGATAAATTGACTCCAAAACGTAAAAAATAATAAAGCTTAACAAGCATAACAACTACGAGAACCAGTTTCAAAAAATTACACACTGAGACATTTTTGTTAAATAATACTAATTTGACTTCTTAAAATAGTATTATCAAACAAGATGCTGATATTTTGATGCTTCCGCTCAAATACCATAGACATATGACGAGTAGAATTAAACTGAACAAATTTTTAAATTGACAACAACAGATTTACCAAATTTTATATATATTTTTATTATTAATGAAGCATTCATAGATTTGATCATTGATGGTCTGTTACCGAATTTGTGCTTTATTTGCAAGAGAATGAAATTAAATGCCTGACAACTCAGAGAGTATAGCAATTGGCAATTTGTCAAAGGGATTTCCATGATTCTAATTGAGTATTTAAGACGAATCTAGTCTATAAGTCTGATTATCATTTAATTATATAAAATTATATTAAGTATGATATTGGCTATTTTATACAGTGGCGTTTGGCTATGCAATACGATCTACGAAATGATATTGGGAGTTGAGTACTATATTTTTATGATAGAGTCAGCTATTTTATTATGGTATCGAGTTGGGGATAGTAATAAGTTTCCTCATAGTCCAAAAACTATAAAAATCTAGACAATCTATAAGTTTCCTTATCCCAATTCTGCTATTATCTCTAAACATATTAAGTAAGTGATTAATTAAACAGTAGTACTTTTGCAGGAGAAGAATCCTGAGAAGGTGTTTTTATTTCTGCTTCCACCCTTCCTCTATGACAATTTAAATAAGGATTAAAAACAGAAACTCTATTTTAACATTTTCAAATCCCTGCATCTCATCATCATGGGCATTTGGAAAGTGCTGCACAATCTGAATTACGGGTAACCAATAATAATTACAATTATATTATTATTGTTTGCCTACTATCACAAAAAAATAATAGTTCAATAGATCGTAAGGAATGACAGATATCTTGATGATACAATGAATATCAGAACGAGCTCAGACACGGATCGAAACTAGGAGTTATAAAATTCTCTAATTAGTATAATTAAATTGGATTGTAAATTAAATCTGATGATGCGCAATTAGAGGGCACAGGAGCTATTGAAAAACATCAACATTTAGGAACTTTTGAACAGTCCCTTATTATCTGTGGACAGGTAGACTAAATTATTGATGCAAGAATAATTTAGCTGTAAATTTCCATCAATTTACGATTTGAAGGAAGGTCAACTTAATTACACTTTAAGTGAATTATTGGAATAGTTGTAACAAATACAGAAATTTCCTTATGAATTTGAGGTCTTCAGCATTCGTGGGTACAATGACCTGCATTTTAAGGTGTTTTACATTGAACCTAAGTCTTTTACGATTATAATACAAAAGATGGAGGAATACAATTTGCAAATTAAGAAAGTATTTACACAAACTACTATGCAGCAATTGTTTAAGAGTTTTAGCCATGAATACAATACATCTTTAAATTATATCTTAGCATTGGCATAGGTAGCGGAATGCCATGAGGATGTGCCGCAGAATGTCTAAGAGTAATTCTTCAAACCAATATTGGTGAATGGGAAGGTGATGCACAGCATGGTTTTGGATATGATGGATTACAACAGCATTTTGGGAAAGACATTCAGTCTGCAAGTAGGAGTGTTCAACATCTAGGAGTTGATCTTGGAAGTCATTTCACTGTTCAAGGATCAAATATCAAAGAAGAATTTAGAAATCAAAATTGAATTTAATTCTAAAATTACATAGATTCTATCTGATCGAAATAGAATTAAATAGATTTTGATTAATTTAGTCTCAAATGCTCAGAAGTTTACACTGCAAGGTTTGATATCCTTAAAGGTTGAAACATCTCTGTCCAATAAGAAACCATATGTGGTATTCCACGTTGAAGACACTGGCATTGGAATGACAAAGCCTGAATAGGATCGATTAACGTTGTTATTGCAATCGGGAGTGCCATCTATCTAAAAAATATCAAAGAATACAGCTGGGTTTGGATTGGGACTATTCATCAGCAATAAGATTGCAGAGGCATTATCGTAATAGAGATTCGAAAAGGGAGGTGGACTCAGGTTTGAGACATAAACAGGAAAAGGGTTCCACTGTTGGTTTTTTGTGTACCCTCAGACTGTTAGTCCAGATGTAAAACCTAACAATCCAAAAAGTCCACTGATAATACTCAATAAGAAGATTGTCATCGATACAAGACAGACAGAGGTAAATGCTGGAATTGAGACATTGCAAAGAGATAATAAGCGAAACAGATTGTCGTGTGCTATGATTAATAATGAACAAATAAATGAGGGAAATTAAATCAGACATAGACGACCTCATAGTTAGATCCGCTTTGTGTAGGAACTTATCGATGCAGTTTCAACTGACACAGTCAATAATGAATGTTCAGTTGAAGACTATTAGGCAAGAATCAAATACATAAAGTCTTGGCATCAATAGCAATAATAATAATCATTTCTATTGAGAAGCAATCAATCATTTATTGAATGTCGTTGTCCCAACATACTCATAGTGGATGATGAGTAGATTAATATATTAGCATTATCGATTTTGTTAGAATAGCTTGGTTTGAATTCTGATCAAGTGTTCAATGGAAAGGAGTGCGTAGATTTAATCTACTCGAAATAGAAAAAAAGTATGTGTTATTAAATGATATTGATAGCATATTGTGGGAGATGTAGTGATCGACAGTATTAGTTGATATTTATGGATATAAACATGCCTCTCATGGATGGATGGGAAGCATCTCGACAGATTAAAAAATGGTTTTCTATAGCCATCATCGCTTGCACTGCTTTTACTGATAATGAAACAAAAGAATAATGTTATCAAAATGGGATAGATTATTATTTGTCTAAACCAGTAAAGAAGGAATCATTAATTCAAGTGTTGTAATATTATCGTATACTTTGACTTTAATATCTTTTTTATATATAATTTTATAATATTAATTTATAACAATCGAATCATCAAACGGACACACTGCGAAACTACCGAAATTATAAATAGGAACTTGGGAAAATGGTTTGTCCTATTCTTATTCGGTTTCGGTTGAAGTCCTAAATATTATTTAAAAATGACGTAAATTAATATTTAGTTTATAAATCATAATCATTATTGTGTCATTTTACTCGAGCAAATTAAAAATAGAAATTCAGAAATAACAATATTTATGCTCAATAATTGTGGGGAATTCCTAAGAAGAATCGACTAATTCGGCGCTAGTTATAAACCTAGCTATGCCTATGGAGAAGTTCAATACAAAACCTCTTTGGGAGGGTTGCTTTCAATTGTTTTATACGGATTAAGTTTAGCTTATTTGGTATACGAAATGGTCTTGTGGAGATCTGGGAGAATACTCCCAAAAATCACATCCTTAAGCACAGAAATTGAAACCTATCAACTATCCTTTGATAAAGTAACTATAGCATCCTTTTGTTTGAGAAGGCACAAAAGCATTTAAGATTAAATTGACCCTTTTGATCCAGATCATGTGGTCTTACTACCGATGCTGTATGAAATAATTGATGATGAGATTCAATAGCCAAATCCGTTACTTTCGACTAAGAAATCCGAGAAACATGAAACCATACTAATAGAGCTCAAAGACTTGGTATTGTCAAACAATGAACATGAATCCCTGGATCACCCTAATAAGGAATACATGCTCATTTTATAACAATGTGTTTAGCATCTCTTACCCTCAGGTTGGAATTGTGCAAATGAAGATACAATAAAGAAGTTCTTTAATCAAAAATAGAACCAATTGACCATCCAAACATATGTTAATTAATTTAATACTTCTACAAGACAACTAGATTTAGTCGAACAAGATTATTATGCTTCCATCGATAATAAGACTACCTATTTCAGTCAAATTACCATATGCACCTCAAATGTATCCATAGACACTGGGTTTTTATTGGAGAGCATAGAGACGATGGAGTTTCCAAGTTCCACTCAATAATATATACAGCAGATGGACTTGGATTATTTCACTCACACCTTTAGTGAGGATGTGTACGTTGTATTTGAGTTTGAGTTGGGAACCTTGTAGTAAACTGTCTTTGTTGAATATCCGAAAATATCTGAGGTGCTAGCAAACATCGGATCTATCATTTCATTCTTCTTATTCTTTTCACATGTTGCCTATTTAATTAACGAGAAGAATCTAGAATTAAGAGTAGTAAGAACTCTAATCGAGATGTACTACCCATAAATGAAATAAGTTACTTTCATTAAGAATTTCTTTGGCAAAGTGATCGAAATCAGATATCAAAATTCAAGAGTAGCACTCTCATTCTTACATACTTATAAGAAATTGTTGAAGATTGCTTCTGACAAACTGTGTTTAACAAATACTCTTTATGAAATTTCGAGGTTATAATTCATTGTTAGGTCATTAAGTGATAAGGAAGTGCTCAAAAGTTGTCATGAAATTGGAATCAGATTAAAATTTATTGAACTTGAATAAGAAGTTGAGAAAAAAAATGCCATAAAAATCGAAAATATGAACAATAATCAAGAACTGAGATAAGAGATCATAGATAATAGCTCAATAGATGATTAAAATCGCAATATCCTAAAAATTGTAATTCTTTATTTTCTATTATCTAGATGCCTTAGTCTATGGTTGATGTCCCTCAATAGGTTGTATAATTCTAATAATTGAATCAATCGCAAAGTCTATTCCTGGGAAAGAACCTGCAGATACCAGAGTCGATAGATGACGAATTGAAATTGACTGATGAAGATTTCTATGTCCTTATGTAGCAACAACCTAAAATGAAGGACTTAAATGCAGTTGAATTATATGAAACTGTGACACCCAAAGCTCATCCCCAAAATAATCAAAATAATTCGTAGAATTGATCAAAATGTAAATATTATGTGAATTATGTTATTTTTAAATTGCCAACAAATACCCTGTTACTTATATTTTATAAATTCAATATTATTATTTAACAATGTAATGAAATTTAGGGATGTAAGAGTATCTTTGATAAATTGGTTGCTTAAATTAAAAATGACATCATTTTTGAATTATATAATTTAATAACAACCAAATTATGTCATTTAAATAATCTCAATTGTATTAATATTTCGAATTAATAATTTATATTAACTTTAATAATGAAACTTGATTAATTTGGAGCAAGTTACAGTGATTACAATAAAACATCATCAAATAAGCATATGGTCAAGTGCAACTCAAAATGGGGGTTCTATTTTGGTACTAGTCTATCTTAAGTAATTTATGAATTTGGAGATCAGGATAAATGTTGCTAAAAGAAATATTTAAGAAAGCCAGAGCTGAAATCCATGCTTTAAATAAGAATGATCCCATTCTCATTTCCATATCTAATATATTAACTTAGATATTATATTATAAATTAACTCATTCAAAAAAACTTTTGTCTTTAACTATAGCTGAATTCTCTCTCATAATCTCAGAGTATTCCTAATAAATTGATCCTTTCGAATAAGGAAAACATGATGTTGTTAGGCAAAGTTGTAGAGAACAACTCTTTAATGAAAATCTCTATTATCAAAGAAAATAAAATTAAAAAATATCATAATTCTAATCAAAAATATTTAAACTGAGCCTGAAAGCTATTTCTTAAATTAGTAAACCTTTGATTTATAATTTCTTCTTTCAATTCTTTTCAAAAGGTTTCTAATTTAATAATTGAAAATAAAATTGAAGAGTAAAATAGCTAGATCAAAATATATTTAATTTAAGAATAATATGGTTATTTTACACTGCATTCTATCATAATTGAATAATATCCATCTTGCATTTAATAAATTCATATAAAAAAAAAACCTTAAATTGCGAGACAACATAATGTTTGTCTTCTACTTACTAGTTAATAGATATGAAATCTTTGAATTAATCAAAATCTAAATAGTAATTCAAATAATATAAACTTAGATACTAAATAGATTATTTTTATTTAATTATATTAACATCAAAACTAATTCATAAATTAATTCAAAAATTCAATAATATTTGTATCCTGCGCCATACACACCTACTACATTACTTTATAAACCCTGACTTCTGAAAAGGTTATTGTCCATAGTGCTATTTCGTTATTATGGTTTGATTTGACTTTAAGCTACATTAACTCGAGAGTTCCATCTTGAGTTATCATCTGCATTTCCGTAATTATATTGCTTGTTTGAAGAGTTATAGATATTGGACGAGCTTATAAATTCCACCTTTTAAGTGAATGTTTATAAAACCAATTTTGCTAATAATGTTTTAATTAATACATTTTATTCTGAGACTCCTAGGATTTGAATTTTTTGCTTCACACTATGGACACCTTTCACAGTTCGTCCTACAACAAACTCCTATAGTATGGTATTAACAATCAATTTCTTATCTTAAATTAAATTCTGAAAATTATGTAAAACACATAGTGCATTCTCCTTATTCTTATTGGTTAAACCCTTCCTTAGTTTTACTAGGTTATTTTTATTCTACAAGGTCTTTGGCCGATGAAGAATTATTTTATTTATCATTTTGTGAGTATATTTATGATTATTATTTTTGAGTATCATTACTTCCAGAAGGAGACTTCTCGATTTTCTTGTATGGTGATTATTGTTATAGTAATAACTCTTCTTACTATTATTATTGAAGTATTTGCTATTATTATTTTTATTTAATTTCCCTTTCCTTATCTTCCTTCTGAAATTATTCATCAAATTTAATTCTCTCTTCTACCAAACGTAGTTGAGATTAGTCATAGAATTTTTCAAACTCTCTTCCATATACGTTATTACATAAAGGACAAGTAACAAAATATTAATTTGATGGTTTCAAAAGCAACCTTTAAACTTACAACTAAATGCAGGAGAAGCAGATAAAATGCATGCATTTTTTATCTTTATACAAACTGTTCGAACTGTATTCACTGTTACATTTACTACACCTAGCCACCTGTTAATTTTAAGGATATGTAGGCAGTTAATTTTAAGGATATGTAGACATCTAATTTTAAGGATATGTAGACTGCTAATTTTATGAAGAAATAGGTTATGAGTTTTAAGTAGCTTCCTTTTCTAGCTAGCCTCTTTATTAATATAGTGAAAGATCAACTTATCTATAACAATCTTTTATTGGGCATTTTTAGTTTTTAGAGATGATTTTTCTTTTGAAACAGTCATCGCAAAATTTATGACCACATGAATTATTAATAAATAATTTGTTAGCATTTTGGTCTTAACAATAATTGCATTTCTATTATTATTATTTTGAATCTATAAGGTTGTTATAATAAACTGAATTTATCTTGTAATTTTCTACAGGATAATTTGGGTTGGATTTTGAGTTGTCATTAGTGGTGAACTATTACGATTTTGATAAGTTAACTGACTATTCTAGTTGCTACTTTTATGTATTGAGTTCCTTACTTAAATATTGTTGAATATCTCTTATTTATATTTTTTACATGCAAGCATTATTGCAGATAATAAAAAGTGATGAATTTGCCTTTTTTAACTTGTCATTTAAACATTTAAAGCAACATACATGTAGACATTAAGTGACAAAATAATCATCTTGTCTCATTGAACACATTTGACATATTTATTAGCGTTGGTTTATATATTAAATCACAGGATTACTTTATTTGATTAAAAAGTAACCTTCTGCTTATTAAAAAATCAATATTCTAGATTTATTAGAATTACCTATAATGGTCTGTCTAATGAAATTTATAGAAATGGAAAAAAAGTGAGCAATGCTTGCAATAAGTTAAGGTTAGTTATTCGGAATCTTTTTTAAACCTTACAATTAGCAAAACTCTTCCAATAAGTATCCTCCCTTATCATTTGAACTATCAATCATTTTTAGCTATAAGAAAAATTCTTTCGGATTTATTTACTTATTCAGCAGACTATAAATAAGTTATGAAATCTTAATATTATTTGCATTTTGATAACTGCTTCTAGGTTTAGCCAATTGCGCCATTGTTTAGTATTTGTCATTTGCAATAAAATTATCTAAAAGTGAAATGAAAATTGTAGACATTGTATTTTTTCCCAAATATTGCCATTAAACAAATGCTTGCACTTCTAAATATTATGCTTTAAAAGTCTATGGAATGATCCCAACTTCATATATTCCAAGCTTCATTTAATATTATAAATAACATTATATATAACATATTTAATTTTATTGTGATACTTCATCATATTTGAGCAGAATTAAGAATGCAATATTCGGATTAGTTTGCAAATGAACAACCTCAATGAAAATCAATCAAGCTAAAGAATTCAAGAGTAATTGAATGAAATCATTGAATTTCGAATGTGTTTTCAATTTCCCAAAATAAATGCTTATATTTCGAAATATGCAAGTGTATTTTAGAAATCTAATGGATTTTAAGCACGCTGTCAATTGAACTGATTTAGTTGTCATCTATTTGTTTTATAAAATATTATATAGAAATTTCTAAATTCTGATTTGATAAGAGTAGGTGATTCATGAGTGGATTGAGAATATTTATGAAGACAAGTGTATTTGATGAGGAAAGATAAATAAATATAATTTATGGCAACAAAGGAACACAGTCTTTATAAATTAGTAAGCAAAGATTAAGCTGAAGCATTTGCATGGTCTTTTGAGGGTCCAAATACAGAGGCTGTCCTCTATCCATTTTAATTCCCTCCCATCAGACCAGATGAAGTTAGAATTCAATAGACATATTTTGGTTTATGCTACACAGATTGTAAATTGAATGATTTATTTTTAAGGTCATCTTGTTAATTAAGATTGGTTCCCAATTAGTTATCCAAGTGTACCAGGACATGAAATATTAGGTCATGTAGTATAAAGAGGAGACTAAGTCACACAATTTTAAATTGGTGACCTAGTTGGAGCAGGATTTATTAGAGATAGTTGTGGAAAATGCAAATAATGTATTTTAGGAAATGATTAATTGTGTGGACAAGTTGGAAATGAGCATTTGATTCCAATCCCCAAATTTGGTGGATTTGCTACTCATGTCTAATTACCAGCAAAATGGGCATTCCCAATTCCCAACACAATTCCTCAACATCTTGCACCTCCTCTTTTATGTGCAGGTATCACAGTCTATGCTCCACTCAAGAGACACTTTGGAGCCAACAAAAATGTTGGTATCCTCGGTATCGGTGGTCTTGGACATTTAGCAATTAAATTCTCTGCTGCTTTGGGAATGAGAACAACAGCTATTTCTACATCAGCAGATAAGGAAGAAGAAGCAAGATCATATGGTGCTACTGATTTCATTTGCACAAAGAATTAAGAATAGATGGCTAAGGCAAATGGAACCTTTGATATAATTTTGAGTTGCGCTAGTGCTAATACAGTTGATGAATTCATAGCTTACACTAACCTAATCAAAAGCGGAGGTGATTTTGTGATGGTTGGCATCCCAGCACTCACAAAGGTTGAACTCTAATTACCATTTTTCGCTTTGGTTGTAAGATAAATATCCTTTGTTGGATCTCTTGTTGGATCAAGACAAGTATATTTTCATATTAAAAAATTTTAGGAAAACTACGAAATGCTTGAGTTTGCCAATAAGCACAAGATCTACCCTACTTGCGAGTAATTCGAGTTTGAAAATTTCAAAGGTGCCTATGACAAATTGTTGAATGGAAGACCCAAATATAGATGTGTTGTCAAAGTTGGTAATGCTCCAGAAACACTCAAGTAATGAGAGTATTATATAAAGAATCAATTTAAATTTGTTATAATTTCTCTTTGTCTTTATAAATATATATATATATTTAAATCTTATTTAAATAATTACACACACATTCATAATCAATTTTTGTTACTTGGTTATTTACACAAATAATCCTTCAACTATATCAATCTCTCCTTCATATTACTATAAAACTATTAAAACAAAAAGATCATCTATATAAATATTGAGAACCCAATAAAAAATAGGATTATCCATCCGATAAAATACTTTTGATCAAATGAAAATATGTTGCTTACATCATGAATAGCCAACAAAACAGTAATAAATATTATAATAAATATACAAAAGTCAGGTATTGATGATTATATAAGCACACTTCTACTTTCAAATGGATTCTAATACAAAATCAAGGCTAAATTCAAAAAGCAAATTAGACAACATAATGACGTTTATAGCAATGGCACTTAATAAAAGTACACTGTAAAAAATATAAAAAAGGCTTTTCTCATTAAATTGACATAACAATAACTTCTAGCCAATATCTTTTTAGTATCAATACCTTCATATAAGGATGAATAATAATTCTTAAACATTTTGTTCTCATACAAAATCTCATGTTATGAACAAACAAAAGAATACATTTTAAACACTATCAATATAAATATAACTCCAATAATTGCCAACAAAAAATTCAGTTTTATTATTACGTAATCTTCATGTGCTTAATATTATAACTAAAGAACACAAGCCAAACAAACATCCAAAAAAACTAATCCTAAGATTTGAAATAACTTTGCCCTAAAATTCTCTTTAAACCACAGGATTTCATTATATACATGATTGATAATATAGGGCATTTTTTAACTTTTTAAATTAATTTGTTTCTAATGAGATTTTTATGGTGATATCATTTCAAGACTCTTGTTCATCTCGCTGACTGAAAATATTTCTATTTTATGTATTTTCATATTGTTCTATAAATATTTACTTTAGATCAATGAAACTATGCAAATTGATAAGAAATATCCCAATATTGCTAGAGAAATTAATCCACAAAATAATTAGATGTTGTTTAGAAATAGCGGATTAACATCCTTCTCAGTAAATTTTGGAGGTGCTTCAAAATAATATGGATCATCTGGTGAATTTAATGTGATAACATCCGGGATATTAATCACATCACCCCATTGAAGTTAATTGAAAAATAACTTAACATTTAAGGGGTAATCTACATTTAGAAAGTAAAAATTATTAATCCAAGTCAATATATCCAGGATTGTCCAAAAAAAATTGAATCCTCCGAGAATAATTGTTAAAGGCCCAATTAATTAAAGTAGAAAAGTAAAGGTGGAAGATGCTGCTACTACACTTTAAGCTTGAGCCTTTTAATCTTGATTATAATAAACTAATCTTCTTGGTGTAATAATAATCTCTCTAGTTTCTTCTTCAAGAACTCTTGTGACATTTTCCTTTAATGGTACTATTAAATGAATAAGATTGTATTCCATTATGGTTTTAAAGAAATTAAATTTGATTTCACACTTAGCTTATGCTGTTTTGTTTTCACTTTCTTTTAATGAAACTTCATACTTGAATTCATTAGGTTAGAATTGCTCTATCCAAATCGTCAATTTCTCACAAACACCATCTATTTTAAGATCCTCAAATATTAAATCGAAATCACTAGCAGTAGTGGAGTTGGTATATTACAAACCAATTGATTTCTTAGGTGGAACATAACAGCTACTCTCTTTGCAAATGAATTCTTTTTCAATTTCACATTTCGAATTACATCCATCTTTATCGTTTCTATTTCCATCATCGCATTATTCACTTCCTGCGAGGATATTGTCTCCACATTTTGTAACACATGATTTTAGTTTTTTATCCAAATAAAATCCAGATATATTATCACATTTTTTACAACCATCTGTTGAGCATACTGTGCAATTGTTTGGAGTGTTGAAGCACTCCTCGCATTTTTCCGAACATGAATTACAAGTATTATCTTTTAGGAAATATCCACTTTTGCAACGCTTGCATTCTACTAAATTCAAGTTATATACGCACTCCTCACAATTGTCTTAGCATCTGTAACAAAAGGTTAACAAGTTTAAATCTTCCTCGCATTTATACAAAGGATCAATTTTACAAAACGTACAACCATCTCTGACAACATCATTTTGATCATCACATAATTCATCCCCAATTTTAATACCATCTCCACACTTTGTTATACATTACTGACCATTTAAATAATATCCGCTTTAACATTCAAAACATTCTCCTTTTTGACAATTAGAGCACATTTTATGACATTAATATTTGCATTAATAGCATCCATCATAAGGAATATTATTCTAATCTTCACATTATTCAAGGCCAACAACAATGCCATCCCCACATTGTGGCAAACAATCATTACTATAGTCATCATAATACAATCCTTTTAAACCTTCACATGATCTTCGTTGTTCACAAATACTTTTTGATCTTACGAGCATTAAAGAAGACTCACATAATTTACACTTTCCAAATTAGCAATCTAAGCATTCCATTTGACATTAATATTTACACAAGTAACAACCGTCATATCTCAATTCATTGCCATCATCACAAACTTCATCACTTGCTAGTATCTTATCACCACAAACAGAATTACATGAATTACTTACAATATCCAAATAGAAGCCTGTAAAGCAATTAGTACAAACTCCATAAGCACAGGACTTACAATATTGAGGACATTATTATTTACAATTTAAACAAGTATCTAATTAGTATTCACTTCCGTCGTCGCATTCCTCTTCCTAAACTATAATAGCATCTCCACATTTAGGCACACACTAGTTTCCATAATATCCAAATTCACATTCCAAACATTTGGAAAGTACACATTTTTTACAATTTTTAGGGCATTTATTCATATTATAATCAATTATGCACGTACTGGTAAACGAATCAAGATATCCATGTTAACAAAATATGCATTAGTTATTATTTAGTATTTTACAATTAGGCTATTCATTAATTGTAACTAAGGGTTGAATTTGTTTGCAAGAATTAAATAATTAATCAAATTCATAATCAAGCTAACAAGATTAACAAATTCCATTCAAACAATTTTCACAATGCTGTGCACATTAGTATTTACATTAAAAGCACCCATCAAAATTAATCTAATTTCCGTCATCGCATTCTTCATCTCCAACAACAATTGAATCTCCACAAATTGGATCACAAAGGAATAACCCCAATTTCCACCCTTCTTTACACTCAAAACAAACACCGTCAAGACAACGCGTACAATTAACATCACAAGTTTATTCACAATAATTGCTACAACCATCATCATTAAATAGATTCTAATCATCACACTATTCCATATCTTCTATTATACCATTTCCACAAAGTGAAGTACAACTAAAATCGTATTCGCAATCTATTTTTATGCAGATGAAATATTCATTCAAGAAATAACCATTACTGCATAACTAACATACACCTTAAACACAATTAAGGCATAAATCTTAACATTTTGATTAACATTTATTCTCGATTAAATTAAATTCTTAAGAACATTGAAAGCATTCACCATATATGCACTGAACACAATTATCATCACATTCATATTTGCATTAATAGCAACCATCAAATTGTTCCATGTTTTAATCATCGCATTCTTCCCATTCAGTTACATACCCATCACCACATGAAGATTAGCAAATTTACAATTCTTAACTCAAATGCAAACCTATTTAGCATTGCTAAATAAACAAGCATCGATCCTTATAAAGTTCATAATGTTCTGCACATTCAAAGCATTAACCATTATAACAATGAATGCAGCGTTCTGAACATTTAGGAACACAATCTCCATACTCATTTAAATAAAAATCTTCTTCGCAAATTAAACATTCTCCATTTAAGTTAAGTTAACATTCTGGAAATATTTCAATTTGATTTTGTTTACCATAACAAAATCCATCTCTAAGTAAATAATTTTAATCACATTATTAGCACACTCCTTTGAAACAATTTAAACAGTATTAACTACAAGAATATTTACAATAATAACAACCGTCAAATTCGATATAATTATTATCTTCACAGTCTTCATCATGGACTACTATTCCGTCTCCACACTAAGATTCACAAGCATTATTATACTAATTAAAAAAATATCCATGTTCACATTCGAAACATTGATCTTCAAAATATAATTCACATAATTTTGGAGCATCAAACATACAACTTAAGCAATTTTTATCATGAATTTCACATTGTTCATCATGTGCTAATATTCCATCTCCACAAAATGAAAGACAAGAAAAATTTTCATCTAAATAATAGCCATCTTAGCAATCTATACAATTATTTTCATTACAAGATGTACAATAATCAAAACAGTAACTACAATATAGATCTGGTGATAATTTAAGTTAATATTGACAAAAACTCAAGGGCGCTTCTATTAAATTGCACTTCTAATCAGCTTTTTCAAAGTAGGCATAATCTTCACATGAAATACAACTGTTCCCTATTTATAGACTACAGTTTTCTATTATCATTAAATTATAATTTAGTGACTTAACACAATATTTTTAGATCGAGGATAACTCATATCCGTCATTGCATTGTTAACACATACCAAATTAACAAACGAGGCAATTCAAATCACAAATAAATTTACAAGATTAACAATTTTGATAAATCTGCAAGGATGTGCTAATTTCACATTCCTCATTATTTTTCTAAAGACCATCTTCACAGATAGAGTAACATTTATTTTATATTAATTAATATCCTTCTTAACAATCATAACAAATTCCTTAAATACAATAAAGACATGAGTCCTAACAACTAAATTGACAGAAATGGCATCCATCTCCAATAATTAAATTGCCATCATNATAACCATTACTGCATAACTAACATACACCTTAAACACAATTAAGGCATAAATCTTAACATTTTGATTAACATTTATTCTCGATTAAATTAAATTCTTAAGAACATTGAAAGCATTCACCATATATGCACTGAACACAATTATCATCACATTCATATTTGCATTAATAGCAACCATCAAATTGTTCCATGTTTTAATCATCGCATTCTTCCCATTCAGTTACATACCCATCACCACATGAAGATTAGCAAATTTACAATTCTTAACTCAAATGCAAACCTATTTAGCATTGCTAAATAAACAAGCATCGATCCTTATAAAGTTCATAATGTTCTGCACATTCAAAGCATTAACCATTATAACAATGAATGCAGCGTTCTGAACATTTAGGAACACAATCTCCATACTCATTTAAATAAAAATCTTCTTCGCAAATTAAACATTCTCCATTTAAGTTAAGTTAACATTCTGGAAATATTTCAATTTGATTTTGTTTACCATAACAAAATCCATCTCTAAGTAAATAATTTTAATCACATTATTAGCACACTCCTTTGAAACAATTTAAACAGTATTAACTACAAGAATATTTACAATAATAACAACCGTCAAATTCGATATAATTATTATCTTCACAGTCTTCATCATGGACTACTATTCCGTCTCCACACTAAGATTCACAAGCATTATTATACTAATTAAAAAAATATCCATGTTCACATTCGAAACATTGATCTTCAAAATATAATTCACATAATTTTGGAGCATCAAACATACAACTTAAGCAATTTTTATCATGAATTTCACATTGTTCATCATGTGCTAATATTCCATCTCCACAAAATGAAAGACAAGAAAAATTTTCATCTAAATAATAGCCATCTTAGCAATCTATACAATTATTTTCATTACAAGATGTACAATAATCAAAACAGTAACTACAATATAGATCTGGTGATAATTTAAGTTAATATTGACAAAAACTCAAGGGCGCTTCTATTAAATTGCACTTCTAATCAGCTTTTTCAAAGTAGGCATAATCTTCACATGAAATACAACTGTTCCCTATTTATAGACTACAGTTTTCTATTATCATTAAATTATAATTTAGTGACTTAACACAATATTTTTAGATCGAGGATAACTCATATCCGTCATTGCATTGTTAACACATACCAAATTAACAAACGAGGCAATTCAAATCACAAATAAATTTACAAGATTAACAATTTTGATAAATCTGCAAGGATGTGCTAATTTCACATTCCTCATTATTTTTCTAAAGACCATCTTCACAGATAGAGTAACATTTATTTTATATTAATTAATATCCTTCTTAACAATCATAACAAATTCCTTAAATACAATAAAGACATGAGTCCTAACAACTAAATTGACAGAAATGGCATCCATCTCCAATAATTAAATTGCCATCATCACATTATTCATCTTCAGTAATTATTTTATCTCCACAGATTGAATAACATAAATAATCAATTCTATTGTAACCAGTTTTACATGATAGACAACCAAGTCCAGTAGTATCACAAGTGAGGCAANATAACCATTACTGCATAACTAACATACACCTTAAACACAATTAAGGCATAAATCTTAACATTTTGATTAACATTTATTCTCGATTAAATTAAATTCTTAAGAACATTGAAAGCATTCACCATATATGCACTGAACACAATTATCATCACATTCATATTTGCATTAATAGCAACCATCAAATTGTTCCATGTTTTAATCATCGCATTCTTCCCATTCAGTTACATACCCATCACCACATGAAGATTAGCAAATTTACAATTCTTAACTCAAATGCAAACCTATTTAGCATTGCTAAATAAACAAGCATCGATCCTTATAAAGTTCATAATGTTCTGCACATTCAAAGCATTAACCATTATAACAATGAATGCAGCGTTCTGAACATTTAGGAACACAATCTCCATACTCATTTAAATAAAAATCTTCTTCGCAAATTAAACATTCTCCATTTAAGTTAAGTTAACATTCTGGAAATATTTCAATTTGATTTTGTTTACCATAACAAAATCCATCTCTAAGTAAATAATTTTAATCACATTATTAGCACACTCCTTTGAAACAATTTAAACAGTATTAACTACAAGAATATTTACAATAATAACAACCGTCAAATTCGATATAATTATTATCTTCACAGTCTTCATCATGGACTACTATTCCGTCTCCACACTAAGATTCACAAGCATTATTATACTAATTAAAAAAATATCCATGTTCACATTCGAAACATTGATCTTCAAAATATAATTCACATAATTTTGGAGCATCAAACATACAACTTAAGCAATTTTTATCATGAATTTCACATTGTTCATCATGTGCTAATATTCCATCTCCACAAAATGAAAGACAAGAAAAATTTTCATCTAAATAATAGCCATCTTAGCAATCTATACAATTATTTTCATTACAAGATGTACAATAATCAAAACAGTAACTACAATATAGATCTGGTGATAATTTAAGTTAATATTGACAAAAACTCAAGGGCGCTTCTATTAAATTGCACTTCTAATCAGCTTTTTCAAAGTAGGCATAATCTTCACATGAAATACAACTGTTCCCTATTTATAGACTACAGTTTTCTATTATCATTAAATTATAATTTAGTGACTTAACACAATATTTTTAGATCGAGGATAACTCATATCCGTCATTGCATTGTTAACACATACCAAATTAACAAACGAGGCAATTCAAATCACAAATAAATTTACAAGATTAACAATTTTGATAAATCTGCAAGGATGTGCTAATTTCACATTCCTCATTATTTTTCTAAAGACCATCTTCACAGATAGAGTAACATTTATTTTATATTAATTAATATCCTTCTTAACAATCATAACAAATTCCTTAAATACAATAAAGACATGAGTCCTAACAACTAAATTGACAGAAATGGCATCCATCTCCAATAATTAAATTGCCATCATCACATTATTCATCTTCAGTAATTATTTTATCTCCACAGATTGAATAACATAAATAATCAATTCTATTGTAACCAGTTTTACATGATAGACAACCAAGTCCAGTAGTATCACAAGTGAGGCAAGAAGTTTAACATCTCGCTTAGCAATTATTACAACCTTTATAGGGTAATATAAATGTGTTCTCACATTATTCACCAACCTCAATCATAGAATCCCCACAAATTGGATTACATACTTTTTGATCAGAAAGTTAATATCCAGTAGCGCATGTATCACATCTATTATTTACACAATTTGTGCAAATAGTTGCTGGCTAACACTAAAATTAGCAATTGCTACTGCAACCGTCATAATCTATTGTATTACCATCATCACATTACTCTTAGAAGAATCCATAAGGATCTACTACTACTAAGCCATCTCCACATACATTTTTACAATAGTAAGAGATGGGAGTAAACCCAGGGAGCGCACAACTTAAGCATGTATTGGTTGTATAATCACAAGAGGAACAACCAATTCTACAGAAATACCTACAATTTTTGCACCCATCAGTATCAAAAGTGTTTCCATCATCACATTATTCGCTTCCATATACTAATTAATCTCCACAATTTTCTTTGCATTACCAAGGAGTAACAGTTGGATCAATATACCATCCTGGGGTTGCACACTCAAAACAAAGTCCTTTTATACACTTTGTACATTAAGGCTAACATTAATATTTACAATTAAAACATCCATCATATTAAATAGTATTTCCATCTTCGCATTCTTCGACTCCTGTAATAATTCCATCCCCACAAATATCAGGACAAGGTAAAGTGGTTGATAAATCACAATTTAAACAATGAGCTGGACATTAAAATTAACAATTATAGCATAAATCGTTAAGGAGTGTATTATTATCTTCACATTATTCATATCCTTTAATTTATAAATCTCCACATATAGGTTGACATTCTCCAGACACCAATTGAAATCCAGTATCACAAGAACTACAAGTAACAGTATGCCAAATAAATTAATTATTATTACATAAATTATAACATTAGCTAAGAGAGGAATCTTCTGTAATTGGACAATCTATAATATGATTATTAAATATACTTGTACAAACATTACTTAATTCATAATAACCAGGTGCACAAACACATTTTAACCCTTTTAATAATCTATTTACAGTAGAATCACATGTTAAACAACCATCAATTGTGGTTCTAAAGCAAGTTTAGCATGATGAATGACAAAATTAACAAATTTTTGTTGCATCTTAATAATAAGATCCAGCTGGACATCTACAAGTTGATCCTACCATTTCAATATTAACAATAGTATTGCAAGTTAAACATTCATCAGAAGTTGGCCCATAACAAGTTTTACAAAATTAATGACATAGCTAACATTAAGGATTTGACACAATAGGATAATATCCATCAATACAAATACATTATCCATTGGATAATTGTCTATTATTAGTTGTTAAGCATTCTATACATTAAGTAGAAGTTAAACATTAATTACATTCAATAGGACAATCAAAACATTAATTTGAATCTTCATATTAATGTATAGTGCAAGTACATCCTAATTTAGATTAGGTATATGTTGATTAACATGTTTAACAATCTAATTTAGATGTACAAGTTAAACAAGATGATGGACAAGTTAAACATCTTACAGAATCTTTATCATAATATTGATTACTCGAACATTCCGCTTAAGAAAATTTAATGATATTAGAATCATAAGTGCTGTTCCATTAAGTACATGTAGATTAATCTGAACATTATAAGCAATAAGGTTAACAATTATGAACAGCAATATAATAATGTTAGAATCCACAATATGCCTTGATTGGTTCATTATTTGGTCCAAAGCATTCCCAAGTTATTGTTAATGTATTTGTATTATGAAGGATTTTTTCATATATTTTATCGTATTTTGAACCATCAGAATAAGTAGAATAATTACTTGCAGTTGATTTAGAGACTGGTGTTTTACTTTCAATTGTATATATAAATTTCCCATCTGAAGGGAATGACGGTCCATATATTATATAAAATGCTATAGTAATACTGTGATGTGGATTGATTATATTATGAACCCTTTAGAATTTAGCTTATGCCCATACAAAAGGTCCTCCAAAGACTCTATATCCTTGGAAATATGAAAAATAGATATCTGAACCTTTTAAAAAGTTTGATCCATTTTGAGAGATTAAAGTATATTATGAATATTATCCTGGGTCAGCTGCTGTACCTATATATTCTTAAATCAAATATTCAGAGTCTACATATAATAATATATGATACAGGGTGTTTCATCATCATAATCATAGCAATAAGTGCCAATTTATTTCTAATATGGAGATGAGCAACTGGATATACAACTACCATCTCGATAAAATATGCCACTTGAACATGTTTTACATTTAAATGATACTTCACACAATGAACATTCTGAAGGACAATATCCTGAAGTAGTTTAGAGTATAGCCATTCCCCATCCTGCTGTGCCATCACTAAGCATGATAAATAATATTTACGTATAATTTCCTACAGCTGAGAATAGAAATGCATATTTTGGAATGTCAACATATGAAATTAAATCATATCTTGTACTCGTTGAATACATTGAATAGGATCCTTAAATAAATATTGAAGAGATTTTGAATTTATGGGTTTGAATTCCAGAAGCATTTTTATAAATGGATCCATAATAAGTATTGTTAATCTTAAACTATATTCCACAATTAATTGGAATATCATTATAAAGCATAATTGAAATTTTCAATCCAATCAAATATGTGGAATAAGTATAAGAAGCCAAGGTATTGAAATATCTATAAATTCCAGAATTAAACTTAAATACTCCATATGCAAATGGATTCATATAAATAATAGTTGGAGTTGTATCTACATGTAGTGGGTCATATATTAATTACCATTTCTAACTTTCTGGTTAAGTGACTGGTATTGTGATATAACCATAATCCAATTGAGAACCTAAGTATATTAATAAATAATAATTACTTGAGTAAGTCTAACAAAATCCATTCTAATATAATGGAGTGTATATATCACAACTGTCTCTGCATCCTATATTCTTCTAATAGTATTAATTTGATGGACAAGGTGGACAAATATTATTTGTTGGGAGTCCATAATTGCAGCTGGTACATTAGTTGTATTAAGGACCTGTGCATTAACTACATGATGGATAACATTATAATCTTGAGACATAGATATTTTTAAGCGAAACTTAACCTGTATTAGTATTAGAGGATGTAAAAGTAATTTAACCCGAAATTGAACTTTGTGTTAATGATAGTGTAAAATTCAAAGTTTTAACTTCAAAAGGAGTTGCATCACAAAATTTAGTCTTCATTGTATAGGTATTAGGGGATTTGTATGGGTATTAGTATGAAAAGGATCCTAAGGAAAATTAAACTTTTTCAGAAGACCATGTACCCTGAAAATATAAATCCATAGATATCCAATCCTAATCATTGAATTAATAATTAAAATAATTTAAGGCGGATGGATATGTTTTATTTAAAGTAATGTAGCTTGTAGCAGGAGATGTACAAGTTATAAAATTTGCTGTAGTTTAGCTTGAAGGCAATAAAAAATATCCTGAATAAGCATATGCATTTGATCCAGTGTTTTAAGTAAATGTCTAATCATAATATAAGAAATTATTCTAAGCTTGCCATTAGGAATTTGAAACCTCAATAAATCCCACAAGGATAAAAATTATAGAAAAAGGCATTAATTAAATATATGATTAAATAAAATTACGCATTTATTAATTTGCATTTGAGTTATTTAATATCATTTCCTAATATTTTTTTGATAGTAAATTTTCAAAAAAAAATTTTGGATTTAAAGAATTTTTTTTGTTTTTGGAATTTGATTGCGTAATTATATAATAAATATGTTTTTTAGTAAAATTTTTCTTGGTAGCATAATCAAAAATTTATATATATATGATATTCAATAAAATGTGAATTTTATTTATTTATCCTCCCTATTGAAATGAACATCTAATTATAAGAAAAGGGATCAAAACATGAAAAGAAATGATTAATTAATCCTAAAATGGCTATCATAAGTGATAGTCTCACATTTGGATGGGCACAATTTTAGTAAGATATTGTTTTTGTTAATATTTTATATAATTATCTATAGCAATTGTTTATTAAAAACAAAAAATAATTGAATAATATAAAACATGATTAAATTAAATTCTTATATCTGAATCAGATATATAAATCTTAATTAAAATTTAAATAATATTTTATGGATCGTCTTAACCCATCTTCAAAAGATTGCATAGTTCCACTAATTGAAGAAAATTCTCCTTGTCTTTGTAATAAATAATATTTATAATTAGAAATAAACAAACCAGAGATTGATCATGCCTTTTTATTACCACAATTTTCTTAAATGATGATGTAGAATCCAGACTTCTTTCTTTAAACTGTCTAATTAGAGTAATTAAAGCAGATGTAGTCATCATTCTATTCACAAATGAATAACATCCCACTAATCACTGATGAACCTAGAGTAATGGATTTGTTCACACAATAACTTTTATAATAATAACTAATGTTAAATGCAGCATTGTTAAACCAATTCTAAGTAAATAGATTATTAATTAGGGTGTTGAAAATATCAATTATAGTCAAACAAAAGATCTCGGGGACAATAAAATAAAAAGAAAACATATAAAAAAATCACATAATCCTTAGTTCAATAATGGTATTATATATTTTTATATTAAAGGTCATTGGAGTGCTTAAGAACATTAAGTTTATTTAACATTTTTATCATAACATCGAGAAGTTATGGAAAGTTCCGAGTTAAAAAAAACAAATAAGATTTTTAAACTTATGTCTGATATCATTAAGTCTAGATCTCCTTCCCAATGTCGTTCTCATCATTAGAAATTCAATCCTTACTCTAAATATTTAGTAAATGTAAGTTGCATTATATAAATTAGAATAATATTGTGAGAAGAAAAATGAAAGAACAAATGTTGAATGATTCTAAACAATAAAAACAATCTTAATTAGATAATGAAAATATACAGCAATCCCAAGATTCAAATTAAAAGTAGTCCTAATAGCAATAGCAAGACTTGAATCTAAAAATGGAATCTTAATAATAGTTATTAGAATCAAATTTGAGAGAAGACTAATAATAACTTAGTGGTTAAGAATGATAGTTTATCGATTAGATAATATTATCATTAATGAAAATTTTATAATATAAATTAATTATATAAACATATACACAAAAAAGCTTATTGCCTATCTTTGACATTGGAATAATATTTAAACTAGCCAAAAAAACTACAGAAATAATATTTTTTATTCATTTCTGCGATATTGCAGTTTATTATTGAGTATTTTTTGTAAATTTTTAATGGAGTTGCTTAGATAGCTCACTTGTGTATTTTAAAGTAATTACTTTCAGACTTTTAAATCTATGTTATAATCATGAAATCTTAGTTATGTTAATTGATCTTAGAAGTAAGCTCATTTTGATAAGATCAATTCTCCACAGGAAATCATAAATCTAATTATTAAATCAATTAAAATTAAGCAGAAATATTTTATATGCTCCTAGTGGAAGGGATTGAATTAATTCTTTGCATTTATTGAAATAGGAATTGCCATATTTTAATTAAATTCCTCTTAAATGGATATGAAATTATGCTTTAATTAATCTAATATACTTCTACTCTGCTTAAATCATTACAAAATGAACCCAATTGTTATGATCATTTTGACTCATTTCTTTCAGCAAATAATTAGACCCAAAAGATGGATATTGAATTAAAAAAACCTTAATTATTAATATAAAGAAATGATCAAATATTATAGTAATTTTAATGTGTCAATTGAGAAACATCATTATATATTTCTAATATATTATTTAGTTATATCTATATATTAATAAATATCATTTATCATTAATTAAGTATCATTTTATACTAAATCATTTATAAATAATGCTTTAAAATCATTTATTAATACTAAATAATATATGTTTGCAATACTTAAATTAAATTATGATAGTCAATTCGGGAAATCTGATAGTCAATATTAGACACGATATCATGTCAAGATACGAGAAAATCAGCTAAATAGGTTAGGGCACATTCGGGAAGGTCTACAAAGTGAAAAATTAAGCCAATGAATTGCGAGCATTAAAGATAATAGCAAAGAAGGACTGTGCCATTTAGAATGAAATAGAGAACATGAAAAAATTAGACCATCCGAATATCATGGCTGTTTATGAAATAGCCTAAGATGAATAGTTCTATTATATCATCAGTTAATTGTGTGACGGAGTTGAACTATTTGATGAGATTCATAAAAGAATTAAGTCAAATAAACAATTCTCAGAAGAGGAGGTTAGATATATATTCAAACAAATTCTGAGTGGTATAGCATATGCACATGACAAAAACATAATCCATAGAGACATTAAACCAGAAAATATATTAATTGATCCGACTGATCAACATGTCAAGATAATCGATTGGGGTTTGAGTAAGGATCTCACGAACATCGATTTTATCAAATAGAGAATTGGAACTATTGATTATGCAGCACCAGAAGTATTGCTAGAGAAAGGTTATGACAAAAAATGTGATTTATGGTCTTGCGGTGTCATTTTATATATATTATTATCTGGGGAAACTCCCTTTCCTGGTTAAAACACAGAGGAGATAGAAAAAAAAATTATATCTTAAAAATTCAATATGAAATAGAAGATATGGAAGACAATTTCAGTGGAGGCTAAAAATTTATTAAAAAATTTATTGTAATAAAATCCCGCAAAGAGGTACAGTGCATAACAAGCCCTGGAGAGTGAATGGATTTAAAGGAAAAGCGAAGTGGGTTCAACTGAAATATCTGCTTAGGAGATGTAGTCTAGACTTTAGCATTTCTCGAATTTTCGCTGTGAAAGCAAATTGGTTTAGGCCACTCTTCATCTTATGATTCAACAGAACTTAACTTAAGAATAATAACGATAGATGAGGAAAACCTTTTAAGAACTGGATAAAAATGGAGATGGTAAATTAAGCATGGAAGAATTGAAGGAACATTGTTCAAATGGAATTGATATTAAAGATTTGTTTAGTAGAATAGACACTGATCATAATGGTTTCATAGAATTCACTGAGTTCTTAACAGCTGCCGTAGATATGAAGAAATTAGTTTCTGCTGATTAACTCAAACAAGCCTTTTAATTGTTAGATGTAAATGGAGATGGATTTTTGGAAATTGAAGAGATTAAGAAGATGTTTAATGGAAAAATTTAGGTTTAGGAAGAACAATAATGGGATTAATTGCTTTTAGAAATGGATGAAAATAGAGACGGTAAAATATCACTAGATGAATATAAAGAAGCTATAACAAAGTTTATTGATACTTCGTAGAACTCATCTGAGATTCATACTTCAAGTAAAGTTTAAGAATTTGAACCATCTATCATTAAAAAAGTAAAAGTAAATGAGTCTCCTTATAAACTAAGAAGTAGAAAATTTAATTGATTTTTTACTTTATTTTGCTTTTAATTTATATTAAACTGATAAATAAATATTCGCAATTAAATAGGAATGATGTCCTAATGATTTAGTATTATTATATATAATCATAAAATACTAAGATAACACTATTTGTTTAGCGAATGTAATTTATCATTTTAATTCTCAAATTGATGTTAAAGTACTTAACATTAGGAAACAGGGACATCTACCATAAAATCTTCTGTAATGATTTTTTACTTTACCAATTCCTCGAAGGAATTTATTGTTCTTTTGTGTAAAGAAATTTATGAACCATGAGATTGAATAGATTTTTGTTTTAACTATAGTAACTCATTCACTTTAACAAACTAGAAGCCAAACATTTCTCTATAGCAATTTAGTCCTTTTTATTCATTTAAAATTTTCCTATTATTTTTCATTATTTTTTCTATGTCCATTAAATCATCTATTTAAATTTTAATCGTATAGCAAACATATTTATTATTAACTATGACATTTTTAGATTGCTTGAGACTTTTAACTTTAAAAGTTGCATAAGTCTCTTCAAACAATTCTTTGATTGCATTTTCTTCTGTATTTAATCTTGGTTCTAATTTGCCTCCTGCTTCAGTGTAGAAGACTCCACCTCTTCCAGTGCTACTTAACAACAGAACATAAATCTCCTGTTTACATTCAATAAAAATCATAACTCCAGATCCATTGATTTTTTATACCTACATAAATTAATTATTTATAATATTTTATAATCCTCAATTATCAGTCCAAGAAGGTTTTCTCTTTTCTACAAATGCACTCATTCCCTCCTTTCTGTCTTAGGTTGCAAATGTAGAATAGAATGCTTTTCTTTCATATTTCACTCCTTCTCTCAATCCAATATTCTCTGCTTCATTTATCGTGTCCTTAATCAATGCAGCAACAGGTCTATTAATTATGATTCTAATTAAAATACTTGCTAAATGAAGCAATTTTCTCAGCCACTTTTAGAGTCTCCTCAACTAAGTTTGCTACTGGTAAGACTTTGCTGACTAATCCATAAGATAGTGCAGTTTGTGCATCTATGAATTCTCCAGTTAGTGTTATTTCCATGGCCTTTGATTTTCCTACTGCTCTTATTAGTCTTTGTGTTCCTCCACAACCTGGGATCTAATAAAATATGAGTATCTCTTACGGTTCCAAGTGTAGCTTCAGGTAATCCAAATTTAGCATTCTCTCCTGCATAAATAATATCACACATCATAGCCAATTCAAATCCTCCACCTAGGGCATATCCATTGACTGCAGCGAGAATAGGTTTTTTAATATTGGTCAAGTTTTCCCAAGCTAAAGATGATAATGTCATTACATGCAAGCATTTAAATGTTTTGAACTTAGGGGAAAGATTTGTCTTACATTTCTTTAATGTCAGCTCCTGCTGCAAATGCCTTTTCATTTCCTGTGATAACAATTGATCCATATTCAGGATTAGAGTCAATTTCCTAAGTCACTTGGTTTAATTCTTTGATTAATCCATCACATAGGGCATTCATAGCTTTTGGTCTGTTGAATTAGATCAAAGCAACCTTTCCCTTTTGAGTAACATTAATGAAATTGTATGTACTAAATCTGAATACTATTTTCCTGAACATCAAAAGAATAAATTAATTTTATGAAAGAACGTATTTAAAGAATGTTTTTTATTGTTTTAATGTTAAATTAACTTATATCAATAATTACCATCTAATTATTTCCTTAGATTGTCTAACTCTTTATTTAGTCTTTCGATCTAACCATTTTTATCTATTATTCTAAATAAATTATTTAATCTTGTTACTATTTGTTAAGATCGGAATTCTCTTATCCTCTCTTTCTAAAGTTATCCAATTCATTTTCAGCCCTACCCAATTTATCATTCAATTTATTGCATTCTCCTCCCAAGAATCTAACCTAACATGATTATATTGCAAAATACTTTCTCTTATAATATTCTCAATTTCTCAAGCTCTTGTTAATTCTACTTGAGTTAATTATCCAAAGAATCCCTTTCTATGCTTCTAGAGGGGCAATAAATATAAAAATTACAATTGATCAATATTTTAATTAGCCTTTTAGATGTCAGCAATAAGGACTTCGTGTTGTCTCTTTAGATTATCCAAAGCATCTTTATCTTATAATAAATGATTAACTTGTTCTTTCAATAAACGTTCTCTAGATAAATGATAAGAAATTAAATTACTATTCAGATAATTGTTGTAGTTGTTCACTCAATTTGGTGATTTCATTGTTGGCAATTTGAAGACTCTATTTCAAATTGTTGTTTTCTTCGGTCTTTTCAGCTAATTATGCAGTCAATCTTTCTTGATTGGTTTAAGCAAATACTAATTTGTTTTCGATTTCTCTTAATTTGGCTTACAATTCTCTGGCTTCAGTGGCTTAGGCTTCTAATTTACTTATTTTTTATCTTGCATCATCATAGAGTTTGCTCTTCTCTTTGAATTCTCTTAAGATTCTTTCATTGTCATTTCTAAATTGGGTCAATTACTTCTCTAAATTCTAGAGTTTATCTTGAAGTGTTCTGGTGTCTTGAACTTGGATTTCCAATTATTGTTTTCCTTAGAGCATGTCTTCATTTTCTTTATTCAAGATATTAATTCTATTCAATAAGACTGCAATGTAGTCTTCAGCAGATTTTAATGCATTTTAAGAGATCAATAATTAATTGTTCAATTAATCCAATTCAAATTATTTCTATCTTAAGTCTTGTTTAAGTTTATCAATCTCTGTAGTATCCACTTAAACAGAGGTTTTTTCAATGCGTATTTCTTTGGTGATTGTGTGTTTAGGTGAGGATTATCTATTGACAGAAACCTAATTCTCTAAATCAGATTTTTGAGATTCCAATCTGTTAATTTCTTCAACAGCATTTTGTAGTTTTCTTTCAATATCATGTAGATTTTATTCTTGAGTCTTCAACCTTGCAATTTCGTCGTTGAGCTTTTTGATTTGTTCCTTTTGATCATCTGATTCTTTCAATTTATTGATGATATCATTTTATAATCTAACAATTTCATTGTTCAATAATTCAGCTTATTTTTCTCTCTCTTATATCGAAGCCTATAATGCTGATATGTTCATCAACTCAATATCCTTGAATTACAATTACAACAAGGCCTCATTAAGTTTATTAGTAGTTTCATTAATTCTCTTATCCTGTTAATCACAGTAGGTTTACAATGCTTTCATCTCCCCTAATTAATGATTTAAGGATATGATGGTGTTATTTTATTATTGTAATTGCTTGAGTCTTTCCTTCAATAACTCATTGAGCTTGACAATTTCATCTTACATCTACTTCATCTTATTTAGCAAATCTTCAATTTATTGTTCAAAGAACTTCTTCTCAATTTCAAGTGATCCTATTTGTCTTCTCAATTTTTCCAAGTCTTGATTCTTCAATTTGATAATATTCTTCATTCTATCGATTTCAGCAGAGAACAAAGCGCATTTATTCTCCAAGTCTTCATTTTTCTTCTATAATCTATTGAAATCTTCTTCTAATTATTAATAATTAGTTTTGAAGTCTTATAATTAGAATTAGAGATCATCTACCTAATTTAACAATTATTTGTTTCTCTCATCTTGATTTACTAGATTCAAATTATAATATTCAATTTCACTTATTTTCTGTCTTAATTCTAATTCCAATCTTTCTATTTCAGCCTTTTAATCAGCAACCTTCTTTCTCAACAGATTATTTTCATCTGTCAATTCTTTATTTCTTTATTCCAATTACATTTGTTTTCCTTGTAATTTAGTAATCTCTTATTCCTTATCTCTCAAATCATTATTCAACTTCTCAACTTCGTTTTCTAAGTTTCCACATTTGGATTACAATTCACTAACCTTTGAATCCTAACTCTAATTTTATGATTGCAATCTATTTAATTAATCCTCCAAATCTTAATATCTCTTTTTCAACCTCTCCAAATCCTAATTCAACTATTAATTTTGTAGTCTCAACTCTGCAATCTTACTTTCGTACTCTGTGAATTTTGATCCAGATGCCTAATCACTCTCTCTTAACTTATTTTTATAGTCATCCAACTCTCTTTGGGCAGCCAACAATTGAGCCTTCAATCTCTCATATTCATCATCCTTATTTTTTAATAGTTGGTTCAATCTGTCTTATTCTGCCCTCAAAGCCTTCTGCTTGTTATCCCATTCATTTGATTTCAATTCCCACTCCCTCAGTTGATCCTCGTACTATTTGGCTGAATCTCCACTAGACCTTAATTCCAATTCGTGATCATCTTGCATTTATCTCATCTACTATTCCAAGATACCGTATCTTCTTTCCCAATCTAATGCCTTTCTATTCAACTCATCGTACTTCAATTACCAATCCCTCATATCTGTATCGTATTTCGACTTTAAGTTATTGTACAAACTCTCGAACTCCTTCCATTTCTTCTCTGCATCTGCTAATTTCTATGGCAAAGTTTGATCCACTTGTCCGTATTTGCTTTTGGCATCACTCAATTCCTACTCCAATGAACGTATCCTCTTGTTTAATTCATCTATGTCAATTCTAAATTCACTTATAAGTCTTACTTCTATTTATTAATCTATTGCAATGCTTCCTCATATTATTTCTTTAATTGATTGAACTAATCAATTGTCCCTCCGCTGCTTTGTTTTAATTCATTGATGTATTTAACCAAGTCGTTGTTCTCCCTCACCAACCTATCATTCTCCAAAGCAAGTAAAAAGCACACCACCTCTGGATTCTTGCCGAGCCATTTTCTTTCATTAGAAACGGGTGCTTAAGGCAAAGGTTTTGAAGCACTTGTAGAAACCGGCTATTAGGTTTGTTGGGTCGTTGGCTGCCCTTAAGGTTGCATAATCGAAGCTCTGCTCTACTATCTTGATGCAGTTCTGCTCATTATTAAAATTAATATAATCAAAGATATATATTAAAATTTATTTATATACACTAATCCAAACCCATAGCAACAGAGTTCAGCAATCAAAAAAATGAAATCCAACATAAAATATTCGAATAACCATGATATTTAGAATGGTTTAATTGATCAACCATTTTATTACATATAAATATTCCATAATTTTCTAGTACATTTAGAAATGCATCTGCCCAATATAATTCTCTCATTCTAATATCCTCTTTTGAATAGTATTAATCTTATTGCAAAGAGAGAGAATCAATTGTATTATTATTACTTTGAGTATTTCTATAATTACTTAATAATCTATTTTTTATCATTTCGTTTTCTCTTTTATATTAATTCTCTATATAGCTTAAAAGTGAATTTGGAGATACATACATCTCTATTGTGAATTAAACATAAATGTTTATTAAATACTACTTTTTATAATTTTAATTATCTTTCTGAATGGCATAAGAATCTATTAGATTAGTAGCAAAATAACTGAATAAAAACAAATTTCTTGTAAAATGTTTCTAATTGAAACTAGATTGCAAAACCTGCAACTGATGTGTTTTAATGCGTCTAAGCATTTATTTTATTGGTCAAGGGAGTTAAAACTAAAGATTGGCTATTGGCTTAATTATTGATGAGTTGCAGTCTAAATCAAATGGTGGAAGCTATTCTCGAAAGAAAGATTGAATATACTAATATTATACAATGCAAGAAGCTATTTCTATTAATACCCCAATAGCAGAATTCTTTAGGAAAATTAGTATACTAATTAATAAGTTAAAGTATTAATTTTTTGGAAGAAGATAAAAGCAAGTTTCAGAGAAGCAAGAGCACTTAATTGAGACATGAGTAAAGTTAGTATAGTCAATGTTTTAATAAAGTTGTTAATTATAGCAAAAAAGGTTCACTTATTAAATGTAAAGAAGATTTAAATAAAATTATTCAAAATAGAAAAATACTGCGTGATTAAAAGATCAAGGAGGATGATCAAAAGAAATTTGAGTTATTAAAAGAATAAATGAAAAAATTAAATAAAAATAGTTATTTTATGTCTCCTCGAAAAATCTTATAAGATTAATAAGAATAGCATGTTCTAAGCAACAACAACTCAGAGAGGAGACTGACGAATAATAAATAAATGAGATCACTGAGATCGTTTAGACAATCATTTTATGATTGAAGAATAATTCGATAACAAATGAATTTTTTTTTTTTATTACTCATTATTATTAATATTAAAACAAATGTAATTAGATTATTAAAGAGTTCAAAGAATTACGGATATATACAATTCAACGTTTCAACGTAAATTGTATTATGAATTTTAATTTGCATTTATAGCCATTACAACACTCTTAACATTTGGAATAACTAAAATCACTTTGTTAGGCTCTATTGCAATATTGAGGAAATTATTGAAGAAATTATGCAAAACTGAATTCTTTTCATCCAATTAAGTGATCTTTAATCTGGTCTATGCAATATACTGTTTAGACGCAGTTTATTTGTTTTTGACCAATTTTAGAATTGTCTCCCTGCCATCATAAGTTATTATGTGTTATCAGTAATGATCCTTACAATTAGGTTGGTAATGTATATCTATGTGGGTACCAAAAATCAAAAAGAAAGGCATTTTACATTGGAGAATTCATTGAAAAACATAATGTTTAGAGAAATTGAATTAGCCTACATTTATGCTTTAACCTATCTGGAGTAATCAACATCAATTAATTAAATTTTGCTTATATTATGCTTCTTAATATAGTTGTTCATATTTCAAATGACAAATTTAATTAATCAGAGAGGAGAATTGCTTTAATAAAGAGCAAAGGGTTTAAGTGTCTGGATTAAATTGCCATCAAAACCACCAGGCGACTTTGTTAATTGGAATTATACATAAGAAAAGTACCCTCCAAATGTCACCGTCTAATATAATAATAATTATTATAGGTTGTAGAACTTATATAACACATCACCCCCAGAAGACATTAAAGCTATTTTTATACAATTATTATTTTACAACATTTAAAAGACAAAACAAAGATTGTCAATTATCTTGTTCATAGTGTGTGTCCTGGCTGTCTTGATTGACATTGACGCCTTAATGTTCAATTTAGAAATATAATACACCATTATACCAGATTCCAGAAAATGACTTATCACATAATCAAATCAATATTCCAAAATTTCAATTATTTAAAGTACTTGGTTTCTTTATATTCTTTATTAAATATATATTCTTAATTATTAGTAGCTCTTTAAAAATTAGAAATTCTCCTCTAATACCAATCATTTACCCAAAGAAATTTCAGGATCCAAATTCTTTTCTTAAAAATAAAAACTATTTTGGGGGGGATTAGAATTATGAGATACTTCATAATAAAATATTTAATCAACAAATAATCTCTAGGATTTGTTAATCAAAAGTATTTAATTAAATTTAATTTTTTATATTCTTTTTGGGTGATGTTAAGATAGTTATTCATTTTATATTAAAAATATAACAGTTATCTAAATACATATTTATATTATAACATTATAAAATTTAAATTATAATGGAATCAATACATCATAATGCATCAGAATTGCTTGTTATATAACAAATTTATAATTAATTATGAATAATAATTATAATTAAGATGGAAGATCCTTGTATAGTTTGTTTATAAGATACTTAGAATTTTGTAATCGGAAAAAGTTGTTAATGCAGATACTGTTATAATTGCGTATTTAATTGGCTTGAATAAAATCCAGAAAAACTCTTAAAAGAGAACTTTAATTGTTTAAATTATTAGTGTAATGAACCTAGTTCGATCCAAAATTTTCTAAGTTCTATTTAAGAACAAAGCTTATTGGATAGATATCATGAAATTGCATTTAAAAATTATTTGAAAAGTTGTGAAGATATCCGAACTTGTCCAAATAAACTCTGCAAATCTTATGGGTTTTTACCATCCAGCAGATGCTAAGAATTTTTAGAATGCGAAACTTGTAATTATAAATGGTATGACAAACAATGCTTGTCAATAAATAAGATTGTTATTTTGTTTTTGAAGGACATCAAGAATGACTTTTTATGTTTTTTCTAAGAGTTTTATTTCGCTCATCGTTGCCCTAATTGTGATGTTTAAATTATGAAAAATGGTGGATGCAATCATATGACTTGTAAATCTTGTAATCATGAATACTGCTACATTTGCAGAGATAAACATAATGGTCATGATTCAAAGTTGTGTATTTTGAAGGAGAACTCTTTTACTTTCGTAATGGCTTACATAATTATTTAATTGCTATTCACTATTGGAGTTCATACATTCATAATTTATATTGCTAAATTCTTCTTTTGGCTTGTATGGACAGTTTTGATTTTTATCTATAATTTAGATGGAAAATTGATTCTGGTTTCTGCTATAAGTACATTATTAGACATCAAATATCATTATGATTAAAAGAAAAAAGAGAAAGAGAATATTAAATTATATCGTTAAACAGCAAGGAAATAGTTGTGGAAGCAAGTTTTAGAAATAATTGCTCTTTTAGTTTTAGATTCAATAATAGTACTCACGACAATATATGAAGATAATATAACTTAAATAACTCCACTAGCAGTTTATATCGTATATCCAGTTGAGTTCCTGTTAATGCTATTACTATGCTTGGGGTTTAAATGATTTTTTATATTGTAATACTTATAATTTTTTATATTGACACACACCATATTTCAACTCTTTCGTAAATAGGAATAATATATTCTTAATATTTTACAATACATATAATTAATTAAAAAGAAATTCAATCATTTTACCTTGAAGCCTTTCTCAAGGCTGTGTCTTTTCTTTGAAGTTATTCCAATCGTTCCTTTTCAGATTGTGCTTTATCCATATCTCCTTATATCATAAAGATTCTATCCGTTCTTTTGGCGTGATCAGAATCTAAATTAGATTTCAATATTTGCATTGCAAAGGGTTTGATAACTCTGGCATCCCAATATCTGACACCATCAAAATCAGCAAATCCCATGTAAGATCCAAATAATTTACTTAATGTGGTTTTACCTCTTTTGATTTCCCCTTCAAAATAATCAGTTGGTTTATTCTTGACTTTACCCAATTACACAGTACATTTTAAATCTACTGATAAGTTAACTATTTACTATTTGCATCATCGACAAATTAAAGAGATCCTTGCGATTCATTTTTCATTGTTCCTAAGAAAGTGCCAGAGTAATGTTCTGATGAGAAAGTGCATTGTATTTTTTAGTCATTAAATTATATCGTTCTTTTTCCATGATTTAATATAGTTAGAGAGTTGAATCCTGCCTTGGCTTCATAGAGGGAGTATCCATAGAATTTATATGACTTTTTTGGCCCAAAAACTAAGAAATAAGAGAGGGGAGGATGATGCGATATCTAATATATTGAATCTGAGTAAGTACTTATTCACAAAATAATTAGGTGCCGTCTTCATAGCCTCCCTCAAAGGTTTCTCCTAAAATAGGATTCAGAGGCTTCAGAAAAGAGTTAGCTTAAATATAATTGGAAAGTAATCCAACAATAGTAAGTTTCATTCTTTCCAGTGGGTCTTAAATGGAAGCAGCCTTATTCATATATAGTGGAAAGAGAATAGTTTGCATAAAGGTTTTCTCTAAGGCAGATTTTGGAATCATAGCTTTAATCTAAAATAGTTAAGATTTAAAATTACTGGAAATGACACTTATGTAAGATTGAAATTACCACTTAACAATTTCTGACCTACTTACTTAATCATATTTTTTCCAACACTTCTTGCTAATTCAATAATCTTCTTATCTTAACAAGCTGTTCCTCCACTCTTATGAGCAATACCAACTCTATATTCATCTTTATTGTCAATTTTCTTAAAATTAACTGCGTAGTTCATTATAGAATTATAATCTCGATATGGACTATGTTCTGAGGCCTCAAAAACAATTGAAAATTTAACCAAATCAAGTTCTTCTGAATCATTGTCTTATTCTTATGCTTAACATTAGAGTATTTTAGATTATTCAATTTCTTGATTTTATTATAAAGGTATGTTTTGTTCCTGCTTTCCATTTTATTATGTTTATTCTTGTTAGAATAGGTTTTGTTAAACCTAATCAATGCTGTCAATATTATTAAAACATCCAGTTTGAAATTCAGTGATGAATTCTAATTTGGGAGGTGTAATGTTTGGAAATTAGCTTATATTTTGATCTGATCTATGCATGTGTATTTTAATGCTTTTTGCTATTTAAACACCTTAGCCTTAGTTTTCATCATTGACATCTTCTGTGGTTATGGAGACCTATCTTTTGTTGCATCTAGGGGAGGCAAAGTTATTGAAATTCATTTGCTTTTGCTATTTGTTAACAATAATGAACTCTTTAGTTTCGTCTTCATTATTGTTTATCACCTTGTATTCCTTTTTATAGAACTCTAAAGCTGTGTTTGATAGCAGTTTGTCTGCATCCAAATCATTTTCATCATCTATATATTAAGATGTGAACATGGATCCTTAAACCAAATCATAATCTGATATATTGAGGTGTGCATTGTGTATGTATATTTTGACATTTTCACTTTATGCAATTTCCACATAATGATTGTCCTTGACTTCATTCATATCAGTCTTCAATTTCAAAAGCTAACCTCTGCCTGATGGTTGGATTTGTTTCTTACTAAATTTTACTAATTTGAAGACTCCCTGCAATAATGTTTTAGGACTAAAGATATATAAGATATATTTACTTACTTTATATTATCAAATAAAACAATATCAATGGTCTAAGTGAATGGGTTAAAGATGATCCCTAAAAGATTTTAGGTTCTATAGAATGAACCTATTATTCCACCTAATAATTCAATATTGCTTATTAATAAATTTAAGCCTTAATCCTGGTTCATTAATAAATATTTATTATTGTTTGTTTTTGACCAATCATTTAAAGATACAAAGATACCAGTAGTTAATTTAAATTCCTCATCATTCACCTTAACTAATCCAACTCCAAGCAAAGCAAAAAATGAATTCACACTTTAAATTTTAGAGGAGAAACAAATTTGCAAATAACCCACAATCTTATCGTAATTCTCATTTTCATCGATTACCAATTTGAAAATCCTTCCCTTTGCTGTTCTAACATAAATTATTAACTAAATTCACTCATTTCATAAGTACCTTCTAATTTGGAACATACTCATAATTTTTCTTTTTCTTTAAACTGTTTTCAAATCGAGTAATTTCTGATTCATCTTTTACAAAATCCCCTTTGTTTAATGAGTAGTAATTATTGTAAGAGGAAGACGTCTGTGTTTTATAGCACAATAATCTTCCCTTTTTCAAATTGAAGGAGAAATAGTAGTTATATAATGTCCCCCACTTTTTATAAGAAACTGCTCCTAATTTTCTATCAATCCTGATTTACTAAATCAAATAGTCAAAATTCCTTACCTGCTTCGAAGTCTGTTACTTATTATTATCGTCATCATCTTCCAACTCATAGATTACGTGATTTGCTTATTGCATAATATTTTATATATATTTATTTAAATTATGAATAATTTGTTGAATTTTCAAGAACATTAGTAAGCTTGATGAAATCAGTTCTAATTATCTAATTAATCCGAATTAGAATCATCAGTCCACATGTAGGGTAGAAATTAAAATTCATATTGAAAACTTAATAATTAACCCTTATCATCAAATATAGATTCAGTTTAGACGATAAAAATATTTAGGAAATATATAAAAACTATATTAATTTCAAAAATCAAAGTATTTGCATATTTGAAATTCCTTTTATCAGACAATTACTAAAACAAACCCTTACTTTCTTATTATATATTAAAATTATAAACTTGCAAATATTCGTTATGGTTAACTTTAATCTTTCAAATTTGCATAACAAATATATCTAGGATGATGATCTTAATTTAATCTTTTAGCATTTTTGTAATCCTTAAATTTTGGATATCCAACCCTGATTTAGGTTAATAGGATATTGAAAGTTAAATCAAACTTTAAGGTTAATAAATCTCATCAGCATTGAGATAAGAATGCAAAGCCACTCATATTTAGTGATCATTATAATTTGTCTTTTGATTCAATTAGCTGAATAGTATAAGGAGCATTGAATATGTATTTGTTCTGTCAAATCAATTATATATATATATCTTCATCCTATCTATAATTTGATCATAATCTAATTACTCAACTTAAGGATTATTCTTCATATTCAACTTATATTAATGATTTTTTTATTATTTATTATTGAAGTCTACTCTTTGCAATTTCAATCCTTGTATAGAATTTGAGTAAATAGTGTTCACATCATTCCGCATCCGGATAAAGTAGCCAAAGGAGGAGAGGATGCCTATTATGCAAACGAGAATTTATTAGCAGTGGCAGATGGAGTTGGAGGTTGGAATAATCAAGGAGTTGATCCATCCAAGTATTCAAGAACTCTTTGTGAAAAGTACAGATATGGTTTAACATAAGCGTTAAGGAATATTCTCATTTAGATAATCCAAAAGAGATTATGCAGGTTGCTTCAGAATTAACTAATCACATTTTAGGAAGCAGTACATTGGTTTTAATGAAGTTAATTGATAATATACTGAAAGTGGCTAATATTGGAGACTGTGGATACACGATTATCAGAAATCAAGAAATATTACACCAATCACAAGAGTAATAGCATTCCTTTAATTTCCCATTTTAATTGGGGCCATAAGGAGATAGTGCTTAATTAGCCTAAGAATTTGAGCACACTTTACAGATCAATGATATTGTAGTAGTGGGTTCGGATGGATTGTATGATAATCTTGATGAGAATTAAATCTTGAAAATTATCAATGAATATGGAGTTAGTCAAAGTTCGGCTCAACTATTGGCAAAAACCTCCTTCTAATATTCCCTAGACAAATCATACAGTTCTCCTTTTGCCAAAAGAGCTCAAAAATCAAGAATTAGGTTTATGGGAGGGAAAAGCGATGATATTACAGTAATTGTAGCAAGAGTAATCAATAGTAATGAGTTATGAATAATTGTAATTCAATATATTCTATTTAATAATTAAGAGCTATTGTTGACTGTCCTATGTTATTATAAATGTACCCAACTCTCATTTTTTGGATAACAATCCTATAAAATTCATGTGAGTCTGAATAAGAAATCAAATTTATGTATTTGTTATAAAATAATTAATAATCATTAGTATTGTCAAGCATATTATTTATTAAAGTTGCGTTCAAAAATCAAACAAAAGGTTTAAGGGAAATCAAAGGTTTATTGTAGCTTATTTAGTAACTTCAACTTGTAATCTAAGTTAAATTCCTCGTCAAGAATTTGCTAGATAATACATATTAATTACTTCCAATTCATTCTATTAGATCTAATCAATCTAATTAGTATTTGATATCATGCATTTGCATTAAATTAGATCATTGATTTGCATGATATCAGAATTTTATGTTCCAAACAAACCAAAGTGGGTTTTTTTGAAGATAGCCTCCAAAAATGAAATGCTAAAGGATACATTCGATTCATGTGAGGATGAAATCGCTAATGAGTCACAGAGAATTAAGGAATCACGCAATTCAGAAACTAGCAGATTGTTCAATGATTAAATTTCAGCAGTAAATGAAGATTGCCTCTCTGCTAAATTTTAGATTGTATATTTTTGAAAATGAGTATATATGCAACTTAGCAACTGTTATTTGAATTGTGAACAAGGCAGTGTGCATCCTATTTGTGAGAGTATTATCAGTTGTCCTATTAGTTTCAATTATTCTGATAAACACTCCTTGTAATCATAAATGATATTAAATTAATTGAATGAAACTGTTAACTTATTAAACGTATCATGGGAATTGACAGAGTATAAGTATGACGCATCCTTGATAATGAACTAGTTATGATCAAATTGAGGGAATATCATCTATTACTTATTTGATACATTTTAGATAGTATAATCTCTTATACAAAGTGCTATGTCAAATTAACTGATCAAGCAATTAAGAGAAAATATCCAAGAACAAAACTTCTGCATTTGTTCATACAAATTGTTAACTTAAAGTTATGTTTCTTGTAATATGTTCATTATGCAATCATTCAGCTTATTGTTCAGATCCTTCAATTTCTCAGTAAGAATGCTGTATTTCTTATTGTTTTTATCAATAAAGGAGATTGAATCATTCTCTTTTTCAACTATTCTCTTAATATCTAATTCATTTATGTTGTTTCTATTTGCTTCATTTACAGATAATTCAAAGATGTACCCACTTTTCAGGCATTTGATTGAATTATCATTGGCCTTAAGCTTCTTACATTTTAAATTTAGACAAAAACACGACATCAATCTTTAAAATAGATTGTTTATTTCCTATCTTAATGATATAAACTATAATCGATTCTATTTTAGATTATTTGATTTCTCGTTTAGCATAATGAAAAATAGAGTGTCTTCCTCGATATTATTCAATTACAAAGTCACATCGATGTATTACTCTATCTATTTTAGAATGTTCTGGAATTCATCACTCATTAAAATCCCATTGATATCTATATCCATGATATTGTTCAATTTTTAATCGTTTAAGTAATGTGTAAAATTGATTATGTCCTTTTGGAAATTGTAGATCTTGAATATTTATTATAATTGATCCTATAATTTAGTACTTTTGCTCTGCAATTAACAAGCCAAAGTATCAACTTGTTTGAATTTCAGCATATGTGATTTCAAGGTTTAAATAGTTGAATCATCTTTGCTAAGCATTTCCTTTACATTCTACTATCTTATGTGAATTGTTTGTAAAGTACTAAAAGGTTAAAGCAGATTTGCTTTAAGTAATCTCTTGCCCCCATTTGTTATGGGCTTGAATAATTTGTATAATTGATTTAGGATGTCTAAACTCAATGTTGTTTAAATGTTGAACACTAGGACCTCTTTAATGTTGTAGAATTGAACTGGAAAATTGGTGATTTGGATGTTCAAATGCTAATTGACTGTGTAGGACAATGCAGCATAGCATAATTGGAGTTAATTTAATTATTTTACAAATTTACTAAATTGATTTAGTTCGAATTTAATTTGCAATACATTGAGAGGTAAAAAGTAGATCAGAGTATCATTCAATTCATCTTCCAATTATTTAAAAAACATGCTTTTTTCATTACTTTCAATAGAGATCAAGATCTTGGGTGCAAATCTCAAGATTGTAGATGAAGTGATATTGAAAGTGGTGCAATCCAAAAATTAAGTAACAAAGACTTCTCCAGTTTATTCATTATAAGCACAAATACTCACACACATCTATTATTCAATTACAGCCAAGTAGAACTCTTGGTTAGCTTCAATGGACTTGATGCAAGTGGACCTGATCGGATTGGATTTCTTGTAAATACTTTGGCTCTTCATTAATTTATTTAACTCATTGTTTTAGTTATTATTAATATATAATGCAAGAAATTAAAACTATTCTGCAGACTGAAATAAGGAATCATGATTAAATCCAAGAATTAGAAGAATACTTTTTTAAGCAATTCGATTATATTCGCAACTTGAAATCTAAATTAGATGCCCAATTGTATATGATGCTATTTGAATAAATCAAATATGAGAAATTCCCACCCCTTACGCCTATTTTTGAAGCAGGTGACATAGGCAGAAGAATGTATTTTATAATCGACGGTACAGTAGGCATATTCAAACCCAAAAATGCTGATGCAAAACCACATCCTGGCAAATATCACACATTTCAAGAGGTTACTGAAAGAAGGTACTTCTAATATCAATTTGTCAACATCTTAAAAGCAGGAACGTATTTTGGTGAAGTTGCATTGCATTAGAAAGGACCTAGAAATGCTTCTGTCTGCTCTATTACAAAATTAGAATTAGCAGTTATTACTTATGATACTTATCAAAAGATTTTATCATTGGCAGGCCAACAACAGAATGACTACAAATTTAATTTTCTAAAATCAATCTCCCTTTTTGAAGGCTGGAAAGATAGTGCTCTATTAGCGATGCTTATGAATTGCGAAGAGTAGTATTATTCTCCCTTTACTTACATCTTTAAATAGAATTAACCCATTGATTTTGTGTACTTTATAGTCAGCGGCGAAGTTAAATTGAAAGTATTCAGAAGAATAGAAGAACCTGGTGAATCAAAAACCTAAATCAATAAAATCGACGGAATCACTCATCTTACTACTAACCAATATTTTGGTGACATGGAATTATACTATGAGGATTGCCCTAATTAATTAAGAAGTTCCGAGGCATAAACCCAATCCTCTTGCAAATTATTGAAAATTTGTGCTAGACAATTTATTGATAATTATAGACTATTCTCAACCATCTCTAAACCAAGAGCCTTATCATAGAGACAATTGCATCATCGCAGCTCCATGTAGAAAATTAGAGATAAAGTAATATCACAAAAAATCAATCTCTAAATGATTAAAGTGTAAGATGCTCCAAAACAAATAGAAGAAATTCACTTTTAACCTATAATTCCACAAATACCAATCAGATTTAAGGTGAAATTTGGTTAAGTTTAATCTTAGGATTACTTATCCCAAAGATCATTATTATCAAATGATCTATTCAACCCAGATAGATTACGTTAGACTTTTGGTTATGTCCCGATGAAATGTGTAGATTAGACTTTCATTAATTGCGTTAAATAAATGAGAATTTCTAAAAAATCCCCATTGCGAAAGAGAACATTTAGCATTAAATGAAATTAGTAGTTTGATTATAATTTTTATATAAATCGATTTGTAATATTTTGAAATGAATTACAAAAACTATTATTTAATAACTTTATATTAAGTGATATCTAATTTATTAGAGATTGTTATATCTACCTTTAAAAAGAATCTTATATTGCATTGATTTTATTGATTTCTATATTCAAAAATTATCCAATTATTCTTGAAAATGCGAATCAAGTCGAATATCTACTTAAAATAGTCAACACTATTTAAATTAAATCATAGTGATAACTATTTTTATTTTACCATCAACATCATTGTATTTTAAATCATAACAAGATAAATATTTTTAAAATTCTAATCACTCTTTTGTATTCTATGTAAATTCTAATTTATGATTAATTAAACTTTATTCTTCTAACGCACTGATCAAAAGATTTTGTAATTTTTAGTGAACTGATTCCTATTTTCAAAGAATTTTCAGATCCCTCGATAATAAATTTTAAGAAAATTCCTAAACACTGTTAGTTATTATTATTAATTTTCATTCATTCAATATGTAAGGAAGGGATGAAATAATTGATAGATTAAAACTTTTATACATTTATCTTTTTAAGTGCTTCAGGTTCTTTATTTTAATTCATATTGAATATTATTATGATTAGCCAAAATTGGATAGATTTAGAAATTAAAATATTTGAAAACTGATTAATGCTAAATATATTAATAATAACTCTATGTTACAAAGCACTATTTTAAACTTTAGTATATTTGCCTCTTGGATAATTTTCCATAAAGAGATCAATGATAATAATATAAAAGGGGTATTTTTATGTAAGCATGCAATCCAAATTTGTTTAATAACAGGGATAACGATTAGATAGCTAAATTTCATTTTGAATTTCAAGCCTAATTTAATTATATTATAATTACAGAAAGTTACTATTGCAATTTAAAGAATCATTAAATTTAATACGTAATATAAAAAGATGTCATTTTGTACTTGATTATTTTCTATGGCTGCAATTTATCTTAAAATGACGTAATTAGAAGCAGAGGTAAATAATTGGGAGAAATAACTTTTATAAAATTAAACTTTATGAAAGTAAAACCAGGAGAGGAACAATTGTTATGCAAAGTTGATTTTTACTAAGTGCAATTTGTAATGCCCAAATTCATTTAAGAAGAAGGCATTATCAAATAAATAGTTCCATACAAATCACCATTTTGGAAGTAAATTATGTATTGGTTTTTTTGTGTCATATCGCGTAATCATAATTTTTCATAACGTAGTTGGTTTAGCATATCTATTTACAAGATGGGAATAAAAATTTAATATATGGTTAAAATTTTAAAAGTGCTTATTGGATGAAGCAACGCATCTGCTCATTTACTCCGCCCTGGATGAAATAGAACTTGTAAAAATAGAGGAGAAACAGATACAGAAAAATGAGAAGCAGTTGAAAATGAAGATTTTTAGTTATAGACTCTACTCTTACTTTTTGGAGGACGGAGTATTCAAGCCTATCGAAACATCATTTTATAAATTATAGCACAAAGAAATCATCTAGTAATTTTGTAAAGGTTTATAAAATCCCCGGGAGATTGCATAATTATATGGATATAATAACACAACCATACCTGACAAATCTACAGTCAAAATATTAATAGATGAAGTGCTATCTCCATTTTACTTATTCCAAGCTTTCAGCGTTACTTTATGGTTAATAGAGTCATACACGTATTATGCTATTGTAATACTGCTTTCTTCTTTGATATCTATTATCATCAGTTTAAGAGAAACAAAGACCAATTTCAAACGACTTAGAGAAATGTCTGCGTAAAATACAACTGAAAATTTGTTAAGAAAATAGAGTGGAATAAGAATCGAAAATGAATCGCTCATTATTCCGTATGATCTAATTTCAAAAAGGGAGAAATATAACTCAAATGAGATTGTTCCTGGTGATCTGATAGAAGTACAGAACGATTGGACAGTCCCATGTGATTGCATACTATTGAATGGGTCAGCCATCGTAAATGAATCTATGTTAACAGGGGAATCAATACCAATCATCAAAACATAGTTACCATACAATAGTAATATGTACAATCCACAGGAGGATTCAAAAACATTCACTCTCTATGCAGGTACAAAATGTATTGAGGCAAGACATCCTGAAAAGAGTAAGATTCCTGTTTTGGCACTTGCGACTTAAACTGGATTTTCAACAATAAAAGGTGAGTTAGTTAGATCAATCTTATATCCAAAACCAGTTACTTTTTCATTTTATAAAGATTCCCTATTATTCCTAGTAGTTTTAGCTATAATGGCATTTATTGGATGGCTAATTGCATTACCAAACACAATCGAAGGTATTAAAAATGGAGATATGACTATATTTTGGTTTATCATAAATTCCTTTGATTTAGTTACAATTACAGTGCCTCCAGCTCTGCCTACATGTTTATCAATAGGAGTTTCTTTCGCTTTAGCAAGATTGTAAAAGAAGAAGATCTATTGTATCTCACCTAACAAAGTTAATGTTGCAGGAAAGATAACGATAATGTGCTTCGATAAAACTGGTACTTTAACCGAAGATGGCCTAGATCTATATGGAGTTAGAGCTATTGGATATAGTGAAAGTATAATTAAATCTAAAAATGATAGAAAAACAAAAGCTCAAATTTGATGACTTAATAATTAATATCAGTGATCTAAATATCCATGATAAGTCAGTAGTGCTTGATGATTCAAATGTAGCATTTAATGAATTAAAGAGAACACCAAAGTAAGTTTTATATGACATAATGGCATCATGTCACAGTTTAGCAACTGTTAACAATAATTTGATAGGAGATCCTCTAGAAATTAAGATGTTTGAAGCCACTTAATATAAACTAGATGACATCAATTCTTTGGTTTATTCTTAGGATGGTAGCTAAATTAAAATACTCAAAAGATTTGAATTCTCATCAACTCTATAAAGAATGAGTGTGATTGTAGAAAAAGATGGAGAATTGAAAGCCTATGTCAAAGGGTCACCTGAAAAGTTAAGGGAATTGTGTAAGAAATAAAGTGTACCATCTAGTTTTCATAAAATTCTGGATTTCTACTCAAAATTAGGATTTAGAATACTAGCTTGTGGTGCAAAAACTTTATCAAAGGAAACAAATCGTGATGATGTAGAATCTAATCTCACTTTTATTGGATTATTAATTATGTAGAATAAATTGAAATCAGCTACAAAAAAGATTATATAAACACTTTAAGATGGATTTATAAGGACGATTATGGTCACAGGAGATAATGTTCTAACAGCTATTTCAGTTGCCAGATAATGCTCAATAGTTTTACCTAACCAAAGAATATTCCTAGGGGATATAGGAGAGGAGAAAATTAATGGGAAGAATTAAATTGTATGGAAAGATTTTGATATGAGTGACAATGTACTCAATCCAGAAAATCTATCTCCAGAATTAGACATTCAAGATGATCCTGATAATCAAGAAGATGAAAATGAAATCATTTGGAATTAATTATCAATGAAAGATTAATAGTCTTTAGAAGTTGCTTTAAATGAAGACATAGATTAAATTATCTAATAGGACGATTTAGAAGATTATCATTAAACATCTTATGATAGAAAATCAATATCTAGAAGGTCTTAGTAATTACAAAAAAGCAAAATTCAATCTTATAAAGAAAAAGAGAAGCAACTAATTCTAGAAAATTTAGATCATTTGATTGATGATTAGGATCCATGGAAAACCAACGAACCTTTCGTTATTGCCATCTCAGGAAAAGCTTTTTAATTACTAACCAAATAAATTGACACCAATCCAGCAGCTCGAAAGGTGTTTGGTAAACTCTTAGAAAGGGCATAGATATTTGCGAGGATGAAACCTGAACAAAAGGCTTAATTGATTACACATCTCCAAAAAATTAGCAAAAAGGCATTATGCGGAATGTGTGGAGATGGAGCCAATGATTGTGGAGCTCTAAAAGCTGCAGATGTCGGCATATCTCTATCTGAGGCTGAAGCCTCAATTGCTGCTCCATTCACTTCTAAAATTTAAGACATTTCTTGTGTTGTTAAATTATTAAGAGAAGGAAGAGCTTCCTTGGTTACAAGTTTTCAATGCTTTAAATATATGGCATTATATAGTATGATCTAATTCATCACTTGCACTTTGCTCTATTTAATTTTAGCCAAGATTTCAGACTTTCAGTTTCTCTATATTGATTTAGTCTTAATTATACCTCTAGCCTTTACTATGGGTAAGACTAAAGCGTATAAACAATTAACATAGTTTTAGCCAGGCTCTAACTTACTCTCATTTCCTGTTTTGATGTCTGTTATTGGGCAAACTATCATTCAATTATCATTTTAATGTATTGTTTATTTTACATTACGTACGTAAAGTTGGTATGTGAGTAATTTTGTAATTCATGAAGGAAATACTGATGATCATTATGCAATGATGATCAACTATGAAAATACTGTAATTTATTTAATTTTTAATTTAGAGTTTATTCTTATATTCAAGTTTCCAATATATTTTTTAATGCATCGCATTTTCAATTGGAAAACCATTTAGAAGAGAATTTTATACAAATTTAGGATTTACTTGTGTTTTAATCATTCTGTTTATAATTAATTTTTATGTGTTTTTCTTTTCATAACATCCTGAATTTTTAGCTGAAGATATATTTAAGGTATTATAAACAAATATGTTTTAGTTGATTTTCAATTTTTAAGATAGCTAAATGCCTTAAAAATGGTTAATTGCAATGTTCATTTTAATGATAATTAATATGATAATCACTATACTCTTTGAAAAATATGTCGTCCCAATAACAACACGATATTACAGAGCAAAAAAGAGATAAATAGTTAAAAGATATCGTTTTCCTGAAAATCCTTATCTAAGAGATTGAATCTCTCATTTTGTGTTTCATATTTTAATATTGTATTTATTGCATAATTAATTTATAAATAATATGTAATATATATATATGTATTAATTATTCTTTCTTCATTATAAAAGTTAAATCAATATAATTATTACAATTATCGAATCCTTATTTGTTTGATTTTAGGTGTCCAAATGTACTATTAATTAGGTTAAATCAATTCTAATAGATAAATTCTAATCAACTTCATTTGGCTTATAATTATGCTCATAATTATAAGCTATTTTCATTTCTATTATTTTAAATTTCTTATATCTAACTCTATTACAAATATCAATAGATTATTAAATTTAATTTGAAAATTATGAATCAGAATGTAGAAATATGTTAACTGAAATAGAAATTAAAGTTCGAGAAAAAAAAATTAGATAATTTGAAAACCCTTAAACTTATGAGTAAAGTGCTCAAATAGAATAAATAGATAATCATTAAATGAACTAAAGAACTTAATTAAATATCAAATTTAATAAGTACTTTTATTACAATAATAGTTATAAGTAACACAAAATAAACTTGAGGAAATGGAATAAGCCATATAAAAAATAATAACTAAGTCAAATGAATAAAATTTATTATTTGAAAAATGATTAAATTAATTTTCTAAGTCTGAATATCTTCTGAAGCCTTATTCCATAGAATATTGTAGATGATCCGTTACAAAAAAGTATAATGATATTTTAAATGAGAATTAATTCCGCTAAATATTATTTTATAAAAATAACATGGGGCTCTTGTTTTTGGAAATTCCGAGATATTACAACTTCTACACAATTTTTAAGTTCAAGACAAAAGTCTAAAAAGATTTGCTAAGTTTAAGGAAATAATATGAAAACTCAAAATTAAATTGATAAGAAAAAAAAGAATGTGATTTATATTGCTTGAGAAAGGGAATCTCTCGAATAAAATCAATAATAAATTATACATTAATATCTTTGAAGTCTTCTGATAATGACTTATATTTATTTATTATACTCCATTCTTAGTTCAGATATTCATAAGATAATTATAATAAATCTTAAATAACTGATTATCTCAATAATTCTAAATAATTATTTCGATATTATATCTGTATTTCATAAAAATATTTCATTGCTTGCAACTTTGGGCTATAATTTGTTACATATCAATCTCAAAACCCATTTGATTTTAAAAAATAGCTGATTTGCAAAAATTATTCCTAGACTCATAATTAAAATGCCCATCTGAATAAATCCTAAAGTAATTTTATTCTCATAAGAAAAATAAACCTCACCAATATCAAAATATAAAAATAAGCTTAAACTAAATACTGATAATACACATTCAATTGTTAAAAATATTATTCTATCAAATTAGGAGCATTATTTATATTTGTAGATTATATAACATTAAGCAATGCTACTTAAAGATATTAGTAAACATTACAAAATTTATTATTCTTAGAATAGTATTAATATGCTATGAAATAGCGTAGTTCTCGAAATGTCCAAGGCAATAAATTTTATTTGTAGCTTTGCTATAATTTTTTTTTCATAAGGATTGTTGCATAAACTAAAACTCTTTAAGAACAAGCATATCCATAAGAAAAATATCAAACTTGCAAGAAGAATAGTTAAGATACTTCTCAAATTGTCGATTTGATTATAATGAAGTTACAAAATCACTTTAAATATCAAATCCCATGAGTTAAAGTAAATAAGTTGTATTATTTAATCATAATTCTATAAATATTTAGTTTTTATTAATGTTTTGATTCTATTTCTAAAAGCTAGTATTAAATTAATCATTGAAAATTATATCTTTTAGAAAATGGTTTCTTAATATTCAAGTTATTTTATATATTGGCTTAATCTAATTAATGTATGATAAAGATTTTCTGCAAAATAAAGTAGTGTTACCAATACTAAACATTAAAATAATTGTGGTAAAATATTGGTAAAAAGATCAGCCTCTACATTATATTATTAAAATTTTCCATTAAGATCAATTTATTTTTCTTTTCTTGTTATTATATTTACAAAATCATCAATTTAAAAAAGTTGTAAATAATTTGATATAGATAGCAATTCTTATGCTTAAAAATATATGTAGAGGTTTTCAGGATAGTCAACATTAATAAATCTTAAGAACGATTGATATTACAATAGATTCAAGGTTTCAACAACAAAAGAACTTTCACCAAAAACTAAAGAAATAACACAAATAGATATGGCTCCAATCATAAATGCTTTATTGGATTATTAAGCTTAAATCGATACTTATTTTAATTATTCAGACATTATTTTTGGTGTTTATAGAGTAATTGATTAATTAGGATTAAACAGTGTTTAATTATTTGAATTAATAATTTCGTGATTCAACTAAACTTAAAGAAGTGGTTTTGCTTATAGCTGTATATATAATTCAATTTAAACCTAATACTAAGCATGTTAAAGATCAAATGAGATATCTTAAATCGAATTGATCGTGATATTGTAATACTTGGAATCTAAGTCATTAATACTTATGTTAAATAAATTTTTGTCTTTTTAAACCTAATCACTAAATTTAACTTCTTAATCAAATGTAATCTCAACATACTAAAGAGCATAGAATTACATTTTATAAGTAAGTTTCATACTGGGTTTTTTTGAGTATGCACAATCATATTCACAGCATATCTTATTTTCTTATAATGATAACCATTATGGATTTAAATCATAATTGAATATGTTGCTTATGCTTGTATGATTATTTTAAGTTTCTTCAATATTGCTAGAATTAAACCCATAATTTTCTTAATTTAACAAGCATTAGCTGTTTTATAAGGTATAGTCTTTATCGCAAAAAAGACATTTCCCTTAGTCGCAAATTTGACAAAATTTAGTACATTAAAATGTGCATTTATCACATCCATCATCAGGAACATCATTCTCATCATCACAATATTCATTGCCTGCAACAATACCATCTCCGCATTGGGTAAAACAATCATTACTATAATTATCATAATATAATCCCTTTGAATCTTCACATAATTTTAGTTATTCGCAAATACTTTTTGATTGTACGAGTACTAAAGGTGGTTCACATAATGTACACTTTCCAAGTTAGCAATCCAAACATTCAATTTGACATTAATATTTACACTCAAAACAACCATCATATTTCAAATCATTGCCATCATCGCAAACTTCATCACTTGCTAGTATCTTATCATCACAAACAGAATTACATGAATTACTTACAATATCCAAATAGAATCCTGAAAAGCAATTAGTACAAATTCCATAAGCACAATACTCACAATATTAAGGACAATAGAATTTACAATTTAAACAAGTATCTAATTCATATTCTCTTCCATCATCGCATTCCTCTTCCTAAACTATTATAGCATCTCCACATTTAGGCATACATTTATTTCCATAATATCCAAATTCACATTCTAAACATTTGTAAAATTCACATCTTTTACAATTTTTAGGGCATTTATTCATATTATAATCAATTAAACATGTGCTGGTAATCAAATCAAGATATCCGAATTGGCAAAGGATACATTAGTTATTATATAATAATTTACAATTTAGTTGTTCATTAATTATAAGTAATGATTGAATGGGTTTACATTAATTATCCAATTAATCCAATTGATAATTGGACTAACAAGTTTGACATCTTCCACTCAAACATATTTCACAATGTGAAGTACAACCAATATCATTTTCACGCTCTACTTTGATACAAATAAAAGAAGCATTCAAGAGATAGCCTCTGCTGCATAACTAGCATACACCTTAAACACAGCTAAGGCAAATGTCTTCACATTTTGATAGGCATTTATTCTCGACTAAATTAAATCCTTAAGAACATTGAAAGCATTCACCATATATGCATTCGATACAATTATTAACACATTCATATTTGCATTAATAGCAACCATCAAATTATTCCATGTTTTAATCATCGCATTCTTCCCATCCGGATATATATCCATCACCACATGAAGATTAGCAAATTTATAATTCTTAACTAAAATGCAAACCTATTTAACATTGCTAAATTAACAAGCATCGATCTTTATTAAGTTCATATTGTTCTGCACATTCAAAGCATTAGCCGTTATAACAATGAATGCAACTTTCTTAACATTTAGGAATACAATCACCATACTCATTTAGATAAAAATCTTCCTTACACATTAAACATTCTCCATTTAAGTTATATTAACATTCTGGAAATAAGTCAATTTCATTTTGACTACCATAACAAAACCCATCTCTAAGTAAATAATTTTAATCGCATTATTAGCATACTCCTTTGATACAATTTATACAGTATTAACTACAAGAATATTTACAATAATAACAACCATCAAATTCGATATAATTATAATCTTCACAGTCTTCATCATGGACTATTATTCCGTCTCCACACTAGGATTCACAAGCATTATTATATAAGTTAAAAAAATATCCAAGTTCACATTCAAAACATTAATCACCAAAAAATAATTTACAGAATTTTGGAGCAGCAAACATGCAATTCAAGCAATTTTTATCATAAATTTCACATTGTTCATCATGTGCTAATATTCCATCTCCACAAAATGAATTACAAGAATAATTTACATCTAAATAATAGCCATTTTGACAAACTACACAATTACTTTCATTACAATTTGTAAAATACTCAGAACAGTAACTACAATATAAATTTGGTGATAAGTTAAGTTAATATTGACAAACACTCAATGGTAATATTCTTAATTTACACTACTACACACCTTTTTCTAAGTAAGCATAATCTTCACATTAAATGCAACTATTCCCAATTTAAATACGACAGTTTTCTATTATCATAAAACTATATTATAGAGACTTAACGCAAAATTATTTGTTTATGGATAATTCATATCCATCCTTGCATTGTTAACATATACCAAATTAACACAAGAAGCAATTCAAATCACAATTTAATTTACAAGATTAACAATTTTAATA